TACCTCTGCGTATGTGTGAGCGCGCGTGTATGGGAGGAGGAGAAGGAGGTGAGGTTCAGCTGAGAACAGACCCTGGAACCTCACCGTCTGCTTGCTTGCTTGCCCACCCGCCTGGCCTTGCCTTGTCTCTGCCTGCACCGCACTGCTTCGTTGCTTTGCTTGCTACGACGCTGGTCCAGCATGGAACGATCCGATTCCGAACCTCCCACCCAAAATCCATCCCATCTCAACCCAAGGAATTTGTCAAATTCGTCCCCCCTGACCATGATATGGAATGCCAAGCAAGTCCAGTCGAGATCTCCTATATAACAGTCCCGTCCACACCCTCATATCTAACCTTCTTTCCTACCTCATCACACAGCATCAACAAAGCAAGCCTTTCACTTCTTCACCTTTTCCACTTTCCTTACCTATCTCAAGCCCCGGTGGCTCTTCACGAATAGGATCTCTTAATCTCTAAAACAAACTCCGATTCACTCTAGTTTCCTCAAGCTCGAATCTCTCATTCAAAATGCGCTCCCAATCGCTCCTCGTCGCCGCCCTGGCTGCTACCGTCTCTGCCCACGGCACGCTGCTGTCCGTCGAGGGCGCCAATGGCGTCACCATGCCCGGTCTCACCAGTAAGCTTTCACCACTTTCCTAAGCAACACAATTTGCTCTTCCACATGTCTATCACAAGTCACTAACTCACTCACCTTTCAGTCGCTGATGGAACTCCCCGTGACTGCTCTTCCAACGGCTGCGGCTCCCAGGCCGACACTGCCATCATCCGTGACCGCGAGATCGCCTCCGGTGAGGTCGGCCCTCTTGGCCGCACTCAGGGCAACGGCCCCGTTGACGCCTCCGTGATGGTCAACAACTTCATGGGTGGTGCTGCCGCCCCCAAGAACAACGGCGCCTCATCCGGCACCGGTGTCGAGGACAACATCCCCAACATGAAGCGCGCCGAGCTCTACGCTCGCCAGGGTCTCGCCGGCCTCTTCGGCGGCGGTGGCAAGAACAAGGGAAACAAGCAGAACGGCCCCCCCGAGGCCCGCGTCGCCGCCACTGCCGGTATGGGTGCCTCCCAGGGCATGCCCACCTGCGCTGATGACGGCACCATCTCCATGACCTTCCGCCAGATCAACCAGGATGGCGCCGGTCCCATGACCGCTGATGTCGACGGTACCTCCGGCGGCACCAAGGAGGAGGCTTTCCAGAGCGCTCAGGTCTCCACTGACGTCCCGGGCCTCGGCGTCCAGGGTCTGTCCCTCGCCACCAACACCGACTTCCCCATCAAGGTCCAGATGCCCGCTGGCATGACCTGCGACGGCAAGGTCGGCATGGCCTCCAACGTCTGCGTCGTCCGTGTCCGCAACGGTGCTGGTGCCGGCCCCTTCGGTGGCTCTGCTGCCTTCACCCAGTCCGCCGCCGGCCGCAAGCGCGCCATTGCCTACCGCCTCAAGAAGCGTATGGAGCTCAACAACCGCGCATAAGCGGGTTGTCCAGCGATTCTTTGATGAGGATCTTCTCGGCGTGTCAAACCTGGGAATTTGGGGGGTTCGATCGAAGCTGCAGGAAGTCAGGGACTTCTGAGGCTCGGTGGATTCCAGACTTGGGTATAGAGCTTTTTGGAAACGACCGTTCTTTATTTCCTACATACTATTTTTCTTATTAGGTCGTCATTTTTCCATAGGCAATTGACGCCGATCGGAGTTTGAAAAACTTCTTTCTACATTCTCGCTGTGATGTGATCCTACGTGACAATGACACCACGGTAGACATCATAGTTTCTCAACCTGACAGTCAGATCTCTTCGCCGACACTTTCTCCGCCTCAAAGGGCAGATGCTTAATGACGAACAGACAAAATGACCCGATGATACTAATCAAGCAACGCTTTGCGGCAAACTCTGCCCTCGTCCGAAGCCGAATAGACTTCTGATGCACAGGCCATATCCCTTCTGCTCGGTCTTGCCATGACTTGACACCGGACTTGTGTCAGGCGGGCAGGAAACTAAACACTTTTGACCAATAGCGGTGGAGGAAACATTGCGATTCTCTCGAGAATTTGATTTTGGTCTGGCCATTCGCATGCCTCTCTCGGCCATACATACACTGAAAAGGGAGATGGACGGGGTGGTGTCTATTACAAGAAACGAGATGGTTGTCAATCATTCAACGAGTATTCTACCCCCATGACGCCCTTTCCTAGGCCGAAGATCCAATCCTCGGCCGCCAGGTTCACTCCATCCCAACGCCGGATCTTGATGCTATGCCGCCAGACTGCTATGTATTATGGCGGTGCTTCTATGTCTAGGCTGCTGCTGTTTAGAGTGTAACGATGCGAACAATTGTGCAGAAACTGTCTGCGTGTTTACGGTTGCAGCATTGCTGGCACGCCGCTGCCTTTCGTGCTATTCCTGGATCATGAAAATTCGTCCTCAGGGACCAAAAGAAGAGACAAATCACCATCGGCGACTTCGATGCCGGGTTAGTGAGGAAGCAAAGATAGCGATTGGAGGAAGACTTACCTATAAGCCGAATCGACCTTCGTGACGCGCTTGCGCATCTTCATGCCGTCGGGCTTGCCATCTCGGTCTCCCTTGGACTTAGGAGCAATCCCGAGGAGCTCGGCCTCTAGTGCAGATAATTCCGATGCATCAGTGCCAAAGGACGCCGCAGATTGCCTAGAAGCTGGACGTGATTCATCATGGCTGCTGTGAGATCCACGGCGGCGGGAATGACGAGAAAGAGATCGTGATCGAGACGCCTGTCGACTATGCGGCCGACTGTCTGGTCGTGATGTTCCGCGATGATGCATAGGCGGCGATGCCCCCCTTTCCTGGAAATTGTTGGTCGATGTCTGTCTGCGAACATTTCGAGAGCTGTAGTGTCCAGAGTCCTGGAGACCCGCGTCTTCAAGTCGCCTTGATGGGCCGGCGTCTTGAGACTCGTCCAGGGACATGAGGAGCGTCTGGCCTGGATCGGAATCAGTGCGTTCTGGTCTTTGGTGACGATAGCGATCCACCGGTCTCGAGTCCTCCCTGGATCTACGATTGTGCGGTGAGGTGGCATTATAGCCGGGAAGCGAGTCAACCTTGTGCCTCTTGTGACGATGATCCGCCCATTCACCACCTTCTGGGCCGCCCCTGGCTCGAGGGTTCTTGTATGGCGAATCGTCCAAATTCCGCTTTCGATTATTGACCAAACGGTATTCACGGCTTTCTGGGGTAGGAGGTTTCGGTGGGAGAGATGGAAACCCTGGAAGGCGACTAGACTTGAACGTGCTGGGCCTCTCTCGTGGCTCCGGGACTTGTTTGGGAGTACTGCCCTCGGGGCACTTCCAGAATGCTGGATCGTACTGCAACGTGACGAAGAACTCGGTTTCTCGTATCGGCCGCGAGAATTCCATGAGGTTGCCTTCTGTTGCGAATCGAGACTGAATCCACGTGGCGTTCCACGCCGGAGGTAGCACAATGTTATCGTGATATTCCTCAGGCCCCGGTAGCGGCATGGCAATAGGGTCGGGTTGGTGGGTTTTGTCTAGTTCTTTGAAGATCATCTCTTCCTCCCAGTTCCAATCGTACTCTTCATCGGCTTCCTGTTCTGAAGCAATGTTGATGTTTACGCTTTTAGGTGTATCGCTCGCGACTGATGGCGCCTCGACGGCCTTTGATCCAGCTTCGACCTGTGGCAGTGCCGGGCCTATTCTGGCCTTATTTTCCGACTTGGGTCTAGACTGTGAAGGATCTCGTTTCGACTGAATGCCGTGTTTGTTTCGGCGAGAACGATCTCGATTATTATGCCCCTGGCGCTGTCGCCCATTTCGGTCCCGCGGCGGCTGGTTCCTCGGAGGAGGAATTGGTGGCAGCCCCGGGGGTGTAGCACGTGGAGGGCCAGGCAAAGGAGGCGGGTGAGGATATCCTGGGGGTGGCGGCGCCCATGAGGGAGGGTGAGAATTCGGTGTTGGGGGCAGTTGAGACACATAGTGCGGCTGCGGATAGCCTCCCGGAGGTGTTGAATTATATGAAGGCGGGTACTGGCCGCCTGGAGGTGGAGGACCGGGGTGATATCCAGGGCCAGAGGAGTAAGATGGAGGAGGAGGAGGAGGAGGAGGAGGGTAAGGAGCACTGCCAGCATACTGTGGTGGTTGATAAGGAGGAGGCGGCAGTCCAGAAGGACCGGGAGGCGGAGGCGCGCCGTACTGGCCAGATGGTGGATAATGGTATGGTGCAGGAGGAGCGGAGGGTAGCGGGTGGGCACCCGGGGGAGGCGGCGGCGGCGGGGAATATTGAGAATAGCCGGGGTAGTTCCCTGTTGGCGGGGGAGGGTAGCCATTCGGAGGTGGAGGATATGACGGATATGAAGGCAGGGGGCCGGGGTACGGAGGAGCATGGGGTTGACCCGGGGGCGGCGCGTAGCGAGTGACGATCGGATTGCCGCTTGGTGGGGCCGAGTACTTGGTCACAACAGCACCCGGCCGGCGTCCGCCGTGTTGATGTTCGCCACCCCGGCCATGATGATCATGGCCACTCGAAGTGCTTTTCCGGGACAGTCCACTTTGGTCGAGTCAGTCAATATTCACACTTGAAGTAAGGAACAGTTGTCGTCACGTCTGACAAGACTCTGCATCACGAAACTTACGCGGGCTTCGCTCTGACAGGCTCCGGGCAAGCTACGGCCCAATGTCCAACACCGCCACAATTGATGCAGCTTGGCTCTTTCATAGACGGCCCCATACCTGGCGCGTATTCGGCCATGGTTGATAATGGTGTGTCTCGACTCTTGGGTTGGCGTACAGCTTTGGCCCAGACCCAGAAGGGGAGATCAATGAGAGTGTTGGGAGTAGCGCGACCGAGGTAACGAGAAAATGGATAGCATATATGAGCCGAAAGTGACCCAGCAAGGAGAAGAAGTATAGAAGGGTGGAGGTACCCCTATACTAGTAGCAAAGATAGTACGAAATAGGTTGCCAACACGAGCTGAATTAGAGAAGACTTGATATATCAGAAGGTGCTCGCCAAAGACGGGGAAGGAGAGTAAGAAACGCAAACCTTGATGTTCCGCGCTGCGCTTACAGCAGGTGAATGAGATGCCCGATAATGGCCGACCCCAGAGTAGGTAGTGGTGGATAGGAGATAGTCTCTTGATTTGACTGAGACACGAGATGGCAGGCAGTCTTTTGATGAAGGTGACGGATGCCTCGAAGCCTTCAAAGGTCTTTAGTGGATGCGCCTAGGCAGTCTGAAGTGACGCATCGCCTATTGATGGCCGTACTATGAGGGGAAATGTAAGATGGATTGGTGATGAAAGCCGTAACCCAACCTCCAAAGTGAGGATTCTCGATGGCGAGGCCCAAACCAGGCGACTATCGTGGGCTTTGTCTCATTCCAGAGGGGGGCAGACTGGGATGAGGTTGTGGGAAAGCGCGACGAAGTTGACCAAAGACGAAGGCTGCGCGCCCAGGCTCAGGCGTAAAGTGGGGCAAATGCACCTGCCCAGTGAGGCACAGCTGAACACCCACGGCAACTCCTTCCCGTCCGCACGGAAGGCTGAAAGGGGCCGGAAATTCATCGGGCCGGATGTCATGTTTTCTTTTTCGGCAAGGCAGGCCGTAGGGCAGGGCAGGACAGGACAGCAGGAGACACGGTCTACCTTAGCCAGACTCGAGAACATTGGGAAGAGGCAGCAAGTAGCTGACAGACAACGCAGCTTGATTTGCTGCAAGTCGTACATGTCTTGTGCCTTGTGGGGGGCGGATTTCGACGTGCAGCCTGCAGCATCAAAGACCGCAGGTGGCATATCATGCATTAGTTGTGAAGCACGCACTGTCTTTGTGCATCCAGATCATCTGAGAAACAAGGATCTTGAGGGGCAATATCTGACTACATGACAAGTCTCATAGGACATCTGGGACTGCTGTCATTGGGCTAGATTGGCAGGCCATGGTGATATGCTATGCTCAAGGGCAATTTGAAGCTGCTCGAGCGAGGCTTGAAAAGGTAGAGATTCGAATATCTCAACTGGGAGCATCTAGATGCTAGTCCATCGCGCAGACGCAGGCGCAGGGCATCTGAGTTCAACCAGGAGCAAGATGAAACGGTCAAGACAGAAAATGAAAGAAATGCTAGGTATTCTAGATTCGAATGGAGACCAAGGTAGAGAGATAGACGGGCGTGGCATCTTAAGAAGACCAGCTGGCAGACCGAGAAAGACGTCGGTGCCTAGGAGATTGAGGGAAAACCAAGGTGCAGGGAAAGTATGGCTGCTTTCTTGTGACGATCCAGATATCAGGTGCTGTTTGAATCCTGGAGACGGTGAGGGATTGATCTGAGCGGACGGGGTCGGCAGCCCAGCATATCCCAGTGTGTGAATGATGAACGCGTCTGAAAACAACCAAAGAAATGAAGTATCGAACTACAGTCCACTCCCAGGGCTCTCAGCAGCAACCAGGATTCTGTCTGTCTCTCTGAAATCGCAAACCAAAAGCTGCCGCTAGCGGAGGAAATGACAATGAATGGGAAGCTCGTCGACCCGGCGGGAACGGGACGAATACCATCAGATTGGTAGCGGAGGTGACTTGTACGGACGCAACTGTGAGGTGAGGAAAAGAAAAGGGCGCACCCGCCATGCCAAACCAGAAGGGGGGAATGAAGGTGACTTTATATGAGCCCAGCCGTTGCAGGATGGATGGACGCCGCCCCCCTGCTGACCTGGCAAGTCCGGGCTTCCTTGGCCAGTAATGGCCCTCTTGCCCATTCATCCACCACCTTGCGCAGTGGTGCAGTTCCAGCGCTTCTGCAGCGTTTCGCTACCTCGGGGCTTGTAGCGAACGACAACCCCCTAAATCCCCGAGGTATGTTGCTGATGTGTACGTAAGCGCCTCGAGCCTGCCGTGTCTGCCACCTGCCACGTTTGAATGCGGGGCCGTCAAATGTAGCCAAGCCCAATCACATCTCGTCTTCCAGAGTACTCTGCCTTAGGTAAGCACGCGGTAACGTACGTGAGCAGGTGAAGTGTCTGATGTTTGGATGGGATTTCTCAGCTGGGCCCGAGCTTCCCCCCCCCCAAAGCTGCTTCCAATTTGAGATGAGCGTCGTCTTTCCATTGCAGCATGACGTCCCTCGCTGCCCGCCGCCAGAGCTGCCACCCATCCATCCCAAAAAGAATGTTCAACTGCGACTGAAGAATAAGGTACCTTACCTTACCTTAGCTTACCTCACCACGCTCTCTTCCCGAGGGCATCGCCACGGCCTACCTACCTACACGTCGTTTCCCTTCGTTCTCTTTCTCTCTTGTGCTCTCGGCGACTGGGAATCTTGAGCCACCTATTCGACGACCCTAAAGCCCACCCAACACAGGCGTGCACCATTATCCCCCCCCCCTTTTCCCCCATCTTTCATCGATTCGGTCTGCGCTTCGACTCGTTCACTTTGTCCATTCTGCCGCCGCGCTTCCTGCTTCCATGTAAAGACACGTCGTCCTCGATCATGTTATTACGACCACGAAGCTCCCCAATACACATAGCCCGCCTCTTGAGTAGAAGTGGTCTCCGACGACCTGCTTCTTGAACCGCCGACCTTTGCGACAGTCCTTTGCTGTAGTCCTGCTACACCTTTTCCACCCCAAAACCAACTAGATACCGCCGGCCTCACAGCTGCTGTCGCATACCACCACGTCAAAGATGCCCGGCCTTCCAGGTAAGAATTGCTCTTGTCCCCCTAGCTGTGCAGCTTCTCTGACCTTGCCATGCTGCTACAGCTTCCGTCGACCTCGACGAGTGCATCTCACGCTTGTACAAGAGGGAACTTCTCGCCGAATCCGTCATCGAGGCCATTTGCGCCAAAACGAAAGAGCTGCTGATGCGCGAGAGCAACGTTGTCCACGTTCGCGCCCCCGTCACCGTCGTCGGCGATATTCATGGCCAGTTCTACGACCTGATCGAGATCTTCAAAATCGGTGGCTGGTGTCCAGACACCAATTATTTGTTTCTGGGTACGTTCTGGATCAGAAGCTTGGAATGCAAAATCTTACTGACCGGCTGCCCAACAGGCGACTACGTCGACCGCGGCATGTTCAGTGTTGAAACGATATCTTTGCTTGTGTGCTTGAAACTTCGATACCCCAATCGCGTGCATTTGATCCGAGGCAACCATGAGTCTCGCGGCGTCACTCAGTCCTATGGCTTCTATACCGAGTGTTCAAGAAAATACGGAAATGCCAATGTGTGGCACTACTTCACTGACATGTTTGATTTTCTGACCTTGAGCGTGGTCATCAACGATAAGATTTTTTGCGTCCACGGCGGTAAGCCAGCCTCAATCTCCACGCGCGTGCCTACGCCGCTGCTACCAGTACCGACTGTTTGCTAATTTTGTATGCGCCAGGCCTCTCCCCATCCATTCACTCCATCGACCAAATCGTCATCATCGATCGTTTCCGAGAGATTCCTCACGAAGGCCCCATGGCCGATCTAGTCTGGTCTGACCCAGATCCCGAGCGCGACGAGTTCTCTCTCAGTCCACGTGGAGCTGGCTATACTTTTGGCGCACAAGTGGTCAAGAAGTTCCTGGCTGTCAACAATATGGACCACATTCTAAGAGCACACCAGCTGTGCCAGGAGGGCTTTCAAGTTTTATATGACGATCGATTGAGTACAGTATGGAGTGCGCCCAACTACTGCTACCGATGTGGAAATATGGCCAGTGTTCTGGAGGTCAGCGATACCGGCGAGAGGTTTTTCAACGTCTTTGCTGCAGCACCAGAGAATGACCAGCATAAAGACATGCAGCTGGGTGGTGGAGAGAAGCAGGCAGATGGCAACTCCCTTCCCGATTACTTTTTGTAGCGCGGCTGGAGTCTGCATTCAATGCCTAGACGTCCTTAGACGGGGATGATTTATACAGGAGCAAGAAAATGGGGTATGGTCTGAGCCCAGGTTCAGGTGCATCGCCAAGCTGTTCCTCATATACGGTCATGATCAGAATGGCCAGGTGGAAGAGACCACCACGATTAGAGTACATTGAAAAGGTGTCAGTCACGTCTTACGCTTCATGCCTCGGGACGAACCTATATACGAACATTTGATGAGGATCCCAAGGGATCTGTATTTTTGGTAGCTTGGGCACAAGAGATGATGACCCAGCAGAACGAAAAAAAGTATCTGCCATCTAAACCGTCCAATTTTTGTTTTTGTAATCGTGACTTCATGTGCAATAACCAGTGTAAGAGGTTGAGAGCAAAATTTGTGGGAGTGTGCGTGTGTGTGTTGTATAGCAAGAGAAGAAAAGGGCATTTCATCGGCCTGGTCCACCACCCATGTTTCCCGCGTGTTGGCCGTGCCTGGTTTGACCTTTTTGATTCTTTTCGTGTTGTGTATGAACGAGTGAGATGTTGTCCTGCCTGCCTACCTCGAGTTCCACTACATATGTTCTCCCAACCATGATCGGGTTCGGATCCACCGATGCGCGACTTCTCCTTCCTAGAAAGAGATTAAGTTCGGAAGACCAAGTTATAGACGAGAGCGACGAGACAGCTTTTCGGGTCGACGAGAATGATGGCAGGGCGAGAGAGTAGTTCAGCCATCAGGGCCTCGTCCACTCTACCAGTCCTTGGCAATGTCGAAAGACCACTCAAAGGTCAAGTGAGTCTTCTTGTCGTCGTCAACGAAGCTGGAGATAGCGTTATAGTGACCTCTGGCCAGCATGCCGGAAGGAGCGTCCTCCTCTTGGACTGTGCAAAGGGTCAGTATTACTACATCAAACGACACAGTTCAGGAGGGAAACTTACAGCGCTTGGTGTAAGTGGTCTGCTTGTCGGTGTTGGGAGCGTAGCTGCCCTAGGGATAACAGTCAGCATCACTATGATGAGATAAAGGTGAAGAAAGGATTAACTAACCAGCATCTCAGAGTCCTTGCTGACCTTGATTCCCTTGCGCTTGACGACCTGGACATACTGCAGACCGCTGAGAATCTCGTGCTGGACCTTGAACTTGGCGACCATGGTGAACTTGGCACCCTCCTTGATCTTGAAGGGCTTGTCCTTCAGGGTCGCCTCAGAGCCAGGAGCAGCCAGGTCGATGGTGACGGGGTCGCGACCGGGAGACTCCATGGTCAGGGAGAGGATGATGCAGACGCGGGGGTCAGAAGCGTCAGAGAGGTCCTTGCCGCCGCCAAGGCCGAGGGACTCCTTGTAGCGCTGAAGAGACTCATCGTTCTCGTCTGTGGTGCTGTTAGTCGGCTGTTCGTCTCTCATCTCGTATTGTTCCAGAGCCAAGGGCTCCAGAACAGCTGGGCCATGTGCTGCCTTGACAACAAGGGGGGACATATAAAAATCCCGAATAAGGTTGGGATCTTGAGTGAGCATGTTTTCTTGAAGGCGGGGCGAGTTGGGAGGGTTGGGAGGAACAGGGCGTGACAGAGCTCTTTCTCGGTGAAGGTGTCTCTCCTCCATCATCTTAATTGACTGAGGACGCGATCCCGAGGGAGTTGAGAGGGGAGCAGGGGGAAGCTCAATGGAGTTCCGGTTGGTGAGGGCGTTATTGCGGTTGCGCCTCTGCATCATGCGACGCATAACCTGATATAACGCCTCCATGGTAATGAGAGGATATCACATGTAAGGCGCTTATGGTATCGATATTGCAGTGGTGACAAGGGAAAAGTCAAAATTGAGGTTGGTGCCGGTGATGGTGATGGTGATGGTGATAATGAAAAAAAGTGGTTGAAAGGCAGTGAAGGTGAATGAAGTGTGAGAATGAATGTGAGAATGAGTGTGAGAATGGGTGTGGGCGTAGATGAGGAAGGTGCAAGCAGCTGGGTGCCTTCCTGTCCTACCGGTTCTTGGTGGATTGTGCCATGAGATGGATGTTGAGCACATCATCTCCTGTCACCGAGGTGAGTGCAGAGATGGGAGAGGCTCACATCTTGCCCACACCGATCCAAAAGCAAGGTGAAGAAAGGTGTGAGGGGCATTTCTGGAGGGACCCAGCTGGAGCTATCCCGCCCCCAAACAACAGCACCCAGAACTGAAAGGAACCAGATGGGGATCAAGATTCAATACTCAGTCAAAGACTTACCCATCTTCTGGTACTCGGCCAGACTCTGCTTGGGTTGGGAGAGCTTGTAGCCCTGAGTCTCCTCGGGCATGGTGTCCTCTTGCTCGTGGGAAGCCATGGTGATGATGGTGATGGTGGGGTAAATGTGGGAGCTGGAGCTGGAGCTTGAGCTCTAGAGCTGGTTCGGGAGCGGGTGTATCGGAGGAGGCTACGAGAGGAATGTAGCACACGTGTGTGATGAGGCCGTAGATTGGAAGGCTGCGACAATGTTTACTCGGAGGGAGAGAAGTTGAGGATCAGGTAGGATGGTGGTAAGGTCAGGGCGAATGGAGTTGAGGTAAGGCCATGGCTTGTCCCCGGCCAGTCAAGGCGAGGCAAGCCGTAAAGCAGCAGCGCACGGCAAAGGTCAAAGGTCACCGCTTCCCGTTGCCCCTCATTCTGCTCAGGTCTGGCTGGGTCTGGGAGTCTGGGTCTACCTTCTTCCCAGCCAGTGCCAGCCAAAAATCGACGAGGCAGGGGGGGGGGGGGGCATTGGGGAAGCGTCACCGCGTCAGGGCCAGTTGGGGGACTGTGGGCGCTGTAAAGTGGGCTCTGATGGATTCAGGACCGGCCTTGACTGGACGAAACGAGAGACTTCATTGGTCGATAGATTTATGGGTCCGAGCCTGCATTGATTGGCCAACATCTGGAACAAGATGGAACTTCACACACGAAACCAGGCACAATCACCAAAGCCCTCCCTCCTGTGTGTCTCCTCTCCTTTGAAGTAAGATACTCAGAGCACAAAGGTGACTGTGCTGACTGAAGATGTTGCTTTGCTATGGCTCTGATGAGGGAACGAAGATTAAAAGACTCCAACCTCTTTGAATGGAAGATTGCTGCTGCCCCTCGATGTATCTCATGCCGTGCGACCTTCCCGTTCCACATTGCCCAAGCCAATGGAGGTGCCCCAGGGGGGCCAAGTAGCTGTGTACCTGAGGTACTTAGATACCTAGATACAAATACCTAAGGTAGGTTGCTATGCAGTTTTCTGCCCCTCCAAGTGTCTTCTGCAGCCAATCTCGATACGGGATGGGAGGATAAGGGGAGAGCATCCATCGATATCAACCACGATTTTGCGTGTATCGGCCGGATGAGCGGTCTGGAATGGTTCCTGATGAGGGGCACAATCGACAAGCTTCTGAAATTCAGTGCTCTCCCGTCCACTGCCCAAGACGGGAGACCGCGAATAAGGCACAGAATGAACACTCGCTTACTTCATCCCGTGTACCTTTGCTCGACCTTTGCTCGACCTTGGCACTTAACATAAACACTCGCACCACACAACATGAGAACATTGTGTATTCAGTGGTAAGTCAGCGCTTGACAGGTGGCAATGGCTTCATGCGGGCCATCCGTCAAGTAGGTACGGATGATGCCTTGCTAGTGTGCCAGTGTTGAAGAGCTTGCTTGCTGGCAGCGGCATCGTTGCCGGAGGCCAGAGCTTCTGTGTAGTGGATCTTTTCGGGCTTATTTGCATTAGTATGATCTGAGGGGTTTTATGCTCAGAAGAGCTCAGTACATTTATGCAGCTTTCACAATATGGTTATGTAATATCTATACTGAGCCGACTCCATCAGCATTCAGACCATTTGAAGATCAAGAAGCACCAAAAGCAAGAAAAGCAAGAAAACTTCTACATTGTGTGGTTCTGATTGGGTTCCGGTCTGTAAGCCATCAAGAATTCAGCAATAGGGGCGTCGTGTATCAGCTAGTCTGGCGCTGTTGCGTTACTCTGGCAGCAGTGTCCTATTGTACTTGGTTCCTGGATCCGTCTCTTTTTCTGTTCGGCCTAGGCGAGATGAGGAACTCTAGAGACTGACCATCGGCCTCATTCATTCGTCCCAGGTACGGATACATGGCGACGAGATAGATGGGCTTCCTTTTGAGTCAGTCAAACCCAAGACTCGAGCGATCACTGTTGCCTTATCGATTAGACTGCAGCAGCTGCAGCTAATACTGTAAGGTAGGTAGATACTGCAATGCACGGGTTGGGGGAAACGTGGTCAAATGATGGGCTGAAGGCGGGATAGCTGCAGTTCGCCCGTTGCCAGGCACAATCGCAGCCGGGTGCGGGCCCCCCGCGCTGCGGACTATGGTGCTGCCGCCGCTTTCAATCTCGGTGCAACGAAAGGATGGCGGCCAAGTTGAAAGGGGGGATACCCATGCGTGACATGCTGGAGAAGTACGGAGTACAGTAGTAAAAAGGGAAGAGAGACACTGGACCCTCTTGAGCTTGAAGAAGCCTGTGGCCTGTGGCTCGATTGTCTCCGCTTCCATGGCTGGAGACTGCGAACGGCGTCCAGGGTGTTCAAAGCTTTGCGCGTTCGCGACGAGAATTGTTGGGGACTGACTGGGGGGCGAAGAGCTTCTCTGAGGAAACGTGTGCTCACCGGGACAGAAAAGTGTCGAAATCTCGACTTTCTCTCGGCTTGGCTTCGGAAGCGACATGGGTCACGCGACGGGTAAAGGCAAAGAAGGAAGGGACCGTCGCATCGATAATCTTCCTTCCCTCCTTTCTCAGGAGTCAGGGACTTTTCTTCCGACTTTACGCAGCTGGCACTGGCAGGATGTATCCGTTCATACTTGCCTACTGCATTTCCGGGGAAAGCGCCGGGAGTGCTGGTCGTCAAATGCGGCAAGTGGCAGTCGCGATAGAAAGATACATATGATGTGGTGCAGCAACCCCACATAGATGAAGTAGCTATCTATGTCGCATATCTCGTTCCAATAGTGCCTTTTACGTGCTCTCCGACCTTCAGGCTTCTCTCGCGTCAGGGTCACGCCGTCACGCTTCGCTTTCCGAACCCGCAGTTCCACCCCTCCCTCCAATCTTACCCAATGAGCAGGAGGACCCCCAAAGTTTGAGGTGAAGCTCTCTCATTTTCTCAGACTCCCGCTGCTCTCTGCTGTTGCTGCTGCTGCTGCTGCTAGTACCTTAGTAACCTTGGCTGCTGGTGCTTCCCGGTGGACGAGACACGCTGTTGGAGACTCCCGTCGAGTGGTGAGGTGCCGCTCCAATTTGCGCGCGCAAAAGTCGCCCAGCTTCAGGCTCTTACCGTCCCGGCCGCCTCTCTTCCTTCCCTTTCCTCTCACTCTCCTCCTCACAAGTCACCACCACCTCTCGCTCTCTCTCATCCCGCGACTCGTCCCTCCCTCTTTCCTTCACACCACCACTACCACACACCTCACTCTCACACACATTCCCTCCATATTCTTTCTTCCCCTCGATCCATCCTTTGAGACAGCTTTGCCCTTTGTGCCTGTGCCCTTATCGGGATCGCTGTTTCCATTGCCTACAATCAATTATAATCTTTCTTCTTCATCGACCGCATCGCCAACCCACCCCTGCACCCTTCTTTTTTTTTTTTTTACGCGACAGACCCGTCACGTCACGTCGGCACTCCGAGGATCCAACTCCATCGCCAACTCCCGTCAGCTCCAACGAGTCTTCGGTAAGCGACACCTACCACACATCTCACCATCATTCTTTTTCTTTTTCTGGGCGCGCCGCCTATGCGCTCCTAACTGTCCCAAACTGACGCGACGATTCAGTCCCTTCCTCCGATCGAGCCCATCGTCCACGCGACCTGGAAGACACCACTCCTCGATTGCCGCCAGCGCGCATCGCAAACTTCCTTTGAACGTACCCAATTTAATCGCCAATTTTGCGCGCTCCGTCCCACACTTCCGGAATGCCTTCTGCTACAGCTCACGAGCGGCACCTGCCCGCAAAGCGCAACTCCCTCATGACTGAGGATGTGCCCCGTTGTAGGAACAATTGACTGCGCCTAGCACTTTGTGCTTGCTAACCAGGCTCTAGACGATGACCTCGTAGCCCGTCGTCGACTCGGTCAGACTCAGCTGACGGCCAAGATGGTCAACCTGGCCGAAGGGGAAGGCGCTGCTCTCGGTGTCTTCGACTATGCCCACCTCCGCGCTCCCTTGCCCAAGGGTATCGTCTCTGGCATCTTCAAGTCCAGCCCCAACAGCTACTTCTTGATGCGACGCAGCCACGATGGCTTTGTTTCTGCGACAGGAATGTTCAAGGCCACTTTCCCCTACGCCGAGGCCGCCGAGGAAGAGGCCGAACGCAAGTACATCAAGTCTCTCGCTTCTACCAGCCCCGAGGAGACTGCCGGCAACGTCTGGATCCCCCCAGACCACGCTTTGGCACTGGCTGAGGAGTACGGCGTTGGGCCTTGGATCCGCGCCCTGCTGGATCCCGCTACTATTGCCGTTTCCAACACCCCCGATAGCCCTCCCAAGAAGATTACGGCGCCCCCCAAGTACGAGCTCCTCAAGGCTCACCCTCAGCTTGCTCCTCCTACCCCGACTTCCCTCCCTCGCAGCACTCGATCTCGCCGCTCAGCAAGCCCTACCAAGGCCGCCGCTGCCACGACACTCCCTAGACCTGTCCGATCGCCGAGGAAGCGCAGGGCCAAGGCCGACTCTGTTGAGCCCAGAGAATCTACGCCCACAATTGCCACTAAGCTGGAAGTCAATGGCGTTATTGAAGAAGACAAGGACGCCGAGGCGGAGATCAAGACCATTGTCAAGACCGTCGAGACGGAACCAGTGCTTGTTTTCGAGGCCAGGGAAGAGGAGCCTAAGGCCAAAGTCATCGTTGACCAAAATATCAAGACGGATGAGGACGGCAACGAGACCAAGCACACTGCCGTGTCACTAGAGCTTCCTCTGTTGAGCGCAGAGCCACCATCTGCTGAGGAGACTGCGCGTATGATTGCGGAGGCGAAGCAAATGGTCGAGGCAGCTGCCGTCAAGTCAGAAGGTGTTGACAGCCCCAAGGCCAAGAGCAAGCGCGGAGCCGAGGAGATTTCAAAAGGTGACGATGAGGATGAGGAGAAGGAGGTCGTCGAGGAGCCACGGTCGAAGAAGGCCAAGACCACCGAGGTGCAGGTCAAGAAGCTCCGCGTACGGAACCGGGCTTTGTTTGGTCTGAGTGCCGTGTCACTGGCCGTTGGGTATGTGCCTCTGATCTGCTCATTGCCATATGGGACTAAAATCGGCTAACAAAACATGCAGCGCATTCTCGTACTTTGTTGGTTCTTTCTGAGACGTCATTTGACGTGTCGGGAGCATTTCGGGGGGGCTCTAGGTTGCAGTGAAGATGGTTGATACTCAGTCGTGGAATATCAGATATTCTGACTACCTCAATCCCGTTTTCCAGGGCGAGGACTCGGCGGCAGCCTTTCTATATCGTTTTATTGCCTTACTCATCATACCCAGATAGAGCCCGAGGGCACTCGGGCCAGCTTTCTTTTCACTCGTTGCTTGTGGAATATTGGGTGGGATCAAATAAGTGTACATTGAGATCGTCTCTACGGCGATGGGGGGATACGCGGGAGGGCAAGGCCGTGGTTCAGGATTGAGGCAATTGTAGTTGATGTATTGTTTAGGTATTTCTCTGCTTTTGGGCGTCGAATGGGATACGGTGCATGCGTTGCAAGAGATGCTTCTTCGAGGCGTTATCGTCTTGACAATTATGTCACTCGTAGACAGTCAAAGGGTGTTATGTTGTTATCCCTACTGAATGTGGGCATCATGTACCTATCATGACCAGGATACGTTTTGTACTTGTGAATCCAGCTACCCGAATGCTCCATTTCACTCAAGCAGAGCCTCATTCGGTTTCTGTCCGAGTCACTCCACAACTTCCTTCCACGTAGTACCCGACTACATACCTTCGTACAGAAAATAATGAGAGGCTTGGGTTATTGACTGGCTTGTATGTTGCAAGTTGGCTGTACGAGGCCCTTGTCTTTAGCCTACCCCAACCGCTGCTGGTAGAAAACAATGGCTCAACCGTCTATTACTCAGTCAAACGTCCCATCATTTCATGGAAGGCCCTTGGTGAAGAGTCAGTTCCTCGCCGAAATCTCCACCACTTATCCCTTCAGTCTCCATCGTCGTCTCAACTGTCTCCATCGGCAATGGAGATGATGTTTGTCAAACTGATGTCATTCGGTCCACATGCCACGGCATATAAGAGAAATTTCTGACGATGTCTGAAAAGCAAAAGTGATTCCTTTCCTACTCACCATTCTATCGTGAGTAGAAGGCCGAGCTCAGATTTGACCTTTTTCCAGCGACGTTATTATACCCATACGTTTCTCTGGCACCATGCAGTATTCTTAGCATCATCTGCAAGGGGTGCGGAACCACTCTTTTCCTCTCCAATCCATCCAGGGCCGCTCCCACAGACGCGCCAATGCATGGGTTGGGAGACAAAGGTCTCGGATGACGGGGGAGGGGCCAAGGTCGCCAGTATGCCTCATTCGGGGTAGGCACGAGCGGGCGTGGCTAACACCGGCAATGGCCGGCTCCCCGGATAACCGTCGCTCCCCCGCAGCGCGCAAGTGGGTGAAGTGGAAGGAAAGCTGGGGTTACGATCGGCTAGAATGCCCGTCTCTCATCCAACTTTGAACAAGAGCATTGTACACTTACATCTTTGCGGTTTTGAGTGTACTCTGTCTCCTTTTTTTTTTTTTTCGCTTTCACTCAAGTATCTGTTGCGTTTCCTCATCTGAAACTGGAATACATTCCACAAGATGCGGGCAGCTTCCACATTGCGAGCTCTGCCGAGACTCGTCCAACGACAACGCGGCTTTGCGACAACACAGCGGCGGTTGGAGAGCTATGGCTTCATCGGCCTAGGACAAATGGTATGGCCCTTTGTAACCCAATGGCATTGGAACCTTCAATAAGCTAACTGTTCCATTTCAGGGTTACCAAATGGCCAAGAACCTTCAATCCAAGCTGAGTCCCAAAGATGAGATTCGCATCTTTGATATCAACAAGGACGCCGTCTCCAACCTGGCAAAGGAGATGGACCAGTCCCAGACCGGCGGCGCAAAGGTTACCGTTGTTGACACTGCACGAGATGCGTCAATTGAAGCTGTAAGTTGCCATGTTTTCTTTTCCATCTTCCAAGATGAACCATCTTTGCTCTATGATGCATTCTTAAAACTGTTTTGCCAACTATGAGGCGGCCTACATCCGTCCACTGAGTAAAGCAACTTCCTAAGTCTTCTGATCTCGAGAACCTTATGCCACATTTATTAAATTTCAACATCAATACCAAAGGCATGAACACTAACAAGACTCACCAGGACACCGTCATCACCGTTCTCCCCGAACCATCCCACGTCAAAGCAGTCTACGCCTCCATCCTCAAAGACCTGCCGTCCCGCAAACGCACCTTTATAGACTGCTCCACTATCGACCCCTCCTCGTCTCGTGAGGTCGCCGCCTCCGTCTCGGCATCGACCAGCGACCAGGGCACCTTCGTCGACGCCCCCATGTCCGGCGGCGTCGTCGGCGCCACAGCCGGCACGCTCACCTTCATGCTCGGCTGCGACGCTACGCACCTGCCCACCGTCGAGCCGACGCTCCTGCGCATGGGCCGGCGCGTGCTGCACTGCGGCCAGCAGGGGACGGGACTTTCGGCGAAGCTGGCGAATAACTACCTGCTGGCCATTAACAACATTGCTACGGCCGAGGCGATGAACCTGGGTATGAAGTGGGGGTTGGATCCTAAGGTTCTCGCGGGCGTGATCAATGTTAGTACGGGCAAGTGCTGGCCTAGCGAGGTGAATAACCCCGTCAAGGGCGTCGTCGAGGGGAGTCCCGCGGGGCGGGATTATAAGGGCGGATTCGGTATCGGGTTGATGCGCAAGGATCTTGGGTTGGCTGTCGTTGCTGCGCGGGAGGCTGGTGCCAAGTTGGAGTTGGCGGGCAAGGCGACGGAGGTGTATGCTTCTGCTGAGGCTGAGGAGGCCTGTAAAGGGCGGGACTTTTCCGTCGTTTATCGGTACTTGGGAGGCAAGGAGTAAAAGTACAGTCATCCATCAACCTGGGAAGTTAGATGTTTGAAGCGTTCTGAGAATGCACTTACCGGAACAATGATATTACTCATCGGTAGATGTCAGACCACCCTGCAGTTGAAGGGCCTGGGATAAGTCGCTTGTTCCTCCTGGTGCCTGCCAGTGCCTTTGTCTCTGCCCTCCACCACTTCTCTCTCACTGCGGCCTCTTTCTCTCCCAGATGGTCCACGCATATGTCGCATCGAGTTACCTTTGGCTTCGGACGGCGGTGCTGTGGCTCGATAAGGGTGTATCCCAGCGCCGTCTTCAAGACTTCAAACTCGAGGCCCGAAGGATTGAGTGCCGGATCAGAAGCGGATGGTTCAGGGATCGTGTCGTAGAGGACGCAGCAAGGTTGGGGGTCCTCTCCGTTCACGGTGGCAGCGGAACAGTGTTCGAGGACTCGGCGGCGTGGTTTTCCTAGACGGGTGTTGCAGACGCCGCATATGTAGTGGTCTACGTCTGCGATGCACATTGTGAGCAAGGCTGTGGTGGGGGTTACCTACAAGGAGCGTTTCTATACTTGATACGATATCTCTGAATGTTGGAAGGTGTCCTGGATGAGGAGAATGTGGGCAGTCTGTGTAGGAAAGCCCAGAGGGATATATCAAGCTTATGTTTTTTTTTTTTTTTAGCCATGTCACTCTCCAGATGCGAATCGCAGATATTGTACAGAGCACTTGGAAAATGATAAACAGACACTCTTTATTGAACAATGAATACTGATGTCTTGACTTGACTCGCTGAAAGAGACACTTTATCAAACTCTTTTTGTCGACATAAAAACACACTCGATAAAGCTCGTACAAAAGGCAAAGTTGAAGTCTATTGAATATTGTGTCAATGTCTTTGACAGAGTGCAAATACAAAGTCTAAGAGGCTTTGAGAGAAGATGTGGTGCCTTTGCACTCATTCCCAGCTGACCCAACTGTCTGTCGAGGACAGTATTTCCATAATCCCTTCTTTATCCGTCTAATACCATCTCCTTTCTTCTTCTAACATCCTTCTTTCGACTCCTCATGCGGACTCGCGCCCAGACTCGATCTTGGTATTCTCGGGTGTTGATGTCGTCGTCGCCTCTGACTTCTCTCCGATAGATGCCTTGCGAGCGTTGGCCATTTGCGGGAAGAATAGTCCAGGATGGAACGCCGTAAGCATCGTAACGCAGATCAGGACTAGGCCGCCGTCGAGAATCATGAAGGAAACCTCATCCTGCATAATGTGGTTGCCCCATCCGCCGGCCATCTCAGCAACACTGTAACATGGTTAGTTACCTTTCCTCCTTTGCTCTTGCAGTACACCAGACCAACTTACCGGTAGATGCAACGAATCATAACACAAGCATACGCCACCGTGACAGCGTAGATAAAGGACCTGAACCTCTTGGCATGGTATAACGCAACATCGCCATCGCTGGTATCGGCCCCGTGCGCCCACTTCCTCACACGGATCCAGTAGTCCGCACCGGTGATACCAAACAGCATCAACACGACGACCTGCAGTACAATGCCCGCAATAATGGCCTGGTTTCCCCCATCTAGGAGCTTCTTGTTCGTCTGTCCCGCTGCGGCAGCCAGCCCTCCGCCGATGGCCTGAATGATGAGGCACGTGAGGTCGGCGGGGAGGAAGATGAGTGGGTACAAACGCGGACGAACGCGCGAGAGGGATGGGTTGAGGTTGGCGGAGACGTGCTTTAAGGTCAGATAGATTCCGGCGCAGATGAAGGTCGGGCCGAGGATGATGGTACAGATTTGCATCTGGAAGGCATCCTTGTTCCAGGGGTTTTCGTGGAGGAGGGTTCGGCCGACGTAGCCTGGAGTAATATTAGTTGTCAAAAACGGAGATTCTTCATGATGTTGGCACTGGATTTAGGGGCACGGAAGCATGGTTCATCCATTGTAAAGTTGGGATGATGGGTTCGTGTACGAGGAAATCGCAAGGCAGGGAAGTCCATACCAACTGTCTCGAGGACACAGCCGCCCGTCGCGAGAGCCATGAATGTCCAGGTGCGCTTCCATGTTCCAATGGTTGCTGAAACGAGCACGATCAAGCCAAAAGCGACAGCGAAGAAGATGTTGGCGCCAAAGTTGGGGTAGTAGGATAAGACTGTCATCTCAACGGGGCAAAGCTGCGAGACTTCGGTACACTCGCGGAAAGGCCGCCGCGTCGTGGTGTCGTTGGCCGACATGATGGCGATCGGTTTTGGTGTACTGCTGCGCAAAGCAGTCTGGCTTCGTTGAGGTTCGGGTTGCTTGCAAAGCTTCGTAAGGTGTTCGAGATCACGAAATCAATCGATCGCAGGTCTGGTTGGGTGGTTCGGTATCCGAATCCTTGTATCTTTCCACTCTCTTGGACTCTGTTGTCGGTTGCCTTGAGCCTGAAGAGTCAACAGTCTTATCGAGAATGCGTGTCAAGAAAAGAAGGACTTGAATTGAACCGAGATGCAGACCTCGAATAGAAATGGCAGTAAGAAACGCAGCCTAGGCCGTCATCTACATACATGTATGCGAACCGTATGAACTTTGGCAACAACATGGACAGCAGCCTTTGCCTCTTTAGTATCTTCGTACGGACAGACAGAGCGCCCATCTCAGGGTCCAGAAAATCCATGACAACCCTCCCCTCGGTCATCTCTGCCGTATGACTGGTCAGTCCACAGGTCAGTAACACGAAAACCGAGCAAAACGAGAGAAACGAGACGGCGTCCTCTGCAAAAAATAACGAGCGACTAGGGGTAGGCAGCAAACGGCGGCGCTAAGGACAGAGCCAAGATCTTCGTCGTCTACCCGAGGACCCGCTGGCCCGCTCGAAATGGAAACCACTGCGCCTGACGCTTACGGGCTTTGTGTATGAGATGGGTGGCCATTGGATGATGGTTGTCTCTCTGTTGGGTCCTCGGAGGTTCTGTGACATGTTGAATCCGTCTGTAATCATCTGGAATGCGACAGTAAGATCTTATCAGAAATCTCAAACTTCACAAATCATGTAGTTATCGGTAAGGTGATTCGAGACTGAGTTGCCGATATCCAGTCAAAAAATTTTGGTACCATACACTAGATTCAAGAGACAACAAACAGAGTCAAGAGGAGAGACATCAAAGGCAAAAGACGGGGGAGATTCCGAGAGACGGTACAGACTACAGAGACCAACGCCCGAATCTTAGCATCATTCTAGCGCCTTGGCTCGGGTCCGCAACGAATCCGCCAATCGGGGTGTTTCCTATCCGAATAACACGGGGTAAGCGATGCTGACAGACAGCCACCCGAGCACCTAACCGAGATATCGACAAGGATCAGTCGACCTTCTCCCGAGTCCCGCTAGAAACACCGGCGGGTTAGAGGCCTAGGAGGATCCGAGAGGTGATAGTTCGGGTCTCTCGGTTCGCTTGAGCCATATGCCTGCCGCTCGCGTGGCATCAATCAAGACTAATATTACTTATTCTTGTGTGCGACTGCACCTCTTTAGTACTTCACCCAGACAGTCGGGGCAACCAATCTCGCCGAAGCGTTGGAGGAATGCTGGCATGTCAGTGAAGAAAGCCAGCCGTTGCCTATTTCGCCAATCTCTCGCCGAGTTGATTGCTTTGCGACGAGATTCCTTCAACTTAGTGTTAGTCCTCTATCTTCCCCACGGATCTAGTGGTGAGCTGTTCAGCCCAGACTGTCGCAAAACTATGCACTCGATGACTGTCACGACAGAAATTCTGGGCCAAAATGCAGAAATGTATGTTATTTAATTAGATGCTCCAGTCGACGAGAGCAGCTTCTGGCTGCCGGTTCGCACGCGACGACGTGCGTGTCACTCGCTGTCATCGTCGCTGCTCTCCTCCTCTTCGTCGTCTTCCTCTTCATCGTCATCATCCTCTTCCTCTTCTTCTTCATCGTCTGTTTCCTCTTCCTCTTCTTCGTCGTCCTCGTCATCCTCTTCTTCATCCATGTGAAAGGCAGACTGCTGCTCTTCTTTCTCTTCCTCAGCGAGCCAGTCATCGAGCGTCTTGACGCCAACACCGCTTGCAGCACCAGCACCCACAACCGCACCGAGGCCGTTGGTCCTTGTTGGCGCCGCTCTGACTGCGCTGTCTAGCATCTGACTTGCCGGCACGTTCTTATCTTCACCGTAGCTCGATGTTGCTTCTGTCTCTCGTAATCTCCTGTCGGGTTCTGAGCCCTCCACTACCCATTCGGGAAGAGCATCGTAACCACGCAACCCGTGGATGCCACCTCCACCGGCCAGCACAAGCGTTGATGAGCCGAGCATAAAGCCCTTGCGCGTCTCTGATGGGCTCGGGGCCTGAGGTGCGGGCTTCGGTGCCAATAACATCAACGTGGCTAGTTGGGGCACAGAAAGGAGGGCTCGGTACATTCGGGCTCGGTCGCGAAGGTCGTACGATGTGTCGTACCGGACCAGTAATAGTGCATAGTCCCAGAGTTTCGCCACGGGGTGGTCGTCCTGGACTGGTACGGGCGCATCGTCTTCACCCTTGCTCTCGTTTAGTCGATTTACGTGATGTAGGTAGACCTTGGCAGCGAGAAGGAGAATCTGTCCCTTGGCTACCTCTGCCTCACTCGCGAAATCCTTGAGAAGAATCCGCATCACGTCTGCCGCGATGTTGTCCTCGCCTTCGAGGCCTGAGAACTCTCCCACGAGCCATATGATGGTTGCTCTTGCCTGAGGGTCTGTTGCCGAGTCCAGATTCTTCGCCAAACGAACCACTGTGCCTACGTGACCCTGGGGGTCCTGCTGGATCAGGTGCCGAATCACCGTCAGAGATTCCGCTGCCAAAGTTCCATCAAGACTCGTGATCTGTCCGAGTAGTAAACGAAGACACCTGGGAGCTGCAGACGAGTCCGTCTGGGCGCATCGCCCAATAGCGCGCACTGCTTCTCTCACGAGCGCCTTGTTAGTTGAGCCAGAAAAGTGCTCGAGTTCATTCAAGATGAGGCTCTTGATGTGTGGCGGCGCGTGAGGGAAGATGAGTGTCAGAATTTCCAGCTTCAGCTCCCAAACTTGTGCAGGGTCCGTAGCTCTGACAAGGAAGTGGCTGGCGTATTTGACAAAGTCGGTTGGCCTCGTCAGGCACACCGAGACAATGTTGTAGAGGGCGACTTGCTGGATGTCTTGTGGTCCCCTGAGGAGCGCAACGAGTGGGCCAATCGCTGTCTTGACGTATTCTGGCGTGCCAATATCGACGTAACATCTCGTAACCGCGATGACCACGGCTGAATTGCGGCTCTGTAGCAGCGGTTTGATGCCGTTGAGGAGCAGGGCTAGATCGGGGTCCACGACAGCAACCTCTTGCTCCTCGCCTCCAGTCTGCGAAGTTTCTCCGTAAAAGTCTCCCAAGTTGGCTGTCTTTTCCTGAATCTTGACGCTGCGTGTCCGCCTGGGAAAGCATTTCCTTGCGTAGTATGTCATCATTCTCAGCGTCGCCAGTTGACTCCACTCGTCCATATCCACGACCTTCTTGACCAACGCCCGGTACTGCGGATGTATGAGATCGATTCGATCGGGGCATATCTCGAGGAAGGCCGAGACTGCTGCACCAGCGACGAAGTACTGCTTGTCGCCAAGGAGCGCAGTCAAATATTCGAGAAGTTGCGGCAGCTGTGTGGGATCGAGGCGGTAGCATTTGGGGATGGACAGGGCGGCAGCTCGGCGCACGTAAGGACTCATATCTGCCACGCCCTTCTTGATTGCGAGAGATACGATCTGGCTGATGACTGGAACTCGGATGCCAGACATCGTCTTGAGAGCAAGGGCGCGGACTTGAGGATTCGTATCGGAGAGGGATTTCTGAATGGTGTTGATGGAGAGCAGAGCCAGATCGGGTTCTTGTTCGGCATGGTGAATGAGGTAGATGTAGACGAGCTTCTTGATTTCGATGTTCGGAGAAGCGACATTTTTGACAACGGAGGAGAAGAAGGGCAACGTCTTTTGGCCGCGGTACATCATCTATGTGGTCGATTAGCCAAGGACGGGGAGCTGACGAAAGAAAGCGCGGTGCCTACCGAAAGGACGCGGCGCAGGCCGTCAAGCACCTCGCGCTCATTTCGACTGTCCAGTAGCTTCTTGATCTGTGTACGGTCGAGAGGGCGGCCGGTGCTGCGGGAGCTGCGCGTGGCTGAGGCGGCATCGAGAGTGAGCTCTCGGGCTGGGACGAGGTAAACGTTAGCGAGGAGGCATGACGACAGGAGCGAGAAACGCACCGCTCTCGAGCAGACTGGATATCCGCGCAATAGACTCCATGGCGGGCAACAGTGCTGTCGGGCCTGAAGAAGTCGGGCGAGTGTTGGTCTTTGAAGCCTTGGAGATGTCGGGTGGTCGTCGCAGGGAGGGAAATGACGTCTCGTCGGTGCTCAAGAGGCTGACTGAGCTAGGTGGCCGTCGAGGGGCAGAGGCAGGGGAGGTTGAGGTACCTTCAGCTGCTGTATCCGCAGAGGGCGGGGGCCCGATACCTATGTAGCTCCACCACGGCGGACGATTCCTGCCCCCACCGATCCCCTGCTCACTCACTTCCACTCTACACTATGTACGTGACTACCTACCCACCTACCTTACGTTGGAGACTCATCTTAGTCTTTGGCACATATCTGGCGGTTGAATAAGAAATCATATCGAACCCTCATTTGATGGACAAATAACACGCTTTTCGAGTTCGATTCTCAAGAGGCTTGAAGACGACGCAGAGCATCCTTTTGGTATGTATGGTAGTATAATAAAAGTTTAGGTATTTTGATACAGAGCGAGAAACATGACACGTCAGTGATCAAGGACCTAGAAAGACTGGATCTCAATATCTCATATACTTTCCCCTAGTCATAAGCTTGTAGCTTCAAGAAGGCACCGATAGACGCGGGTAGAGGGTCCAAGGAAGTTCGAAGGAGCACCCCCTTAGGAGGCAAGATCAGTGAACCGGTCTCGGTTGCCAAGTAGGCTGATCATTTATTTCCGTCGGTGTTTTGAATCTAGTTGATAGGTAGCACAGCCAGTATGGAGACGTAAAGGACGATAAGTAGTACACTTACACCTGCCTTCATGGATGGCACTAGGCGTCGTAGGTCATCAGACCAAGCTTCCCCTCAAGGACTTTTAAGCCTGGTTTAGAAATTGATGTCACGAGTGTGGCTCCAAAAGATACATATTACGTTGGTTTCTGTCAAGTCACAGACTGTGGCCAGCTCATGGAAGACAAGCTCAAAGTGTTTACTACAATCCTTCCATGGTGTGACACTACCTAGAGCGAGCATCCAAGAGAAACCAGAGTACATGACGTCAGTATTCCAACACGGATGAAGTGTCAATCAAAAGGAATAAAAGACCAAGTCATTTAAGAAAAGAAAAAAAGGGTGATATTGCATGGCCACTGATACGACCATGTAGAGCAGAAGTCATAGACCAAGCCTCTGGTAGAATGGTGGCTGAAGTGGGTCTTTGGACCTAACTCACCCATTGGCTTCCACTGGGCTCTTCATTCATCCCGCTTTCACACCATCAAGAATCGACCTGATGAGAGTACACCCCAAGACAGAAGACGATACTTTCAAGTCTTTGAGGTGTCAATCAACAACAGAGGAGATCAAGTCTCAAAAATATCCACCAATGAACCCGACAGTGCTCTCGCCAGCCTCACCAGCAGAGCTGCTGCATTATATCGTCACCTTCCAACCTTACCCAACGACGCTTCTCATCTGCTATCAACGAGACGACTTCATCTCAGCTCTCGTATCCGACACCCACAAAAACCTCCACCAACACATCCATGAGCAACCCGAAGATCTGCCTCCTCAACCCCTGCTCTCGGCAACACTTCTCCAGACCGCAATTGCCCGTCACATCCGCGTCCTCTTCATCCCGAGCGTCACACATCTACGCGCCTTCTTGTCCGCCTTTGGCACTTCAGACTCCTTGATACCGCCTCCACCAAATCCACCACTGCAAGTTCCAAAGAGCCGGCAGCCTTTCCTCCTCGTGTACGGGTTTCTTGACCTCCACCGCGATAGCAGCGAGTGGAGCGCGCAAGGCCTCAGTAGCTCGGCCGCGGTGCTTATCGAGGCCGCTCGCCGCGCCGGCACCAAGTTCAAACCCGTCATCGTTGAGCCTAGAGACGCAGGAGGGCATGAGAATTTCATGTCACTGTTGCGGGATGATGCGCCGGTGCTGAGCGGGAGTTCAAGGAGGAGTGAGGGCGTCTGGTTGGGGAGAACTGTCGAGGTGAGACGAGTATTGGGCCGATGGTTTCGTTTCCAGACCGGTCGTTGGGATCTTTAGTACTTGGCATGTACAGAAACTGGATCAAGGCAACACTATGGGTCAAAAGAGATCGAAAGCTTCATTATATCGATACGTTGGACATGACCATGCGTTGTCCAGGTCTTTGCCCCCCTCCACCATCTACAAAATTCAACCCCGCCCCGAACGCCAAGCCCATGGTATCCTTATAACTCGTTTCATCATAGCAAAGTGACAGATAACCGACCCGAAACAATGATAATCTAAAGAGCCTGCTCCATCTCGGTAATGTATAGCTTGATGTGAGAGTCCATCTTGAGGAACTCATCGTAAGCACTGTGAATCTCGTTTTCGATGTTCTCCTTAAGATCCAGCATCTGTTTTGTTGGTTAGCAACTCGTTGCATATCGGGAATTCAGGGGAAAGTGTACCTTTTTCTCTGTTTGCTCGATGCGAACACGGCGCCTTTCGATATCCTTGCCCTTGTCCGTCCTCTCCTCGGTGAGCTTGCGGTGAACAGCACGAAGCTCCTCCATCTTCTCCTTGGCGTCCTGGGCCTTGGCAGAACTTTGCTCACGGAGTTTCTCTGTGCGCTCGTTCCACTTGAGCAGTTGTCGCTGCAGCAATGCCTCTGTACGCTCGACTTCTCGCACGTTGTTACCGCGCTCTGATAGTGCATCGCGTTGCTTGACGTTCTTCAGGTTCTCGTCCTCCTCCTTGGCCAGCTCAGTGCCTATTTCGTCCAGCACCTTGATACATGATGCTACGTCCGTCGAGACCACCGAGAAGGAATCGGCTGATGTCTGGAGTGCGCGCGAGCGGCGATCGAGGGCCTCGATATGCGACTTTTCGCTGTTGAGCGCGTTGCTCAGCTCTGTCAGGGTCGCCTGTAGCGCCGATGGACTCTGCATAACGTAGGGCCGAAGCTTCGCGCTCTCTTGTTTAGCGGTAAGCTTCTGTGCCGTTCTCTCCTCCAGAGCTGTCGTGAGCTCAGTCTTCTTGACCTTTGCGTCTTCAAGACGAGCGGCCACGCGCTCCTGGTTGCGTCGCAGTTCCAGCAGTCGCTGCTTGAGTTCCTCGTTGCGGGTCGTCTTCTCGCGCACCTGTGCCTCCATTGCCTTGCGGTTACGCTTCATGTCGACGAGACGCGACTCCATGTCCTGATTCTCCGAATACAGACTCTCTATGCGGGATTTCGTCGTTTCTGCCTTGTTGAAGTGCTCGTCAATGACGCTTGTCTGAGATTCGCGGAAGCGCACAAAGTTGATCAGGTAGCTAAAGATTTTGACAAGACGGTCGTGCGTGGGCTTGTAGAGGTCGTTGAAGCTGAAGTCCTGGATGCCGCACTCTGCAAGAAGACCTCGCAGGGAAACATAGAAGCCCATCAAGTTGCGGGTATCGGGGGGCACGATGTCAGAGTATTCGCCGCAAATGTCCTCAGCAGCAGCACGCATGGCGGGTTCGACGGTCTCGCGGGTCGCATTGAGAAGCAATTCAGCAAACCATTCGAAAATCATCTGCACCTGCAATGGGTTCGGCTTCTGGAGGTCGGCAACGTTGAAGGGGATCCCGATGTCTGTTATGCAGCCGACAATCTCCTTGTCCGGGAGGCGCATGAATGCGTCGGCTTCATCTTCTTTCTTGCGAGTATTGCGCGACTGTGTCTGTGTGGCGGGGATGATGCTCATCCGCGGGTTGTACGACATATTGGTGATTGGTTTGGGCTCCTTGAAGCGGTGAAATATACTGACTTTTCGGACTTGGATGCGATGCGACGGGACGAAGGTCAACTCGACTAGATTTGTCTGTAGATATTGGGCGTGGTGTTGTCGCGGTTTGGCATCAAAAGATTGCCGTAAGCAGCTTATCGGGCTTGTTGCTCCGACAACCCGTTCCTTATCGATAGAGGTCTGTGGAGGGTCACATGATCATAAGGTAGGTAGGTAATGTAGGTAGGTAATGGAAGCCATGTGCCCGACTTATTGCCGGTGTGGCCTGTGCCCTTCGGTGGCGCTCATGTCTGCCACCGTGGGACTTCATCCCTGGTGCCATCTCACATCATCGAAATTGGTGCATCAGGTGCAAGTGCTCCATACGCGAAGAAGAGAGAAACGCCGTGTAATGTATACCCTTTTACTCGTTGAATCAATGCAAGTTGATGCCGTGTACATACCTGTAGGTACATTAAGGTATTACGAGACATCTAGTGCTTGCAGGAAGGTGCGAAGGGAGGGGGCTTTCATACCTACCTACACAGTATGCCTGTGTACCCACAGGGCACCTTAGATTGGGTGTGGCAGGCGCCTTCCATTAGCGAGACCCTGGGTCCATGCCTTCCTCAGTGGCATCCAGAAACCCAAAGCGACGGGACCTTCCAGATTTTGCGCACTTTTCTGCCGACTCGCCAACGTCGCAGAACAATCTCAACACTCCTCACTTCTCGGAACTCTAGGAAACCTTGTCCCAAAGCTTCGCATGCCGCATTGCTCGGCACTGACTCGAGAAACACTGGTATCTTCATGCCTAATGGCAACTCCGAAGCAACTTCATGAATCCGGCACCTGGCCGCACACCACTTTTATCCTCCTGCCTCAAACTCGATCAATACGCCGGGTTATACTTGAAGAAGTAGTGTCAGGGTTCAGACAATAACCGGGTCTGCGAGTCACTTATGCCATGGCGGGCGGCATGGCCTACGGATATACAGGTGACAGTTACCTACGAAGCACGGATGCTGGACCATTACGTACAAAATGAGAGATTCGGAGAGAAAACCAAATCGGATATTCGATATGGACCAAATGGTTCAAGAGGCGAGCCTAGAACCGTCCTCATCCCCTGCGCTTCAAAGCAGATGACCTCGCCTGCGTCCTCAGAGACAGAGAGGCCAATCGAACCAGGCCAGAAAGCTGCCAATCCACTAACCAAAAGGTCCAAAGATGAGCAGATGAACACACCCTCACAGTTCGCGCCAGTCGAGATCTGCGCTGAACCCTAGCCAGTTCCCGCCGTTCTCCCACATGGCGTCCAGGTATTTCTGGGTTTCTTCTCTCCGACAGCTTTGTAGTAATACGGACTCTGACCTTCATTTCCGCCGCGCCAAATGGATCCAATCCGTAATACCCTATAAACCAAAAGGGAGCCGTCTCATTTCGTAGTGAGCCCTGTTGCCGTCTACCCATCAATATCGTTCCTGAAACGCCCCTCGCCGTGGGCTGCCATTGGCTGGAAACAGCAGACTCCCATTGACAGAGGCTCCGAGCGTGAAACAGTTTGAATTTACTTTTCGGGAGGTCCCAGTCTAGCGTCACCGCCAGGCGCCAGGGGGGATGTCATCAGATGAAAAGGGTTTTATTTTCACCAACCTTTATTGGTGCAAATCTGCTCTGACTGGCCATCTATGCGAGCACTCAAATTTCCTTTACCTGGTGGACAGATGCTGCGAAAGCCCTCTTTAACATGGGCATATGTGAGCTCTGAGCAGTGCCTAATGCTCGAAATCAAATCTAGCTGCATGAGCTGCGACCAGTCATTGGATGAGCGATCGACCATATTCACTGAACAATGGCGATCCATTCGTCAAGGTCGACGAGGGAGAGCTAGTCTACACACCAACTCCGCCCTCGAGGCCTCGACTGGTGACACCCAAAGGATCTTACGCCCTCCACGAGTCCATCAAGGCATCCAAGGGCGAGGAGAAGGGTCTGTCGGCGTACGCTAGCTGGGCCAATCTGCGAATGAAGGCGCCCAACGTCAAGCCAGTATGACCGACATGTTATCTGATAAGAGCATTGCGGAAGCTGAAATCGAGCAATGGCTCCTGTCTAAATCGGAAGACGGATTATCGAGACCCAGGAATGAGCAGCAAGCTCGCACAAGACCCTTGTCACCAATGACCACGCCGCAGGCTCAGCATTGCTGTGCCTGCAGCACTTACATTATCCAGGGGAGTTTGCACTACATGTCAAGTCTGACAGGTGCGAAAGAAACGCGTAGTCGACACTTGCAGCACGCCAGACCACTAAGAAACAATGAGCCCGGATTAAGCTATGTTTGGTCATCTTTCGCGGAATCGCCTGAAGGATACTCAACCACTGCCTCGTAGTATCAGGTTATCAGCACAGCATGATGCGCACCTGAGAACCACGATGAGACGAGCTCAAGAGGCATACGGATACAGCACCGACGGATACATGGAAATTGGAAGTCGAGCCTGGGCGGAAGCTGACGGATGACGAACTCCTCCGCAACTAATTACCCTACGCCGCTACGGCAGGCTGGAAGGTCGATAAGACCAGAACCCCGGCGCAATGACGTTGAGATGGGACGCCAATCTTAAGAGGATCGTCCCCAAGGCGGCTAGGAGTCGTAACCCCGGTCTGCCGCTGGCTCAAGGCCTCAAGCAGGCACGCAGGTAAAGCCTTTCAAGCCATACGTAGCGATGATGAAGCAGTCGCAAGTTGCGACACTTGGACTCATGCCCCGCGGCGTATCCTGGATGGAATGTCTCCATGAAGAGCCAGCAGCGGCTCCCATGACATAATGACCGAAACCTTCGACACACTGGGCATATCGCAGCATCGCAAGTTAGGGATACCCGCCGCCCGGAGACTGCCAAGGTGCTCATTATACAGAAACACGCACTATCTTTAATATTTCCGGGCATCGACTCACTTCCCAGGAGCAACTGCACTAGTCATGCTTGGGCAGAAATTGGCAGCGCGAACGACATGCTACAACATGGTGAATTACGTGAATTCATAGGCTTGCAAACGCAGCAGGCTACGGTTCCATGCGATGCATTGACAACAGAAAATGGCCACAACACCGTGAAGTCAGTCAACAGATGGGTACGGGCTCACGATCTCGTTAGACCGGGGGTTGTAAGGGACCTCACAAGATGCGAGTGTTGGTTCCAAGTTCTTCCGGGTCACGTCGTGAGCGGCGAGTGCCGGGCCCCGAGGTATTGGGCAGGCCGCAGCAAATACGGGTTGCAGCGTCTTTCGAGCAGCTTCTTCAGGGCAGTTGAGGACGAATACGAGCAAGAATTGAGGGTTTTCCAATTGAGGTACCTGCAGGTTCCCATCAAGCCAAGTCTTTCTCTCGTACAGAAGAGGGCCAGACTCACGTAGCGGCCCTCAAGCGGCGTTGTGCTCGATACGGCCCCCGATGACCGTGGCTGCTCCATCGCAGAAGTATTGGCGTCCCGCTCCGCAGGTAACGGTACTTTAGAGAAGAAGGACGATCCCTGCCTCAAGAGCAAACGGCCCCTGTGCCTCGCAAACAGGCACGTTCAGGTTTTCCAACAAGTACGACCCCTACAGGCCACGCATACTGTGGGATGAGAGTCAAGGACCGGCCGGCAGGGCAGAACGTTGCGCAACCGTCGAACCGAACGGCAAGCCACAACATCCAGTCCCTTCTGTCTCTCGCTGGAATAGAAGCCCTCACGGGTGGGCACAAGACACCGCAGCCCCCCCGTAGCAACGCGGCTGACGGAGGCGATGGGGCGGGCGCTATTCTGGGAGCTGGAGTGGTCAGATGATCGATCTGTCTGAGTGTTCCCCTCAAGTTCTCAACGGCTAAGGCCACTTTGGTCATGGCTCCTCATCTTTGTTCGCTTTGTCTACCAGGACCTCGACGACGTGAAAGAATAAGCTTGTGCGCAAGGAGAAGGAATTGACAGCTGGCCGGGCTGCTAGAAGGAAGACTAGCTTTCTCGTTGCTCCAAAGGCCCTTCCCAGTCGATCATCCGCCCGCAAAATGACGGCGGGACGGCCGGTAGTCACTGGCGCCAAACATATGTCAGTGTCACCGTCAACTCACCCTAGAGGCTGGAGCAACCTTCAGGCCAACGCCCCGCGCACGCCTCGCCCTGTGCAGCTATCTGTGAGCTGAGGTGATACCTAGCTCAGTGGACAGAAGCAAAGGGCAAGATGACGGTCATACAATGGGACATGCTAGGAGGAGGCTAATGCCAAAACATTCCTCAGAATCAACGACGCTGGCTGAGCAACATTTGGGGAAGGATGATGGCGCGAATCCTGAAAGAACGCCCTCCGACAGCGAACGGTGGTCGCGATGGCGCATGGCAACAGTGTTCGTGCAACTTTGTAAGTACCTACACAACGGCACCAGTAGCCACATCATCTTATGAAGAGCACCGCATTGGTTCAGCAGGTTGCGGGGCGCTACCATGCAGTGGCCGATGCGGCAAAGACTTGCGACTAGAGGGTACGATGAACTCTGTTTGCCCCCCTTCTGTTTCCCTCTTAGAATCTCACTGAGAGATGAGGGTCCGGAAACAAGGGCTTCTCCACGTTTAATCCTCTCTTGGTACACGGGTGGGCTGCCCTTGTTATTGAGCTGGCGGATTTGGTTATTCTTGGTTATTTTAGACTCCCAATATGTGGCACAGCAAGGAACAGCACTATGGGAACACCGCAAGGGCATGTCTGCATTGACGGCGATTCTTGATTGAGGCTGAGATAGATCCAGTCCGTCTCGATTTTTCAACTCCCGGATCTATCTATCCCTTCCGAGGGGATGACTCAGGGCCTGGGCGAATCTCCTTTCAGCCCCCGTCTTTTTCACAACGTCCCAAAGGCCTAGGAAGAGCGATGGGTAGGCACAAAGTGGACGGATGGACACGCAAAGTCAAACAGTTCAACCGAGTAAGAGTCCTGCGAAATTAACACAGCCCTACTGCGTCCACTGCAGACAGTACAGAGCAAACAGGCTATCGTTCTCAGACCCGAACCCTGCGTTTTTGTGGACGACGCTGCCATCTATCACTGGCTTCCCAGAGCTCTAGTCGGCAGCATTCTAGTAGAGCCGACTTGCAGCCGCCAACAATGCATCTGCTGTTTGACTTATTGCAGAAGTAAAAGAAACTTATTCGTAAAGAGTATTGGTACATGTTGCTGCAAGATCTGAGTTACCGCGGAATACGGGACTCGAACGGGTCTGCGGCGTCGATACGAAGCGATACCGAAGAGGTCCAGCGGGTACCTAGACTGAACCCCTCCCACATCCCTTCTTTTTACCTTTTTTCTTCTTCTCTTTTAAACTTGCACATACGGGCTTCTCGCGGTACATCGCGCAGGGCACAGCGGCAGCCAGGGGGACCGGCCCCATGAGCCCACCGTTGGAGGTAGAACGAGCAGAAACTTTAATACATACGGATACTGCACTACTGCATCGAGAGGCATGCCGGAACCGTTACGGCTATTATCTATCGATAACTAAAGACGGCCAGCCACTCGACACTACGAACCAGCACGATTCCAGTCATATTTGGGCTGTCAAGCCACCAAAGACCATAGAATAAGACAACGGCATATGAGACAAGCTCCGGGGAGACCAGAATGGCCTCCAGACGGTGAGACATTGGAACTTCAGGGGTTGGATGTCAGACCCGCGAGTCGTCCATAGAGATCCCAGGAGTGAGAAGCATGCAAAGCCGGACCCGTGTGGCCTGCTGGCAGTCAGTCAGGCCAGGAACCAGCGCCACGGCAGACTCGCACTACATCGCATCGCATCGCATCGCATCACTGGTTGGATTCGTTGAGGGCTCCTTTCTTGAATCTTGCGTCCTGCCCTGGCTGGACCTCTCCACGCCCTCTCTCACCTCTCAGTCCTCCTTGATCTTTTCAGGTCCGGGCGGAACAAGACCAGGGCAAGCCGCAAACCAGGACAGCACTTGGAGCCGAGCAGCAAGTGGTGTGCTGGAAAGCTGGTCGGGTCCACTCCGTTGATACCGAAGCAGAAAAAACTCGCGACGATCAGGCCCAGTCCTGGCAGTCCCTGATCCCATCGACGACATTGACATTCCCCCTGCCGGCAGGAGACTTCGCTGGCGGCTGGTGGCCAACTATCCCTCGTTCACGCAGGCACACAGGCACAGCACTGGTTCCCGGAAAACCACGCGAAGCACACGTCAACGTTCTCCTGTGGTTCTTTCAATCTCTCTCTTCGCAACAGATTGTCATTGGGTATGCGGACTGCTAGATCCATCTCTGTACAGATCCAGTCCCATTAGTCTCGACAACTCAATGGAACTCAACTCGACCTCAGGAACGAAAGAGACGCATGGCACGTTGCCCCTCGGACCCATACTGGGTATTCATCAACCAATTGACCAGTTGCCAGTCCATCCAAAAGCTAGGGGAAGCAGGAAGAAACACAAAACGCAACGCACCCTCCAACCTTGGGCACACATCACACTTTGTCCAGAGTCTGGTCAATCCACACCCCTTCCACCCCCTCCCTCTTCCCACCCCTTCACTCTTGAGTCCTTGCCCGACCCTTGACTTTTTCTTCCAGCCCAAACCAACCAGCCCTGGCCGTCCCATCCCTCCTGGTCTGATCTGGTGGTCCCCCAAAGGTCCCGGCTCATGCTCCCTTGCCCTGCCACTTGATGGCCTAGTTCGGATAGGTACCGCAAGGTACCGCTCTAGCAACGGCGCCGGCAGAGAGCTACCAGCACCGGCGCCAGCCAGCCAGCCTGCCCAGCCAAGCAACAAGCTCTCCCCAGTCCCTGCCAGCGTCCCCATCAGAAGAAGCAGCAGAAGAGGAAGAGGCAGAGGCAGGGCCAGCAGTAGCAAGCACCTAGTCGACCCAGGGCATAGTCCAAGGAAAAGAGGAAGGGAAGAGGTCAGTCTTGCTCGGGCGGGCCCCGTCTCGTGTCTGGTCTCTTAACCAAGAAGCCTGCTTGATCTGTGAAGGTTCCCTCATTCGTCATTCCATCATATCCAGCCCAGCCATTGCCACTTTACGAATACATTGGTTGCATATGACTATTTGTCCCTCTTTTTAATCCTCGAACTAAAAAAGGAGAGGTACTGTATCCGTACGGATACCTTGCTTTTGCTATCCATATTGCTCCGTCACTCCCGTACCTACAGACACCACACTCTTAGTCTCTTGTCTCTCCTCCCCTCCACTCGCTTTAAACAAGCCTGGCCAATACCCTCTCCTCCAAAGGCCCAATCCCATATTTGCTGCACAATCCCGGATCCTTCTTTAAGCAGACAAGCTTCCGCATTTCCTTTGGCTCGGGTCAACCCCAGCACACCTCTCGTTTTACTCGTCCATTGCGAAACTGGTGGCGATTCTGGTCAGCAGGAAGCATTGAGATCTAAACGAGGCCGCCCGTTCACACTCACTGATCACACACTACGGAGTACGGATACCTTACGGACACACATGCTACTATCCATCGATATTGAATAATACGCCAACGATCATGCAACCATTCAGACATTGGTCCTTTGACAAACACCCCAGTATTCTTCGATAACTCATCACCACACGCATACTCTGCCCACTGGCTACGACGCTTTTCCCGCGTCGGCTGATGGGAAAATGGCCCTTTGGCCCTTCCGTCGGAGGAGCGGTCGCAAACGCTCGCGGAGCGGCGCAAACCTCTCAGATGTCGAGGCACCACCAATATCATCCTTACAAGCACGAGGTCATATGGCCGGCGAAGTCACTGCGCCGAGGGCGGCCATGCCGAAGAAGCAGCGCCTCGAGAAGCAGCAGCGCCTCGAGAAGCAGCAACCGGCGCCCAGGAGAGAACGCACCTACAGCTTCTCCCCCGGTCGCAATGACTCCATCCGTGTCGCGGGGCAAAAAGGCTCGGTTCCACTAGGACCTGGCCGGTCGACAGGGCTCTTCCCAGCCGACCGAAATGACGGAGAAGAAAAAGGGGATCCCGCGTGGCAGCGGGCGCCAACCCTACATAATGCACGCCACGGCCAACCGTCGAGGTCTTCTCGACGCAAGACCAGCAAGAGGAGGAGAGAAGAGACGGACCGTGAGGCGGAAATCAAGGCCATGGCAAACTTCGCCCCGGTACGACCGGCGGCCGACCCTTGGACGTCAGGGCGGCCCATTAGGAAACAGAGCAAAAGACTCAAGACCGGCCTCGGCTTCCGTAGGAGCTTCGAAAACCCGCAGTCGGACGTTTCGCTACCGATATCGATTCACTCCAGCATGTCATCCGACACGGAGCTACATTCGTTCCGAGTCTCTGCCCTCGAGGCACTATCGCCCCGACCAACATTACGATACGCAGTATACCCACGATGGGGTCCCGGACATGGTTCGGTGCCATCGCGCACACAACAACAGAAGAGGAAAGTGTCAGAGAGGGTGCCCGAGTCAGTGGTGAGGGCACACAAGAGGGTCGACAGCTTTGCGGATGATTTGGACGCCGCCGACCTGAGGGAGCTGATGGAGAGAGATAACAGGAGGAGAGAAAGGAAGCGCCAAAGAGATCAGGAACGGATAGAAAGGAGACTGGCACGGAGATCAGAGAAGCAGCGTGAGGCTGTGGCAGAAGCCCGTCACAGCGGCTCACCGCCGCCGGTCAACTTGGAACGCGGTGTTCTCGGCCGCGAACTCGGATTGGGGATTGATGCAGCCTCTGCAGTGGTTACTTCTTCCAGGAGACGGTCATGGAGCTCATCACGGCATTCGAGGAAGATTTCAACGACCAAGGACTCCGAGCCGGAGCAGGAGCAGGGGCAGGGGCAGGAATCGGAGCGGGAACCGCAATCCGAGACGATGGACATCGAGCCGGAACCAGCGGCCATCCAGCACTTCCACCGGACCACCAGCATCCCGCCGGAGGCACCGCCTTCGCCGACGCTGCCCGCGCAGCCCGTCCCGGAGCGCAAGACGAGCACGAAACTCACGCCCAAGGCCAGCATGAGGTTGAAGAGGAGCTTCCTGCGGAGGATTTCAAGATCAAGATCGCCCAATGCCACAGAGTCTGATCAACACGCAATCTCGCAATATTCCTCGAGACAGGATGAGGGTGAGACCCCCCGCAAGGATAGTCGTGCTCGCATCTCTTTCTCGGCACTTTTCCGTCTGGGCAAGAGAAACAGGAGAAACTCGGGACCGTCTTCCTTCTCGAATACATCGCGCGAGACAATGCAGGCATCAGCCGCTGCCGCCCAGATCTACTCGCAGTCGGCGACGCATGTGCCCCAGCAGCAGGAAGAGGCGGCCGCGGCGCCGGTACAAGTGCCGACGCCAGCAATCCCCCCACCTGTCAACTACATTCCTCGCAAGGTCAGTAACGGCGTTCCTAAGCGGACCAGGTCGCGCTTCAGGGAGGACTTGCCCGAGCTGCCCCTCAGCCCGCCCGACTCGCGCGTAGGGTCCCCAGAAGTGGAGATGCCTCTGCCCGTTGTCTCAGAGTCTAAGTCGGGAGAGATTTCGCAGCAGGATACACCTGCCGTGAGACACGACACACCGACATCAGACCTACGACGTGTTGATGAGAAGATGGAGAAGCTGGAGAAGATGAGGCAGACGCCCACGTCGCTGCGACATAGCATCCAGCCCTCACCCGAGCCTGTTTCGCTTGCGTCCATCGACTCGGAAGGATCATGGCTCTCCGGCCGCGTTGGCGCCCGCCGCTCGTCGGGCATGCGCGGCAGCATGCAACGTCTCCCGCCGCAGAACATGAGCCACTCCGCATCGCCCAACGATACGGAGGAAGAACTCGCCGACGACGAGTACCTGTCCAACCTCGCCACGCCGTCCCGCGAAATGCTCGCCGACGAAGAACGCACCCCGCGCAAGTCGACGGGCGACGCATTCCCCAGCAGCGACGAGGACGAGGTGATGGAAGACGCGGATATGAAGTGGGGTTCGGTCGATAGGCAGCGCGCCACCGTCGTGCAGCATCAGAGAGTCAAGAGCCGCGAGGGCATGCTGAAGTCATATGGTGAAGACAGCACGTCGTCACCCGATGGCTCGGAAGAAGGCGAGACGCCCCAGCTTCAACGGGCCACGAGCGTGAGCCTCAGCAGGGGCAACGCCAGGCATGTGAGCGCCGGGAGCACCAAGATGCTCGAGGTCTCGCCCCGCTCAAGCGTTGACCACAGGAGGAGCACTGACGCAGTATTTTGATGAGATTATCTGGGGGGATTATTGAAGATGTTTTGCTGATGAATAGGGGAAGATGAATCGCCAGCCGAGCCCATGAGACGTACAATCACTCGATATTTCCTTATCATCTCTCTACGTCGAAATATATCGACACCCGACACTCGTTTCCAATTTCCTTACAGCTCTGTCTATCCACCGACCATATTCACTCATTACACACTATTTCCTTGCCACTGACGACAAAAAGCACAAAAACACTTGGAAAACGACAAAATCACGATATGCTCTCAAAAACTGGCTGGCTTCATCGGCTCCTTTCATCTACATCTTCGTCCCCGCTCTCAAGATTATATGCGACTTATCTCCTCCCTGCCCTCAACGACACCTATTACCAACCGACGCTGAACTTGCCTCAAGAGTTGTAGGCTCCTCTTCGATTCATCTGATGTACGATACGACCTTAACGACCCGCATCTTTCTTCTTTTCGCCGACGACGATGACGACGCGCCCTCTACGCACGCGTTTCTGCGCGGTGGCATTTGTTTCTTCGTTTCATGTTCTCGGGAATACAACGTTTGATACCACGTCTTCTTCCCCCTTTCCCTTCCCCTACAATCCTTTTCCGAAGGGAAATGTAGGAGGAGGAGTAGGAGAGGGAAGCGAGATGATTTGAGATTTTTTGTTTTTCTTCAATGCGACCCTGTGGGAGGGTCACAGTTGCGCACCCAACAACCAACCCCTTAGACCGGCAGTGACAGCATGCCTGCGCACTCTTTTGATGAATGCTCTGCGATCTTCTCCGAGAAGACGAGAAAAAACCTAGATTCTGAGATGGGGAAAATAGCACGAACTAAGGGGGATAAGAGGGGAAAAAAGCGACCCCTCGCGGCGATGCACTGCCACTTTGCTGAAGGGGGGGAAATCATGTATGTAGTAAAGGCATAACAACAGGAGGGTTTTCCTGGATGAGATACCCGAGTAGCTCATGTTCTGGAGTAGTGATATACACTGTAGGTGTATCGGGTAAATGAGAAACATTGAAACAGACATATTTGCTCTAGACACTATAATGTGACTTGTTACTTTTCTCATTCTTTTCTATTATGTTTCTGGTTTGTCGTGAACATGACAAGCCGGGGTATTTCTATAAAAGTAACTTATTATTCTATCCACTATCTACAACACTTATTTTAATAAATAGTTCCCTCCAGCCATTTAAGTATGTAATGAAATAGGATGCTAGTTAATAAAGAACAATAATACTTACTTACCTACTTCTTATTCCCAAGTTTTTCTTTCCTTACTTTCTCTTTCCTTGCTTTCTCTTTCCTCTAATTATGACTATTATCTTCTGCATATTTATTAGGGAATACTCTCTGGAAAAGGCCTCGGAGACGGGCTAGGCGAGAGCGACAGCCTAGCTCCAATCGACGGCGACCAGTTCCCTCCCCCGTCCGAGCCAGAACCCGACGCCGAGCCCGGTCTTGGAGTAGGAGGTCTATCCGCGAATTGCATCTCGGCGAACTGATCGTCTTCGAGGATATAGATATTGGCAAGCTCGCCCTGCGGAAACTCGCCAGTAGGAGTCGACGCAAAACAAAACTTATCGCACATGACACGGCGAAAGTACGAAGTCTTGTGTCCCGCACGGCTGGCAGCCACGAGCACCGGCTCCAGATATAATCCAATCCGGGTACGCGGCGAGGTATCGTTTGGCCGACCGCTCGCACCGATGGGCATCACAAACACGGACTGCGGCGCGGGACTGGCGCGGGGCCCGCCGGTAATAGGCGTCAAGCGCACGAGGTTGGCAGTGATGGAGAGACCCATGTTGGTCATGCTGAACTCCCGAAACGGAGACGGCGGGAGCAGCGCACGCTGATGGACGTCGTGCGAGTGGGCAAAGTCGACGGGGGAGTCGGCGAGCAAGCCCGACGTCACCGTCCTGGATCGGCGTTCGCCGGTGTACGGGTCAACGAGCTGCTGCTGCGGATCCGCCCTCCATGCGAAGATTGTCTCGTCGGGAGATGTCCGTATGATCTCGTGTTGAAGACGTTGGAAAGCGTGCTTGAGTCCTTCGCCGTATAACACGGGGATGTTGACGCCGAAGAGGCCCATGAGGCAGTAGGCTAGGTCTTCTGCGCGGGTGGTCTGGCGGTTTGCTGCCCAGGACATGCGTTCTGCGACGGAGTAGTCGCGCGGATGGCGAGTTTTAGCGAGAACAGATTCAAAGATTCCAGTGATGGAGGAGAGGGCCTGGATAAAGGGGCGCTCATCGGTGTGGACGCCTTTGGTTCCGAGACGGGACCAGTCCGAGGTGTAAAAGATAATTCGCCGTGGCGCGATGAGCTCCTGAAGTGTCCAACCGCGGGTGAACCACTTGGAGGAAGCGAGTGATGGGAGCCGGTCCATGGGAGGAGAGGAGGATAGGGGCGGTATGTCGGCGAGGTAGACAAAGCAGACACGGGCGAGGAGGTAGTAGGCGTACATGGAGTTAATGGCTTCGGTCAGCTCTGCGGAGGAGGTTTTGTCTATGCAGCAGGAATCGATCCAGGCCCATTCAATGTTGTGACGCAGTGCTTGAGTACAGCATCCTTGGATTTTGATGAAGCCGGCTTTCTTGGATGCCAAGGGCAGGTTTTGAATGTCTTGGAAGGTCACCTCATCGAATCCCCAAGTATGGGAGAGGATGGCGTAGGGGGGCACAGTACTGCCGACGATGAACATGCGCAGTTCGTAGGTGGTTGTATCGAGAAGCCACATATTGATGGCGATGTCTCTGGCGCCTTCTTCGTCCCTTCGGTCTCGGTACCGAAACCTCGTTATTCTGTATGGGATAATTAGACAAGGCAAGGCATCTAAAGGTAAGTGCCATAGAGGTGACGGGAGAGATGTACCACAGCCCGGCAGCCTCGCACAACTTGGGCACAGTCTAGGGTACTGCCATGATAAGTTCGACGGACGCCTTATTGAGTGATTTGGTGGCAAACGAAGAGCTAGCAGAATGATTTGATAGACGCCCTGGTCATTCTTGAGATGTTAAAGTAGAAGAAGGCAAAATGTCACGAGATGGGAGCATACGGCTTGGGGATTTGAGGTGTGTAAGTCAAGTGCGGTGCGCAGGTGGACTCCCAGGTGCTCTTCTAGCTCCCAAGTGACATCTTGGGGAGGGGCAGCTGATGGCGGCCAGTCAGCTGGTGGTAAGGTGCAGACAGATGGCAGCGGGTGGCGCTTGTTAGGCGTTGAGCTAGGCCTGTCACCCCTGGCAGCTGCACGTGTCCGAGTCCACCTTACGTAAGGTAGAGGTACAAGGGCAGGGGAAAAGCACGCAACGACGGACCAAACAGAAACAAGAAGAGAAACATCAAAAGGCCCCACTCCTACAGGGCCCGGACCCCGACGGAAGGGCCGCCATCGGCGTCGGCAATGCCACTGCCGCACTTTCCCGGTCTGCTTTCCAGGGGTCCAGGCGGGCACAGGCGGGAAGTCCAGGGTGGAAGTGGGTGATTGGTGTTGGCCCGTTGGGTGTGTGTCGGGTGGGTGTGTGACCGTGTGTGCGTGTGTCCATGCCGCCCTACGCCTTTGGGCCATCATCTCGGCCATACTTCTCGGCATACCCTTCCTTGCGCAGTAAGGTACCAAGAGAAAATTACCTTGGACGAAGAGGCGCTTTGCAAATCTCTTCCTCGACAACTTCGACTATGATTCCTCAATAACACCTACCGTACTTCACAACCGAACCAAACCGAGCATGGCAACGACCACAACACTGTTCCGGGTGTTCTTGCGCCGCCAAACACCCGGAGCCCAAGGACTGCGAAATCGCTTGGCACAACAGCAACAGCGTCGCGCCAACTCCAGCTCCGAAGCACCCAAGCCGAAGAGGGCAGAGGATCCTATTCCCGTGCCAAACACCATCACGACAATCCCGTTATGGCAGCGCCTCGGACCCTTGACCCGCGCCGGAGAGGGTTATGCCCGAGCCCAGCGCAAGAGGCCTCTGACGACGCAGTTCATCAGCTCCTTGGTTATCTACTTTTGCGCCGACCTCTCGGCCCAGAACATGAGCGGCAACGACTACAACCCGGAGCGGACAATGCGTTCCTTGATTATCGGCGCCATTTCCTCTATTCCCAGTTATAAGTGGTAGGTTCGGTCGGTCTCGTTCTCGTGCTTGTGCTCGTGCTCGCAGGACTCGTGTGGTTCTCGTCTATTCGAATAGTGACTGACGCAGTAGTGTGTTCCATAGGTTCATCTTCCTCTCCCAGAACTTCAACTACGCCTCGCGGCTCCTCTCGCTGGCCACAAAGGTCGTGGTGAACCAGGTGTGCTTCACGCCCATATTCAACTCGTACTTCTTCGGCATGCAGGCGTTCCTGGCTGGCGACAACTTCGACCAAATCATCGACCGCATCCGACAATGTGTGCCTGTGAGCATCGTCAACTCGTGCAAGCTGTGGCCTGCCGTGACGGCCTTCAGCTTCTCTTTTATCCCGATGGAATACCGCAGCGTCTTCTCGGGCGTGATTGCTGTCGGATGGCAGACTTATCTGAGTTTCCTAAACAGACAGGCCGAAGTCGTCGAGGAGGCAGAGGAAATCCAAGAGAGATCGCATGCGGTGCAGGCCATCGCTTCTCATGAGAGTTCAGTAAAGATGGAGGCTTGAGCTTGAAATACGTAGACGAGGGGAGGAGCGGAAAGCATAAATATCCTAGACATTCTTTGGCAGCATTCTTTTCTTTTGTAGTGCATCGGGACGGCGTTGGGCTAGACGGAGACGGACCATAGAGACATGGAGAACGTCATGATCTGATACGATTTTATTCTTAGAAAAAAATACCTTAGACTTTGTACCGTGTCAGTCGACACTGTACTGACACTGTCCCTCCGTGCCAGAGCGACGCCAAATGTGCAACCCAAACTTCGCGCCCATTTTGCCTTCGGGCCCTTGACCTCGTCCAGATCACAACCCTCGAATCTCCCCAACGCTGAGCCATTGAGTGCTGGCCAGGACCAGCAACTCTACTCTGCAATGGCGTCCATCTGCATGCGATCCTGCCGCGTGCAGTCCGCCCTCCGATCCACCAAGAATTCTACCACCCTCCGTCCCAGACTCCCTGGCAACATCCCTCGACGTCATGCTTCTACCGGCACCGGCTCCTCGACGGAATCCCAGGCCGGCTCGGGTCTGAAGACTGGCCTGTACAGCATTGCCCTCGCCGGGTCTCTCTATGTCTCCTATCTCTACGTAACCGATACGAGGGCCTCCATCCACGCATTGTCGCCCATGTTGATGCGCTTTGCTTGGAGCGACGCCGAGGATGCCCACCACGCCGGCACTGGTATGATGAAGACTCTCTACGATCTGGGCCTCCACATTCGCGAACGCGACAGAACCCTCGCCGAACACCCTGCTCTGGCAACCGAAGTCTACGGCATGAAGCTGTCCAACCCCATCGGCATCAGCGCTGGTCTCGACAAGCACGCCGACATCCCTGACGCCCTCTTCGCCCTCGGTGCCGGCATCGTTGAGGTCGGTGGCTGCACGCCCCGCCCGCAGGACGGCAACCCCCGCCCTCGTGTCTTCCGCGTTCCCAGTCTCGACGGCATGATCAACCGATACGGTCTCAACTCGCGGGGCGCCGACAGCATGGCCATCACACTGAGGGAGCGCGTGCGCAAGTTCGCTCGCAAGGTTGGCGCGACGGAGCAGGAGGTTCTGGACGGCGAGGCTGGTGTCCCTGCTGGCAGTTTGCTCCCCGGCAGACTGTTGGCTGTGCAGATTGCCAAGAACAAGGAGACGGATCAGAAGGATGTCAACGCCGTTGCTCAGGACTACGTCTACTGCGTACAACGTCTTGCTAGATATGCCGACATCTTGGTGGTCAATGTCAGCAGCCCCAACACCCCTGGTCTCCGTGATTTGCAGGCCACCGAGCCTCTGACGAGACTGTTGAGTGCTGTGGTTCAGGAGGCTCGCAAGGTGGACCGCAAGGTTGCCCCCAAGGTCATGGTCAAGGTCTCCCCTGACGAGGAGGAGGATGCCCAAATCGAGGGCATCGTCCAGGCCGTCTGCAGCAGCGGTGTCGACGGCGTCATTGTGGGCAACACCACCAACCGTCGCACTGGCATCGTTCCCCAGGGTGTCAAGCTTACTGTGAAGGAGCAGAAGGCGCTGCAGGAGACGGGTGGGTACTCAGGACCCGCTATGTACAACAGAACTCTGGATCTGGTCGGAAAATATCGCAAGAAGCTCGATGCCCAGACCCTCCAGACCGGCTCGGCCGAGGAGGCGGCTGCCATTCCCGATATTGACGGCTCCCTTTCCGGCAAGCTTCACGATCTGATCGAGGGCAAGGATACCCCGAGAAAGGTCATCTTCGCGACAGGCGGCATCACAAACGGAGAGCAGGCGCTCAAGATACTCAATGCAGGCGCCAGCGTGGCCATGGTGTACACTGGCTTGACTTACGGCGGACCGGGAACAATTACAAAGATAAAACGGGAGATCAAGGACCAGGCGTAGAATACCAACTTAACAAATAGAAGATTGACTGCTCAGTGCGGAACCACCTGGGCCCTTGACATCTGCGCGCCTCATAGTGGGAATCGAATAGATCGACCGTGCAGATCCCGAGATATTCAATAAGCTGATTCTTGAAGGGACCGAAGAACTGGACGAGTCTTCGTGGAACTACTCGGAGAACTAGACCACCGAAATCCATCATTATCTCAGCATACCCATTTGTGGAATCACCCATCGTAAGTTTTCCTCGAGCTTGAAGATTATTCGATGCATTACCTATTGGAATGCTTTGGTGGCGTTGTTAAATAAGAAGAAAGCAACCACAAAACGCCTGACTCCATGTGACCTGGCAGCGATCGGCGCCTATCAAGCTACACTTTCCTCCTGATAATCATATCTGTCTGCCTCTTCTTTTCCATGATGATGCCGTTGATGATGCCCCAGCAATGCAAACCGCTAACCCTCTTCTAGATGCTAGACTAAGATCGGTTACTACGGCTACTCCTGACCCGCGACGACAAACTCGGGCGCATTCTCAAAGCCTACGACGGTTACAGGCTGAAGCTGAGCAAGCTTCACCAGCTTCTCGCGGGCTGCCTCGTTGAGTTTGACCTCGCCATTCTTCTCCTCGCGAGGGCGCACCTCGATACCAGTGGGGTAAAGGTGCTCAATCTCGACATCCTCGCCGAGATCAAAGAGCTCAGACTTTTCACGGAAGCACCAAGGACGGCCGTCCCTCATGACCAAGTCGTGCGTGTCGCGGACGTCCTTGGCGTGCAGGGAACGATACCCGCCATCCAGGGAGACGGCGATGGAGCTGTGCCAAGGGGTGCGGGGGAAGCCGTCGGGGTTGTGCTTCTCGACCAGGAGCGGCATGGAGAGCTTGACGGCGCCGCTGGAGGGGTGGATGGAGAGGCGAACGTGGTCGGGGCAGGTGGCGAGGATGATCTTGGTGAAGGACTCGGCGCGCATCATCATCTTCATGGCGACTTCCTTGACGACCTTGCGGTACTTGTGGCCCGAGGTGGCGTGGGCCGCGACGGGGCTGTTGCGCAGGTCTGTCTCGAGGAAGCGGATGAAGCCGCGGTAGGTCATGAGCGTGTCGTTGTCCGTCTCCATGAGGGCGCGGACGTCCTTGTCTGGGTCGCCGAATTGAGCCTCAAGGGTCTTGCGGCTCTCGTCGACGAGTTCCATGTATTTCTCCTTGGTGAGGGGCTCGTTCTCATTGGTGAGACCGAGAAAGTCCATGACGCGGAGGAGCTTGATGCCATCGTATCCCTTTTGGGCCGCCATGTCCATGAGAGTGGCGCCGTACTCCCAGGTCTCGTCATCTGAGATGCCGACAACGTCTAATTGGCGAGTTAGTGATTGGACACCGAAGTATGGCTTTTCCAAAAGGGAAGGGCTTACCGTTGAAGACCAAACCATCGGTGGCAATGTGAACCTCGGCACCGTGGGTGTAGACCTTGCCAATCTCGACGCAGAGGTCGTTGAGTCTTGCAAGGGCCAGGTCCTCTCCAAGATCAGGGAGAACACCCGTCACCTTGTCGGTGCGGTTGATGCTCTTCCATGGGAAAGCAGGGATGATCATCTTAACTGACTCTCCCTTCTTGACGTACTCCTCCACACGGCCGTGGAACATCTTGCGTCCAAGCCATTCGTGGTTTTCCTGACCCTCGGGGATGATGTGTCTTCCAAATGCTTGGAGAACATCAAGAATCTTGTGAGCGACTTGCTCAGAAGACTGCTCGAGAGGGGGTGTGGGGAGTGTCTCTGTGATGATAGGTGCATCTAAGTCCAGAATATTAGTTGGACGTCTCTCGAAGCAACAATGATGGATGCGACTCACCTCCTTCGACGACATCATCAATTACAGCATCGATGCTGGCATTCCTCAGGGGGCTATGGAAAGCACTGAAAGGGCTCTTGGTTGCGCTCACAGGGCTCCTCAACGTTTGCTCAGGAGGCTGCAGATCAACGGGGTCGATGGGAGAACCGATTTCGAGGTCAGAGAACTCGACACGCATCTGCCTCAGAGGGCTGAGGGGGCTTCTCAAGTCTGAGACACTGAGGGGAGAGATGGAGCTGAGGGGACTCTTGAGCTCCGAGCCAAGACTCGGGCGTCTGTATGTCGGAGCACGGAGCTGAAGGACCGGTCTTGCCATGAGCTTTCCGGTGGAGGCTGCCGGCTTCTTGGCGTCCGTGGGGGACACGGGGACGGGGTCTGCGGCGGAGATGGCCATTTTGGTGCTTGAGGAGGATATTAGGGAGAAGATATCAATGAGTCCCCCAAGATGATGGCAATGAACTTAAGGAGGAAGAAAGGAAATGTTGCTTGATTGTATGAGAGGGAGAGGATGATCTGAGTTGTAGATAATCGATAACAATCATGGGCGGCCTTGGAGATTCTTCTTATACTTGGAATTCACTTTAACCTGGAATAGGGACCTCCTTAGGGAATGCCATCTGGATATCTCGTAGTATGCCGCATGCATTCAGGACGCTACTCGGAAACTTTCCCATTGTTGAAGCCCAGGCTTGAATCGCAGTGCGCTGTGGCGTCTAGGCTGAGCTACCACAAGCCAAGGCTGGAGTCTGGCCATGGATATGCATCGTTACATGGGAGTGGCCGTGTCTGCATGCACCTGCAGAGCGGCCGAGGGTACGCGTTGCCCTTTTCCATGGTCTAACTACTTACCACCTTACCTTACCTGACTTGACTCAAAATAAGCACACCTGATGGTCCCACGCTCGAGGCAAAGGCATTGTCTTACCTCGTGTCGGCGATGAGACTAGGTCAACACCGGCTATACCGGCATGATGGGCACGAATCCTTAGCTTTCCCCAGTGCTCGCGCGTGCGTCCCCTGATTTCCCTGATTGCCAAGAGCAGATGGGAACTTGGTGGTATCAATGGATCTTGTGGAGGCACCTCCCACGTTTGGAGGCTTTTGGAACGTAACACAAACTAGCCCTAACCGTGTCGTTTGGCTGAAGAGGCTTGACGTGGCTGTCGGCTACTAGTCCCAGAGCAGGTCAGCCAATGGATTGACACGTCTGGATTAGTCCTGGCCTGAGTGCTCGAGCTAAGCCCATCCGATTTTAGGTTCGTGAAGCTGGGAAACTGATCCATCACCAAATGTGTCTTAAACTTTTTGGTGCGCCCGTCGCAATCCGGTCATCTCTGTTGTGTGTCCTAGTCAGCCAGGCTGAGCTGCTATCGCCGGCGTCGTGAGCGAGGCGCTGGTCTGGTAAACTCAATTACATGCCGTATCCGGAGACTTTGGATAGTTATTTTCGATTTGCCGTAAAAGAACCAATGGCTCGGTATAGCATTCTGCGTCTTGAACATCTCGATTTCCTTTTGTCGACATGATAACCCCTCATTTCCTGTTGTAGTTGATCCACAATCGAAAAGTTGGCATTCATTCCTCGAATTGCTTCCCATTCTTCGGTAACTTTACTGGACCAACTGGCTTCAAGTTGCGTACTATTCGCATCATCACGATGGAGAAAGATCTCCCATCTCTGCCAATCGTCCAAAGCGTGCATTATGATGAGCACCATCAACTAGCACCTTCCGATCACCACGTCCATACCACAACCTACAACGACAAACAAGTAATCATGTCAACCAACGATGAGCATCATGTCCGACCTCAAAGCCAGAGTCTTTCCGAAGGCCAACAACGATCACTACAGGCAGACGAAGAAAAGGCTGAACTTGTCCCCCCTACGACTGACGGGCCAGATGGTGGTTTCCAAGGCTGGCTCCAAGTCCTCGTCGCATTTCTGCTCGTTCTAGACGGCTTCGGTTTCATCACGGCATTTGGTGTTTTCCAGGCATCATATGTCAAGATCCTACCGGACAGTTCAACCTCCGACATTTCGTGGATCGGTTCGATGCAGATATTCCTTCTTTTCCTACTAGGAACCCTGAGCGGCAGACTCATCGACGCCGGTCATTTCAGAATCACCTTGATCACCGGCATCGTCTTCCAAGTCGGAGGCATCTTTGGAGCTTCATTCTCCAGCAAATACTGGCACTTCCTGCTCTCACAAGGCATCGCCACGGGAATCGGCAACGGCATGCACTTCACTGCGCTCGTCTGGCTGGTCTCGCAATATTTCACAAAGAGGCGGGGTCTAGCGCTCGGGATCAGTTCCTGCGGTGCCCCCATCGGTGCCGTCATCTTCACCATCATCGCTCGTGAGATGATCCCAAGAACGGGAATCCAGTGGACGCTTCGTACCATGGGTTTCTTAGTTCTTGCTGACAGCATCATCATTTACCTCATTGCGCGACCCAAAGCTGCCACGCGCCAGGGTGGTCCCTTGCTTGAACTGTCAGCATTCAAGGAACTGCCCTACCTCTTATTCACTGTTGGCATGTTCTTCGCCTTGCTGGGTGTCTACTTTGCATATTATTATGTACGTATCTTCACCGACTGTCTCTTATCATTCACATTAGAAACGATGAACTAACATTTTTCCCACCAGGTCCCCCTTTTCAGTCGCAACAAACTTGGCCTCGATGATAGCGGAGCCTTGACTGTCCTCATCGTCATGTCGGCCGTGGGCATCATTGGCCGACTTGTTCCCCCATATCTCGCCGACAAGAGCATCAAGCCTCTCAGAACACTTGTTATATCACTGCTCTTGAGTAGCCTCAACGTCTTTGCCTGGATCGCCGTGAGCTCCATGGCCGGACTCTACGCCTGGGTCATTGCGTACGCCTTCACCGCCAACGCAGTGCAGACGCTCTTCACAGCATCCATGGGCGAGGTCACGTCGGACATGTCAAAGCTCGGGGTTCGCATCGGCATGGTCTTCACCATTGTGAGTTTTGCTTGTCTTGCTGGTCCTCCCATTGGCGGAAGTCTTGTTGGGCTGAATCACGGCGATTTCCTCTATGCGCAACTATTTGCTGGCGCTTCCATGCTCCTGGGTGGTCTTTTGGTTGCACTTGCGAAGATCAAGCAGGTTGGACAGAAGGGTTTTTGGCGGATTTAAGACTCTCATTCACCTTCTTTTTCATCTTTCTTCAAGGGTACCATACTATTCTTATCTGATGCAACTGCGTTTGCTGTAGCATAAGCATTGGGTGGCGTTTCCAAATTTCAGGGCTGTTGGCGTAAGGCGTTTGACTCTGAATTGGGTTATTGGATGGTGGGGACACGGGCGAGAATTCGAATTATCCAATATTGCCAAAGAATGAAATTTACTTGCCACCATACCTGATGGCGGACCCCCTCACATCGCGTCCATGTTAGGTATTCAAGGCTCATAGCAAACCCCTCTATCAAAGATCGGAAATTGCGGCACATTCTTGGCAATCTGGGGAGCTTCCACCTCACCGGATATCAGGCAGGGAAGCTCGCACTCTGGAGCTATCGTGGCTTACCCAGAACCCGGGCCAGAGGGCCTTTGAAGCCGTTTCGAGCTTGGCGCAAATCGGTCAAGTGCTATGGTGTCTTTGGGTAAACTGTCCCATTCGCTGAAGAGAATAGGAAAGTAGAAATTCATCTGAACGACACTTGATAGCCATTGACTGAAATCGATGTAGGATGCAAGCGGCTTGACTTCTTTAGCTAGATCATTTCAAGCGAACCAACATTTAGCTCCTACCTTAAATCCTTTGTCAAAGTGGCCATTCCTATTCGACGGAAGCCGCTGCGAGCCCAGTCAGTCGACTCACTCGACTTGATCTAGTTAGCCTAGTTCGTTCCACAGCCCTAGAACCGGCCCTGCGGTGCCACGCTTCGACGAAAGTGACACAGAGCCAATAAGTTTCCGAGACCAGAAATCAAGCAATCAGGTGTACCCGAGATTATCTTAGCACACTTACCACAGCAAGGGGGATCACTCAACGGCACTAACACATTGTCAGGCGAATTGCAGGTCGGCAGCAAACAAGCACAGCAGCAGACCCTGGCTCCATTCGATGAGTAGTATCAAATGAAGCAAACTTGCAAACCAGTTGTATACGAGTATGCCGGCAGATCCGTGCTTTAGCGGCATGGCAACCATGCATGTCAGGTATTGTGGCGTTGGCCGCGTGCGGCAACTCCTCAAGTGCTGGCATTTCAGCTTCAAGCCACATGCAGCTCGACGTCTTGCCCAGTCGTTCAACGCTCAGCCCAACCCGATGGGATAGACACGAGCGTGCCACCTCGGAAGCACCGTACGACCCTGGGATGCCGACATTCTATTTTCTCTTTGCCCTTGGCGTAAGTCTGGGGGCAAACTAACCCCATGCGCCGGGATCGTGAATGTCGCCGGCCGGCTAGGCAGTTCGACGAATTCCGTCAAAGCCTTCTCAAATAGATGAACTGCACAGTGAGATGGCATTATTGTTAGCTCTGATGCATCAGTTATAAGTCGTACGCAGACGTCTGGGGCGCGTTCTTGGGTCCGTTTGACTGTCACTTCAACCCTTCCATCACTTTGCTCTATGATTTTGACAGCAAGATGAAGCCTTCAGTATCAGCAGCCTTGAGGTATGTCAAATCTTTTCACCCAAGCCTATTCTTCGTCAGCGCTAACATATTCCAAGCTTGTGTGGCCTCCTTTCGGGTATCTCGCAGACAGTGCATGCCTTGTCTGGGACTGCGGCGAGCATCTCTACAACCACGCCAACTCCAACCTGCTTGCCCCGATATCTGGGAGCCAAATCGAGCGAGAAACAAGCCAGCCCGCCGTGGGGTAACCGTACATGCGAATCTGATCCTGAGAATGTGCCTGACACTGGCGTCGTACGAAAATATGAGTGGACGATACAACGAGCTGTCCTAGCACCGGATGGATTTGGTATGTTACATCAACCTTGAGCCTTGCCATCAGGTGGTCTCTTTTTCGGTCGACCGAGGCAGATCGGCTTTTGGGCTTCTTCTTTCTTTTTCTTTTTCTTTTCTTCTTATTTTTGCCTTTTCCTGCTAGGCACTGATCGTAATCGTTGCGTGCAGAACAAACACTTCTCACTGTCAATGGCCAGTTCCCTGGGCCTCTCGTTGAGGCCAACTGGGGAGATATTGTCGAGGTCACCGTCCACAACAACATCACGGGTCCGGAGGAAGGCACAGCAATGCATTGGCACGGGTGAGTGATGAATGATTGACAACCACACAGCTGCTGTCGGCTTCGTGCTTACGCTGTTGCTAGCATACATCAGCAAGGGACTGGACTCATGGATGGAGTCAGCGGTATCACGCAATGCCCCATTGTACCTGGAGGAAGCTTCACGTATCGCTGGAAAGCTAGCACGTATGGCTCAACATGGTACCATGGTCATCACGCACTGCAGTATGGCGGTGGGCTGTGGGGTCCCCTGGTCATTTACGGCCCTTCTCACGTCAAGTATGACCTCGACTTGGGCCCTGTCACACTCTCCGACTACTATCACTACCCTTACGAGAAGATTGCCTCGGATGCCATATCAACCAGTAACGATACCGCTGTCTACGCTCCTCAGTCGAACAACCACATGATCAACGGAATGAATCACTTCAACTGCTCACTTGCTCCTGCGAACACGACTTGCAAGAGCAATGCTCCTCGCGCATCCTTGAGATTCAAGTCTGGCAAAGTTCATAAGCTCCGGTTGATCAACACAAGTGTCGAAGCTATGCAGATCTTTTCCATCGACGGCCATAAGCTCATTGTAACCACAATGGACTTCGTACCTGTAGAGCCTTATGAAGTGGAGTACATCATCCTCGGCGTCGGCATGAGAGCTGAAGTTCTCGTCAAGGGCAATGGAGACCCAAAGCGGTCCTACTACATGCGCTCGAGGATTCAGTGTGCCGCGACCAAAGTCGACGAGGTTCTGGGGACTATCTACTATGACGAGACACCTGCAACGGTTGTTCCAGCCACCAAGACTGTTGCGGCTCTACCAAGCTTCTCTGCAACATGCGGTGATGTGAGTGCTATCAAGCCCATGTCCCCTTCAACTAAGCCATCATGCTAATTCACCCTGTCTTGGTAGCCTGATCTTCACTTGAAGAAGCCGATTTACAAGAAGCATGTCCCTAAGCCTGATCTAACGCTTCTCTATGACATCGACTTCAGATCAAACGCAAGCGGTAATCATCAATGGCTGATGAACAACGTGACATTCAAAGCCGACTGGAGCCGCCCATTGTATATCGAGGCAGTAGATGGTCACGCAGAGTACCTTAAGGATCCCCAGCACATCTTGGCCACGATTCCTGACGATGTCCGCCATGTTCGCGTGGTCCTCAACAACCATTTCTCGGTCCATCCGATGCACATTCATGGGGGTGACTTCCAGATTCTGAGCGAATCGGATGGGTTCTACAACGGCAGTCTGAAGTATCCCAAAAACCCGGCTCGTGCCGACACGGAACTTCTCAGGCGTAACGGAAATCTTGTTGTGCAGTTCGAAGCGAAGAACCCGGGAATCTGGAGTTTTCACTGCCATACTGCATGGCATGCCAGCGTTGGTCTCTACATAAACTTTTTGGTCAAGCCAAAGACAGTTCGACAAAGCAAGATCCCTGACGATGTCCGCGAGGTTTGCGCATCCTGGGACGACTACAGACAATTACATGGCGAGAATGCTCTACCTTTTGACAGCGGACTTCGATAAGAACTGGGTGTGCGACAAACAGATTGTCCTGACATTGGTTTGTGTGAAGGAGCGTCGCTTGACGTGGACAATATGGATCTTGCATAGCGAGGAGTTCAGTTGATTTCTTCATATCTCAACTAAATTATTTAATACAATTAATGACATGATGAAAGAATTCAATTTCTAGAGCCAGCCCTTTTCTTTGACTAGGTAGACTGCACCGAATAAGAGTGAGCTCAGACCCGAGTGTAACTAGAACTGACAAGAGCTTCCTCCCACCTACTAAATACCGACAAACACGACGCAATGTCCCATGAAGACCAACCGGATTTGCTGCACTTCTCTGGATGCCAAATTCACCGCACTCCATCCTCTGCAAATCCTCGGCACAACAATTTTACACAAGCTTATCCAATGTTCGCCGCTGCCGAGCCCAGAAATTTTGCAAGAGCACCCTTGAAAACTTTTCATGATTTATCCTATGTTTTCGTCCCTTCACGGGGACTTATCCATCAGCTCTTGTGCCTCGGGGTCTTCGTATTTCTGCCTTGACCAGAAACCTCCTGAAAGCCAGACAGTGGCATCAAGAGACCGCTTTCTCAGGGTTGTAGGTGTAACTCCATAGCTAGTAGCAGCGTCCAAGATGCGGGAAGCTACTCCTGAGGCAAAATGATGCCCGCTTGTCTGTTGGATAATGAAGCCGATGGCCGCAATGGGGCAATAGATAGCCATCTGCACGACTGCGACTGGGACAATCAAGACGCAGCCGACCATCCAGAGGAGCATGATAATTGATTGTATGATGGAGAGAAGAAGCCAAAAGATAAGTCGCAGTTTCGGTTTGGTCGGACATTGAGGTTGTGGTGTTATGCTATCTTCACGCATGTCGATAGCCGCCGTCATGGAGGACACCGACAACACGACTGCAGAGAACACGGTGGCCATCGTCACCGAGCGGTTGACCAAGACTTGCAGATGAGGATCCATGGCTTTGTTCAAGGCTAAAATGAAGTTGTCGAAGAATTCGGATTGGGTTGCAAATGTGATCGTGAAGGTTTCACAAGATAGAGGTAGGCCAAGGACTGATTTATTCAGAGCAGAGTGGAGACTGCAAGAGTGGAATGCAAATGAACACTCGAGATAGCCAGAACAATATCGTCATGCCAACAAGGTAGTGTAGCCGTATTAGGAGCCGGTCGCTGCAGTGCTTGCTAGTATAAATTCCTCCCGATAAACCTTAAATGACATAGTAGATAGGAATCACGCTGCAATCGAGGATTCAGACCGTCGCAATTCCGATTTCTCTCTGAGTAAGTTTAATTACTATTAAAATGTCAAATCGAGGCAGCTACGGTGTGCTATGGAGAAGACTACTAGCTCAACCTGCGTCCGCCTTCATCGGCTAGAGTGGCCTGGGAAGTCGTTGAAGGGAGTCACGATTCAATGAGGAAACAGTGGAAACAGTGTCTTTCGCATGAGGATGACTACAGGTTTGCCCAAGGCTTGTACTCTTCCTCACACATTAGTTTCTGGAACTGGCGTCTCCTGATGCCAACGTTACCCCCATCAAACAAGGGGAACACAGCCGCATCTGCTAGGAGGCGCGAGAAGCCGGCGCTTTGAGCATACGAGGTCCTGTCCTTTCGTAAGAATACATTCGAGTACTGAGTCCAAGACCGAAAGTCAACTTACATGCCAACCACTTGCATGCAGTCCCACACGCAGGTGACTGCTGAATCACTGCTGTAGATTTTGGCTGCAAGGCAGGATTCGAAGCGAGATTTCGCTTCGCCTGGGCCGTTGTCCAGGCTGTCGAGTGCTTTCCATACTAGCATTCGGGAGGTATCGATCTTGATCTTTGCACTGATGAGCAAATCTGCGGGACTCTGTCTTTGGATGATGGGCATTGGTCCGCCGCGATGGTCGTTTTTGCGAATTCGAGTGCCTTTTCGAAAGCGGCGCGCATGGTACCGACTGCCATGGCCCCGACGAGGGCTCCGGAGATGCCAAAGGCTTGTTCAATGTATGGTCCGGCCTTGCCGGGGGCAAACAGAACGTGATCAGCTGGCACTTTGAAGTTGATGTATCGGGTGTGAGGACCAGTGACAGCGATGTGCCCGAAAAGCTCAGGCTCGCTGAGAAGTTCAAAGGCCTCCAGAGTGTTTTGAGCCACAACCTCCCGAGTTACCATCAAAACCATCAAATTGTCTGCAGGGTTGACGCCGGACTTCTCTGAGCTGCCGTCCTCAGAATACCGTGCGCATAGGCAAGTAAGCTCTGCTCCTTTGCCGTCCCAGCCGGCACTGTTTGTGGTCCATAGCTATTGCAATATTAGACTTAGCACGGCTGCACTGTGAGGGTGTCTTACCTTTTCGCCATTGACAATGTAGAAATCGCCCTCTTTCTTGGCAGTTACCCCAAGACCCTTCCCTCCTTGTTCAAGATGGTTCGCAGTACCACCTGGTTCGGAATGAGCCAGACTTGCCAGGGGATCGCCTTCGCCTGAGAGGAAAGGCTTCAAGAACCTCTCCTGTTGCTCGGCTGTGCCGCCAAGAACTAGAGGCAAGAGTCCTAAAGCACTGCCGACCAGGTGGATCACAATGCTAGACTCGACTGCATAAAGCTCCTCGAGAAGGAAGGCAGTCTCCAAGAGGGTATCTGCATCACCGCCTGCGGCCTTAGGGATAAAAGCTTTGAGCAATCCCTCTTTTATTAACTTGCTGTAGTAGGGCCGAGTTGCTCGGAATCGCGTGAGTTGGTCAGAATGCTTAGAGTAATCTGCATAGGCGTGTGTCAGGACTTCTTTTGCAACCTCGGCTCCTTTGGCGCGCAAAGCCTTTTGGTCTTCGGTCAGATTGAATTGGACCATTCTGAGGGTGAGTCGATACTGTGACTCGGTCAGCTTGTTATCACTCTTGAAGTAAGAACGGAGAGTTACTTACAGTAATCAATGGGTAAGATATTGATTCCTGAAGTTTGACTACCGGTAGTGATGATGCAACGTCTCCCGTAGACTTTGAGGCAGCTGGTTCTTATATATCGTGAATATTTCTCCTCGCGGATCCGGCACTGCTTGGGCCTATCGAAGATGGAGGAACACTCGAGCTGAGGCTTCCCATCCAGAACACCAGAACTCCAACAAGTGCCATCTTTCAAGACATCCCTATCTTCAGCTCTCAGTCGCCGATCAATCAGGCTAACCAGCATTCTCACTTCCGCGGAAGTGCAAAGTTTCAGCAGGGTTGTTCTATCTTTTTACTGACCGTGGAGTTGACCTCTTAGAGAAGTGTATCGCGGTTGGGCATTACCCGCTCGGTGAGTGTGAGGTGTGGCTTTTGCGGCTAAGCATTACCCGGTAATGCCAACCACTCGGAGCGGCAAGGCTTATCCACACGCCGTATCTAAGCTGATTTCCCCCGCATTCTGTTGATATTGAATCTACCGGAGTTCACGGGATTGATCTATATCAGATAAACCTCGTCATCACAGCCCCTATCATTGGCCGTGGCGTTGGGAGCAAAGACACGGTAGTTTGGTCACATGGTGGGAATTGGCGTGGATTGGTCTCGACGATCTCTACACGACAGCTTCAGAATGACTTGTACCCAGAAGCTAATTACATAGTCAATACCACATCGAGACAACTACTTGTGGAATCGCTAGGGAGGTGCAGCATGACAGGACTGCCTGCCCAGCTACTATTGAACATCGCCGGGGTGTTGTGCTACTTCCAGTGCAGTATGACAAGAAGGGTCAATATGCACGAACCTGGAAAATTGGTCGTCTTAATTCTTGAGGTAGTTGGTTGGGGTAATTATCAACGGCTCGAGATACTCCCATGATTCTATGGACCGGCAATGCAGTACTAAAGCAGGCAGAAATGCCTGCTGCACTAATGATCATTGTTACTTTGATCCGGATGATGTAGACGATATAAATCCTAATGAGCCTATAAGCTAGTCTCGCATGCGATCTCGTTTGTAATTGAGACATGGACTCGCACGGTTTGGAAATGGAAGGTGAACCTCTAGATCCACCACCGTAACACTGGGGATGTTGACTGTGAAAAAATATGCACAGAATGAGGCTCGATTCCTCACTCAGCAAGGGCCGTCCTTGATGCCAGGACCACTGTAGTTCTGGCAAGGGGTTTTGGCATCGGTGCAAACGTTTACCAGAGTTGCCTTGTCGCCATTGGCCTTGGTGATTCCAGCAACCTCACCTCCATTACGGGCAGTCACGCCCTCAATGTAGACCTCACGGGCGCACTTCTCGCACTATTATCATGTGGTGAGCTTTCTGCTACACTACTACGAAGCTAGAGGAGGGATGACTCACTGTTCCGCACGAGCGATAGACCTTGCCGTAATCGTTTGCATAGAAGTTGATGATCTTTCAAAACGTTATTCAACGGCAAAATTGCGCGGGTCCAGGGCAACTCACGTTCACACGACCGCAGCCATTATGCTGAATGATCTTGTCGGCTGCGTGATAGGCTCCTCCGCCAACAATCCAGGTAACATCACCAGCTTTGTCATTCTTCTGAAGGATTCACATACCTTAGCATTCAGAGCGTGCAAAGAATATCGGTCAAGAACTTACGATGGAGATGGCGTCCTCGCAAACATCTTCGAACCAGACGAACTCGATGTTGCACCCCCCTCCCAAACAGTACACGCCCTCCCCGGCCGTCTTTCCAATGATGACGTTTCGCAAAGTGGCACCCTTCTGCAAAACGAAAGCTGTGTCTTTCTCCCCTAAGGTTGATACACAATTGTAAGCATAAGTATAGTAGATACCACGGCGTAGGGCAGAAAGTCTGGGTTAAAACGGAGGGTTTTCTAATCATACCTCCTTCTACCTGCTCTCTGCAAGAGGTAGGGTTTCTATCATACTTGGCCCAACCGCCATCAAAAACCTCGCCAGATTTGACGTAGATGGGAGCAGATATTTGCTTGTTGGAGGTGGCCTTGGGCAAACCGCCCTCGTACCCCAGGCATGCTGACGTCGTGGGAAGGGCTCCAAGAAGAGCGGCGGTGAGGACTCCAATATTGCTGAGCATCGTTCAAGAAGATGTCGAACCTGATGAAGAAAGCTTGGAGACGCAGATAATGAGGATTTAGATGTAGCACTTTTGTCCTCATGATGGTTGCGGCGGAGAAATTTATAGAAATTTTAGTCAAGAAACCATGACACCTCGACTGCTAGCGAAGAAACTGTACGAGGGGTTTCGTATTGAGCAATGCAACGTACTTCAGGTAAGAATACTTCATGAGTGTAGTTTGAATGCTGTGTTCATTGATCTGCAGTGAATTCTTAGTCGCGGAAAATCTTCATGGCTGACTGAATCCTTGTATGATGTACAAAGCTTCCTTTTTCGAAGGCTTGGAGTCCAAAACTCATCGTCGTTGGCGCAGAAATGATGTCCGAACTGAGAAGAGTTCAATCCCTTGGCTTTCTGACACTTGGTGCTTATTGATAGTCCCACCAATTGAAGGAGACGAAGTATATAGCATAAGAGATACGCTTGCGTGATGAACTGCAATCTGCGTTTGTTTTCGTGTTAACGTTTACTACGGCCATTTTATGGAGTCGAGATAGTCATTGCACGTAGGATTTGATCAATGTTCAGAATGTATACGTTCATTGGAAGCTACCAAGTTGATATCGGGCATGCAGATCGACGAACAGTGAAGTTGAGAGAAGTAGACACTCGTTCATCTACAATCTGGCTGAAGTCGGCAGTTCTGAGAGTCAGCCAGATGTTGTACCGGAGACGAAGGAATGTGAATACTGTACTGGCACTATGGCTCACAAATACGAACCGTGATGTGGTATTCCTATTGAGTCTATCCAAATGTGATGCAATTAGGGAACTACATGTAGGTTCACGAGTAGAGTTGTGGCTGGACATATCGCGCAGACACCATGAATCCATCCCATGATTGAGCATAACCGACCCTGTGACAAATTTCAGATTAGACACTGGTTGCAGTCTCCGGACATTGAGAATGCCAATGGCTTGGCCTGACTTTGATAGGTGGCCAAGGCAAATTAGGTGACAGGGGCGAAGCCGAATTCCGCCTTGGGGTAGTAACAATGGCGAGGATCTGGAGACGTAAGGCCCTCTAGCATGATTGAGAAATAAATCATATGCCGTTCCGTCCGCGACGGGGAAACGGGGAAAAACCATGGCATCTTGGCTGCATGGCAATGTGGGAACCTGAAAGATTCAGGCTCAAGGCAGATTGAACGACACTAATCATCAACGTGGTTACCACAAGAAAAGAAGGTGGACTACTGTTGTAAATGGGAGACCTGACATCAACTGACTGAGTAGGCGGACACCGATACTTGAACTGATCGAAACTGATCTACTTCGTGTTCAGACTTAGGGCAGGATGACTTTATACTGGAAGGTGACATGTCTGAAACATCTGCCTTTAGAAGCTCTCTGACCGCCAATGTCGAATCTAATCTCGTCGCACCCTTTGTAGATTCTTGAAATGATCTGGGTGCACCATAATGGATTGGAGATCTGTCGGGAAAAACTCGTTTCCTGAGTTTCGTCAGCCTAGCGCTAAATAACTTCGCCGGAGAAGATCGTTCTACTGACCTCGATTACTTGGAGTTGAGATCGCTGGTTTGGCTCTTGATTGCCTTCTCTGAACCCTCAGGTGGCAATGAAGCTCCTGCAGATGTTGATTCCTCCCACTCGTCTCCAACGAGCCACATACTGTAGGCTTGCCAGTAACGGAAGACGTAATCACAAGGGTAGAAGGCGACGGCCAGAATGTCGGCCACATTTGCGGTTTTGCTGCAAGCGAAAGGACTGCAGACGGGTTCAACGCAAGCTCCGAAGAGAAAGCCAGGGACGATAGCGGCAATTGCCAGACAGAAAACCACAATGCAGTAAGCTAGTGTCGGCGGTGTGAGGATGATAAATCCAAAGAATTTCAGGCAAAAGGCAGTGGCGAATTCAGCAGATGAGAGCTTGTTATTTTCTGATCGAGGTTCCTGATCAAAGAAGACAGTCGCATGAGCAGCATATGCAGTCCACAAGACCGAGGCCAGTATTGCGAAGCTTGCGATGACAATACAAGCTACTTCTCCAAAAATATACATAGCGACTACCTCTTTCTGAGCGGCGGTTGCGATAAAGCTGAACTCAAGTCTTCTTGGTCTGATGAACTATGAGTGTGCGCCTTGCGGGAATGGCCTTCAAGCTTTCAGGATGAGTCGAGGCGATGTTGTGGAATTGTTTCAAGCAAATAGATATTGAGGTACAAGACCGATTGAACACAATGTGTGGACATGTATAAGTTTAACTTGATGTTTCTCCGTTGGATATGTTCGAGTGTTGGTGTCTGGTACCTTGATCGACACGCACAAGGCTGACGTGTGAGCTTCAAAACATGTTCACTAGGCCACCTTGATAGCCTCATTTCCGGTCAGCCAGAAGCACTGGGAGACCTCAATTGGCAATAACTGGGCTGAGTCCGATGGCGTCATGAGATATCTACGTGAACTCAAGAACATGATACAGAGAAATAAGACTTGCTCTATGTAGACTTGTAGAGTGACCTAGGCGTAGAAAGCATGTCTTGAGGGTCGTGTTGACGCAGTAGAAATCGCGAGACAATACCGCCAGATATTTTGATCAAACAACATGTCTCAAAGGTGAGAAAGGTGAGTTTTGACATTGAACAGTCGAATTTTTGATGCACATTTACCAGCGCATCCGAATGCCTCAACAAAACAAGCCTCGTGATCCGGCCGAAATGCCACTTGGCTTAGAAGAGCTGGAGTTTTGATATCCAGGATAGACATCCACTTTGCAATCATGACATGACATCGCGAGTCATTGGGCGAGTCATTTGATAAAGATTCGCTCCCGAAAGGCCGAGCAAGTACCCATTGAGTCATCGGGCATTTCGTTCCTTTTCCTAGAAACGTAGTGACTCGAAAGAATCAAGTCTAGGTTGTAGCAGCTTACATCCAGTAGCCATCTTTCCAGAGTTCCTTGCTATATCCCTCGGTCAATCGTTCGTCCTCGCCGTACTTGTCCTGCCAGCCGACGAATCCGCGATCGAGAACGTATACTGTCTGGGGCTCCGCAGATGCCGAGTCCTCCGTCGAGCCAGAATTAGTCATTGAGGAAAGACTCTGGTCGCGCTCTCGGAGATATCGAAGGGCAGCACTGGGTCCGCGTTGCTGCGACAGAGCGCAGTGGAATACGACCGTCTTCTTGCCTTCGAGGCGGCGCATGAGGGTGGGCATTGTGGCATCGAGACTTCTGGAGGGCATATTTATGCAGCCTTTTATATGACCGCCGAGGTAGTCTATGAAAAGAACACAGATTAGCAGTGCACCCAAGCGGTTTACTTGATTGAGGTCAAGGAAGAAGCTAACCATCGTCGCGAACGTCCACGACGGCCACAGACGAAGTGCCTGCAGCCTGTTCTGCCAACAGCAGGGTGGAGAGTTTGGCAGCACTGATGCGCTGGAGATTTCCAATTGTCGCCATGGTCCGTGATCCGTGATCAGCGAAGAAACCCCGAGGAAATGCAAAGGCGTCTTCCGACGAGGCGCGTGAAATGGCAGAGTGATGTCGGAGCTTTCCCGAAGTTAATCGCGACAGCTTTGAGTCTTGGTGGGGAGCTTCGATGCGCGCGGGGCAAGTATCCGTATGAAAGGTCAGCATCCCTGTCACGCAGCTATGGTGGGGTATCCCTGCCAATTCAGTGCGATTACATAATGTTTGTTCTTTGCTGCTTTTTCAGCATGGCGTACGATCAATTTCGAACTCAACTTCTACTGAGAACGTAGGTACTTCGACATTGGACACGCCTGCGACGTCAATGGAGATCTGGACATCCTGTTCCATTGAAAACGCTAAATACACCTCAATTCAATCGCTTCAGTGCTTAAACCCATATCAAGGGCCTAGGCCCAGGCCAGCAGCCTTTCTTCAATGTTATGCGGCGCATCTCCGCTCTCTCGATCGGTCTGGCAAGACGACACCTCTCAACACATGGTAACATCGACGGTTTGTACGTTTCGATGGCACTTAGCAATTTGTCAGCCAGATGTGGGATTCAACGAGAAAATCGAGGACTTCGTAAAAAGGTAGGCTTTGCATCTTGAGGCGCTGATCTGCGTTGTGACCCACGACTTCTCTTCGTGCTGGCCCCATCTTGCTTGGTTTCGGTCCTCTCAATGATACAGAGTATCTAAGAACCAATCGTTCTTACGAAAAACTGCAAATGCCCCAAATAAGGGATGAATTGCATGGTACGATGATCAATCAATGGTACGACGGTCAATCAAGTTGTTATCCGGGACTTGGTTCCATGGCCCACCCATCTCGGCCTCGGTGCTTGTTTGGAACGCCGCCTTCAACCTAGAATCATGATGGACTAAGCAAGACCCCAAGATTTTGGGCCAGGAACCTTCTCGTGTGCTACAAGGAAAGTGAGACTTCGGATACAATAAGATTAGAGTTAGAGTCAACGATGCTAGTACCACGATTTCTCTCTCCTGTGCTGATACTTAACGTTGACCTACTGGTATCCTCTGCTGGCTTGAGCTTTCAACGCCTCTGAAGCTTTCACGTTGCATGTCTAGGTGTATCGCAATAGAAATTATGATCCATTCAACCCAATTACATTTGACAATTAACAATGCTAAATAATGTCGGGAAACGGCTGTGTCCGATCTAATTCCAGAACTGTCTCAGGGCGAACACCCCCATTAAACGGCATCTTTCCATATAGATCTCGCCACATCTCTAACAAGGACAAGTTTTTCCCACATTCTGTCCTCGGTAGTTACGCCTTGGTTGATACTGAAGCTAGCGAAGCCGCACTGAGGACTCACAGCGAGTGAGTCTGCTACGACTTCCGAGACGTTTCGTCTTTGCGCCTTTGCCATGACCTCAGCAGCCTCATAAACCCTCTTGATCAATGCCTCTTTGCTCTCAAGGTCTGCAACCTTTGTCGACACGAGGCCAAGAACCACATTCCTCCCTTGTGGAACAAATCTCAACGGATCAAAATGTCCAGACACTCGAGGATCATCAAACTCTAGGTAGAACGTGTGGTAGTTGAGTTTGGGGAAAACCTTGGCGGCAATCCTTTCGTAAGATCCTTTGGCGAAAGATGGCTGACCAGGCATGTTGCCGCGACAAAGATGAATGCCCACATGCAAGTCAGGTGGTAAGTCCTTCAGGACCTGGTTGTGTGCCCAAATGTAGAGGTCCAACAGGGCCTCAGGGTCGATGCCATCACCCCTCAGACCCTCTCTGAAGCCCTTTGTGACGAAGAAAGTCAAATTGGGATCGTCAACCTGTATCGATTTGAGACCCGCATCATAGAGAGCTTGGATCTCTGAACGAAATGCTTCCGCGAGGTCGAGAAAATATTCCTTGTCAGAAGTGTAAACGCCAGGGGCAAACGCTGTGCCGTTTGCAAGGTACATGTGTTGCCAGGAGATGGACGGTATGGACATCTTACAGTCCTTCCAGCGTTCTTGAGGGACTGCCTTCTTGATCATCTCCCAGGCAGAAAGGTAAGCCGAATTCACGAACTTAATCTTTGCCGTAGCGGGCACAGCGGAGAAGTGATTGTATCCCATCTTAGCAAGTCCCATGAAGGTAGGTAGGTTGGGTCGGAAGTCTTGGGGAATCCTAAGATCGTCTCTGATTGTCATCCCCTGAAGATTCTCAAAAAAGCCGCTGAAGAAGATGGTTCTCTCGTATTCGCCAGAGGTGATGGGCCTGATTTCGAGCTTCAGCTGCTTCTGAACGGCGTACTTGATTGCAGAAGATGTGGCAGCAGCCTGGTCTTCGGATAACTTGCTATCATAAAAGCCCAAAGAACCCCTTTCCTCGAGCAGGAAGGCGGGCCGAATGAGTGAGCCGATCTGGTCAGCTCGGAAGAGGGGAGCCATGTTGACAGTGTCGATGATTTTGAAGTCAAGATTTTCAGGCTTGAATCTCTCACAATCTGCCGGGCTGAACGCATCTTAAATATACTTCTTGTATACCCCAGACCCCGTCACCCCTTGAGGGCCACAGTCCACACTGTGAAGAAAGGTGATATTCTTCTGAGCATATGGGCAAGGGTGATCCATTTAGACAAGGGAGGAAGGATCGCTGAAGAAGATAAGCAGGTTTATACCTTGAGATTCTTTCGTCCATTGGCTCATTGATGCAGGCAGAAACAACTACGGATGAGGCAATATCGCCGGGGGGGGGGGGGCATTTCTGTTCTGATGACTGAGTAGCAAACATGTTTGCTTAATGACATGCGTATTGAACCAACGGCAGTTAATGCGCGGAGCAACCCTGCCGAAGTGCTCCATCTTTCCCAAAGAGGAATCTCACCTGTCAGATTTGCGTTGGTTCACGTTGGCAACATCCTGTTGGAAGTCTTACAGGTGATCCTACTCGGCGCTGGGAAGGATTCTTTTTGGTTGTATCTTTCGTCTCACTCTACCAAAGTCCCATTTGATCCTTTAGATCTGACATCCTCCATAGCCATCCAGGGGTGTGACTGAGATAGGTTGAGATTAGACCTGGGTACGAAAATCTCCATTCAGGCACCACGCTATAATAGAGCGGTCCCTCATCCCTATGCAAGACTCAATCTCGAATCGCCTAACCCAGTTTTTACATGTACCTAGCTAACCACAGTAGGTAGACTAGCAGCTCTCCGTATAATATAGAAAACAAAATGCTTGCTCGGGGAGGCCTAAATCTTGAACAGACAAAAGGAAAGGCTTCAAGTGTTTGGTCTAGAGTCTAGATTAAAAAGGACAGGATACGAAACTGATTTTAGTCATCTAGCAACAGGGGGGGGGGAGGTGGGGGAGGAAAAAGAAAAAGAAAAAAAGCACTGCACTTTGGACAAACCTAATAATAAGCTTAAATTTACACAAGAGTTTGAATGTTTTACGTAGTAGAAAGTCTTGAGTCCCGTACCTTACTTACTCACAAGATCGTTGTATTTACGTCTTTTTGGTTACTCGTCAATTGTGAATCTGACCCGCTCAAAGTACCTTTTGCATGGTGATTGGCGGATCTCTCGCGTGGTTTTTCAGAGGCCAAAGATTTTGTCCGCGTCAAAGCATCTTGAAGTAAGTCATATTACTCTGAAGCAAAGACAAATTTCATGCATTTATTGATCAAGTATCTCGTGTACGTTGCTGGGGAAGGTTGACGGACAATTTGCCTATTTAGGTAGTTTTTCCCATTTCATGCCTATGACCCCGATGATGGAGATGACCGCGACAGCCATCGGCACAGTAAAAGTCTCTTTGAGTGCTTTGTTGTATGCTTCAATGACAACTGGGAGTAAATCCATCGGAATCATATCTTTGAGATTCGTGGCTCCCATATCCGCAATTGTTTGTCCATTAAGTCCTCCCGTGCCATGCAGATGCTTGGTTAAGCCATTGGCAAAAACGGTGTTCGCGACAGACATCAAGATAGCCGGTCCAAGGTTCTGGAACAAAGTGACGGCGGCTGTACCAGCCGGTATATCAGAAAGCGCGAGGGTCGATTGGACACCCATCATCGGCTGCTGGGATCCTAGACCAATTCCTACGCCGGCGATGACGGGGAAAGTAACCCATTTACTCGGGCCAGTGTCGAGCTCGAAAGTCGTCATCAAGCCAAGACCCAAAGACCCCAACACGGTCGCTACAAGCATGAAAGGGTTGTACCACCCTGTGTAAGTGACCAGGTACCCGGCGGTTAGAGCAGCAAGAACTTCTCCGCCAACATAGGGAACGAGCTTGATCCCAGATTCTCTGGCAGATTCTCCCTTGATGGCCTGGAACCAAATTGGCAACCATATATCGGCTGTGTAGTAGGCTGCATCGATACATGCAGCGTAGAAACAAGCGAAGGCGATATTCCGCATCTTCATGAGACGAGGAGGCAACGCGGCGTTGTCTCCTTTCCAGATTTCAACACCAATGAAACTGATGAGCAGAACACCAAAGGCAACCAACAGGCCAATCATCGGAGCGCTGTTCCAAGCGAACTGGGACCCACCCCATTGCAGGGCCAATAATAGGCAGATCATGCAAGCAAAGAAGATCAAGAGCCCGAGAATGTCAAACTCCATGAGCTTCTGCTTGAGAGTCCTGGGTTCTCCTTGGTCGGGTTGCTGCGGTGGCCGAAAGCAGAAGAAGATCAATGCCAACGTCGCAACTCCGATTGGTATGCTGACGTAGAACGCCCATCGCCAGGAGAGATGGCTGTCAGTCAACGCTCCCGAAATGAGGGGCCCGATGATGCCACCGACACCTGAGAATGCGCCAAGAAATCCAGTGTAAACAGCACGTTGACGAATGGGTACACTGTGTGCGAGAACCACCCAGGCGCCGATGATGATGCCACTGCAGCCAATCCCAGTGATGGCTCGTCCAACAATGAAGGCAATCGAGTTGGGGGCGCTTCCGCAGACAGCCAACCCGATTTCTCTAAATGCGATGGCCACCATAAAGGTCCACTTGAGAGAAAAGAGCTCAAAGCATTTTCCGTAGACCAGTTGAAATGAGCAAAGCTTAGTATTTGTCAGTAAGAAAGATGCGATTCATAAGAGTTTAGATCTTACACTGAGCATGTAGGCAGAGCCGTACCATCCAACATGTTGCAGGGAGTTAAACTGGTTCGTGATAGCTGGAATGGCGGTAGCAATGAGTGTCATGTCAAGGAAGACCAGAAATACAGCCATGGCCAGTCCGAAAATGATCAAAACCAGTCTGAGGCCTTTTGGATAGTCGACGCCTGCATCATCGGTCTCGTCTGCGTTGGCTGCTTCCTCGGCCTCTAAACTAGGCTTCTCGATAGTCGAGAGTACATTGTTTATGTTTTCATCAACGATGATATGACGCTCACCGGTGATAGAAGCGCGTTTCGAGCTGCTAGAGGTCGAGGAGAGGGAATATTTCGCACCAGTCTGAGCCATTGCCGTCTTCTCTGATTGTGATGGCGCCATGGTGAGACATATGAGTAGACTCAAGATTCGAAGATAATCTTTCTGGGTTTTTTGAGCAAATGTATAGAGAAAAGCTTGAGAGTACGAGGCGAAGTTTGCATGAGAATCGCATCGGGAGCAACTACAGCTGAGTATCAAGCCGTCAGACATTCCTAAACAAGAGAGAAGGCATTTCCGCTTCCATTCTACGAATCACGACGAGGTGGCAACTTTCCACTAAGAGCCTGAGAGCTGACTGAAGTGGGCTCAATGCTTATGCCCATGGGTCCTACACAAAAGATTGCAACGTCCAGCATCCCGGCTTCCGGGAATGCCAACCCGCAGAAAGTACGCGGATTAGCAAGAAGGCCTCGTTGATCTAGACCTGCAGCCTGGACGAACCGGAGGGGTAAACCATCAGCAACGGGGCACCATCGCTCCCACCGGCCGAGCATCCTGGATTCAGACATGCCCGACAGACAAAGGATTTGTATGTTTCCGGATAGACATCCGGGAAGCTTGGTGTCCAGGGTAAGCGCTCATTGCGGAAGTTTAGGGCGAAATGTAGCAGTTCCAAGACCCGAGGATAGCCTTGGGTCTGTGAACTCCCCTGTGTCATCATTGGGTTGACATGGGTTGCACGACTCTTAGCGTCAATCCTTGCGGCGCAATATTCGTTCAGCCCAGTTAGATACGAAGAGATACTCTGAATAAGGCGTTCGCCCTGGACAGAAAGATACCGCAAAAGGAAGCTGCTTACCAGTGGTCTCATCCTTCAACCGGATCCATTGAGAGCATATGAGAACGAGCACATCCGAGTGCATCCACCAACTTGATGACCGGAGAGATTCGCTTTTTCAATTGATTGGTAGGATCGGACTTCCGAATCACATAAGTGTGACCAGTCCTCTCCTTCCAGAGAAGGCATAGCCTCGTAAAGTATGATTCCCGTCTCCATATAATCATTTCGGTCGACAGATCCCATCTGGTTTCGCGACTAGTTCCAAAATTGACAAGCAGTGGGAGAGGAACTGCAACGTCCAGAAAATCAGAGAATCAATCCCGCTTCGTAGCCTAGACTAACATTCAAGAAGTACATACCCCACTCTTGAACTGCGTGTTACAGCTGCAATCGATCACTGCCGACATGGTAAGGCTGCATTGCCGTCTCATCTGAGATTTAAGGTGAGCCCAGCCGACTTCAAGTTTGATAGCTTGTTTTGGTGACTAACAGTCCCGGCCGTTGAGCTAAGCTAATTATTGTCTTCATTTAGCTTTCCAACCTAAGCATAATACCAGAGAATTGCAAAGATGATGAATTCTGCCTCGCAGGGTTGAATTTTAATTCCCGTTCCGTGATTAGCCTCTCTCGTACGTTAGCCTGTCGTCAACACATATCTCGCCCGAGGAATATGGCTAGATTGGCGCGGATGGATCAGCATCCTGACCGTCCCCCTGAAACAGGATAGATGCTGTACACATTCGAGGAAAAAAAGTTCCTGTCATCTGTGCCCGATGGTCTCGATTGGTCTCCAAGTGTCCAGTATCCTCTTTGTGTGACGAAACCTTCATACGGCGTGGGTCCGAATCATCCAGACTGCGGTGTTTCGGCTATCACGAATTCACGATGCTGACGAATCGCCCACAGTCTTACCTCATTTCATGAGGTTAGCGTGGTGACTATATCAAATCCGGTGAGACTGTCGCCTACTTACCGAGATTTGTAGAAGACTATCAGGAAGGAATTTTGAAGGATGTGACGAAGCTTGTCCTGCAATAGGATGAAGGCGAGGCAACCACCTTCCCAACACCCTAAGGCGCTGCGCGATGGGCCAGGCGTATGTGACCAGCCCTTGCCCTAGGCCGTGGCAAATTCAGATGCTCTGATGATGGAATCAGCCTATTGAAGCAATTTCATTCTTGAGGCGCAGTCGAATCTCGGAAGGAGCTTCCCCTCTGCGCCCCTGAGTGATGGTCGAGATGTTGATCGTTATTGCGTCAACGAAGACCATTTGGGAGACAGAAGTCTTAAGAGATAGATGGGCGGCCCTTGAACTGACCTACCACAATAATTTGCGTTCGTAAAGCCTCTGCGACTTGTTCAATACAGAGATTCCCGAATTGCAGCAGCGTACTATTCGCGTTTCATTCTCGCTATCACTAATTTAAATCTCTTGTCTACGAAAAGGACTTGAAAAATGGCAGCTTCAGTCTATTTAGGTTCCCGCACACCCTCGAGGTCTGTTGAGGTGATTTTCTTCCAGTACCACAAGTTTCAAAGTCTCAAAGAACAAGCCCAATGCTCAGCCTCCTCCATCATTCGACTTGCATGCGCAATATGTTTACAGGCTTTCTCGCCTAGCGAGCGTATTTGCTTGGCTTTCCAGGGCAAGGAAAAGGTCTGGCAACCTTGGAGTAAAAGCATCAGTTGTAATGACAGAATTTTACCTTTACTCCAAGCCGAACTTGACACCCCGCAAATAAGTCTGCCAGTGGACGAGGATATCTTCAGACATGCGCTCTCAGTCTCTGCTCTTGAGGAAGACTTTCAGACATTTGAGAACCAACCGCCACTGGCAAGTCTGAAAGGAGTCTACCAAGATGTGAGTTGCTGCCTGCACATTACCTGGTTACGTTTGTTTTATTCTTTTTTACTAAACTTGTTCAGGTAGAAATGCTCTTTACTGCCAAGTGGGACCACTTCACCCGAGGCATTTTATTGAAGTGCGAATACACCGTGTCTTGTCTGTCAGACTGGCAAGCTAGATGCATCCTATCCACCTTCCGGCAGGTGCTGGAGAACATCGTCTCGAACCCTTACTCCAGAGTTGCGGAAATTGAGCTCATGAATGACCGCGATTATCAACAGTGTCTTGACTGGAATGAGCGCTCCTCGGACCATTCCGATATCAGTGTGGACAAGATGATCGACAAGCACATCCAGGATTCTCCCCTCAGCCCAGCTGTAGATGCATGGGATGGCCAATTTTCTTACGCTGAGCTACATGCGGTTTCTTCCAGAGTTGCCCAAGAGCTTCGACAGCGTGGCATCGGCCCTGAATCCACCGTTGCGCTATTCTTCGACAAGAGTGTTTGGAACATCGTAGCTACTGTGGCAGTTCTCAAAGCCGGCGGTGCATTCGTTCCCTTGGACCCCTCGCAGCCCGACAACCGAACATCTTTCATTTTGGAAAGGATTCAGGCAAAAGTTGTTTTGTGTTCCGAAATCTATACCCAGCACCTGCTGCACTTTTCCCAGAATGTACTTGGCTTGGGTAACTCTTGGTTTCAGGTGGCCCCTTCACCCATCCCTCAAAGCGCTTCGACCATTTTGCCATGGAACCTGGCGTATGTCATGTTCACCTCAGGAAGCACAGGAGAGCCCAAAGGTGTGATGATTGATCACTCTGCTTGCGGTGCAAGTGTCGTCGCTCACGGGCAAGCGACTGGCTTCAGTCACAACACTAGGACTATCCAATATGCTCGCCACACTTTCGATGCATCCATTGCGGAAATTTTGACTACACTTGCCTTCGGGGGATGTATAGTCGTTCCATCTACGGATGAGCGGCTAGACAACATCACAGCTGTCATTCAGGAGAAGAGGGTAAACTGGGCATTCTTTACGCCTTCAGTGCTTCGTCTGCTGGAGCCTTTGGAGGTTCCAGGCTTGACGACTGTCGTCGTCGGCGGCGAGTCCCTAGGCCAAGATATTATCGAGGCATGGGCAGCAGGCCGCAATCTCATCAATGGGTATGGCCCTACCGAGAACACCGTTTTTTCCACCATGCACCCATTGTCACTATCCTCCAAGGCAGGGGCGATCGGACGCGGGGTTGGTACACTTTGTTGGATTACCGATCCTGAAGATCCTAACCGTTTGTCACCCCTCGGGGCTGTCGGCGAGCTGCTGTTAGAAAGCTCTCAACTTGCAAGAGGCTACTTGAGCTTTGCCGACAACGAAGGTCCAAACCAAGCTTTTGTTCGAGATCCGCCCTGGCTTGCCAAACACGGTCGCCGGTCCAGACTTTACAAAACCGGAGATCTCTGCCGCTTCGACGAGAATGGTGTGATTCACTTCGAAGGCCGCAAGGACACTCAACTTAAGATATCTGGGCAGCGTCTGGAGGCTTCAGAGGTTGAGTACCACCTTCGAGCTGCATTTCGCACCCCGGACATCATCGTAGATGTGCTTAATCGACCGACTCAAGACACAAAGGCACAGTCTAAGGTTCTCGTAGCTTTTGTTTGCCTCCAGAGAGAATCTGACCAAAGGCCAGACACTGCGTCAAACTATATCATGATTCGGCGGCACCCACCTCTTCTAGAAGCAATCCCCAATGTCGAAGAGGAAATGTCTCAAAAGCTTCCATCATGGATGCGTCCATCAATCTACATCCCTCTCTTTGACTTCCCGTTGAGCCCAAATGGGAAGGCTGACGTCAAGAGACTCCGACGTGAAGCCGCATCCCTGACGGCCGAGCAGTTTTACCTCTTCGCCCAGACTGACGCTATCGTGCAAGTCGAAGAGACGCCCCAGCTCTGTCTCCTGCGAGACCTCTGGGCTGAGGTGCTTGGAATCCAGCCTGTCGCGATCGTGGCTACGAGTAGTTTCTTCCGTCTTGGCGGAGACTCGCTTGCGGCTATCAGTCTAGTAAATGCTGCTCGAAGAAAAGGATTGCAACTGAGTGTCGCTCAGATTTTCAAGAGTCCTTCTTTGCGAGATCTTTGCCTACTTGTGACTGAGTTCAAGAAGACGATGTTTGAGGTACGGCCGTTCGAGCTTGTCAACAAGGAAGGCTTTAGAGAAGTACTCGATGAGATTTCCTGCGAATGTGCCATTAGCACAAAAGACATCGAAGATGTGTTTCCTTGTACTCCTTTACAGGAAGGTCTCATGGCACTATCTTCTTCGACTCCCAACTCTTACTTGGTACAGTACGTTCTTGACACCACCGTCGACATCGATATTGCAAGGTTGAAGATGGCTTGGGAGACTGTCGCCAAGGCTCACGGAATGCTCCGTGTCCGATTGGTTGACACCATTTCTTCGGGTATCCTCCAAGTCATAGTCCGAGAGAACTTGACGTGGAACGAGAGCTTCAATCTCGAAGAATATCTCGAGGTGGACTTGAACGTACCTTCAACCCTCGGAGTGCCGCTCAATCGGTTCGGCATCATATATAATGCAAGAGGGGACGCTTCTCACATGGTATGGACGGTGCACCACGCTGTTACTGATGGCCAGGCTGTTGGCCTCACCCTTCAATCAGTACGGGATGCGTTCCATGGTGCTCTTAAGTCAACTCAAGCTTCCTTCGCCTCATTTATGAAGCATTTCAAGGACATGCATATGGAATCTGCATCGAGGTACTGGAGCTCAGTCTTCGAGGGAGGAGAGTTTGCATCATTTCCGAGGAAGCCATCAGCAGTGCATGGTGCCCTGGAGCATCAAGGACCAGCTTTTGCTCTTCGAAAAGTCCCTGTGCCATCATCAAGTACGGATGCCACTGCAACTACTATGCTGCGTGCAGCTTGGGCATTGGTCATTAGCCGCTTTAGCAACTCTGACGACGTCGTCTTTGGTGTTACATCGTCTGGGAGGAATGCCCCTTTTGACAATATCGATTCCATCCTCGGGCCAATCATCGCAACTGTCCCATTGAGGGTACGATGTAATGGCTCATCGACGGTCCGCGACTTGCTTGACAGCATACAGATGAGCACGATCAACATGATCCCTTTCGAGCAGATGGGAATACAGAATATTGCTCGCATCAATCCTTCATGCCGATCAGCCTGTGACTTTCAAACTATGATGATCGTACAGCCAGAGGTCGACATGGCCATGGAGAACGGTCCATTCGTCAGCTATCATAGGCCTCAGGATCTTGACAAGTTCAGATCTCACGCTATCATGTTTGAGTGCAATCTTGGACAGCACGAGGTCTTTCTGAATGTGAACTACGATCCTCAGTCTGTCGAAGCTGCCGAGATGGAACGCCTTGTCGACTACTTCGCAAGCGCTCTTGAGTTCCTGGCATCTTCCGAACACCAAGTCCTGGATGATTTCTTCCGCAATCCCATCGCAAAGGATCTGTCCGATATCAGGGAGTGGAACAAACTTCCGCCGCAAATGGTCGATACATGTGTTCACACAGTCTTCGAAGAACACGTGCGCAATCAACCCGACGCTCAAGCCGTTTTCGCATGGGATGGTTCTCTGACCTACCTTGAACTCGACACAATGGCATCCCAGCTTGCTCGAGTCTTGATGGAACTGGGTGTTGGGCCAGAAAAGATGGTACCATATTGCTTCGAAAAGTCAATGTATACCGTCATCTCGATGCTTGCCATTCTCAAAGCGGGAGGCGCGATGGTCCCTCTTGACCCCGCCCATCCACAGGACCGCAAAGCGTTCATTGTTCGCAACACAATGGCAAACGTGGTTGTTGCTTCTGGTGGCAATGCAGATGCGTTCGCTGAACTGGATGTTCGCACTGTTGTTGTTGACTCAAACTTCTTTGCCAAGGTTGAGGAAGTTGGAGTTGCCACCTTTTCTAACCATGAGGTTGAACCATGCAATGCCGCAACTGTCATCTTCACATCTGGCAGCACTGGACAGCCCAAGGGTGTCATTCAGGAACACAAGACCTTGTGTTCAGCGGCCAATGCTCATTCTAGTGGGATGCACATGTCCAAGGGCTCAAGGATCCTCCAATTCTCCGCTCATGTCTTTGACGTCAGCATCATTGAGATTGTCAATTCTTTCGTTCTTGGAGCCTGCATTTGTGTACCATCTGATGAAGAGAGGATGAATAATCTCGCCGGGTTTATTTCGAGGTCGCAGGCAAATTGGGCCTTCTTCACTCCGTCCTTCGCAAGAACTCTTGAGCCGAAGGATCTCCCCAGCATCAAGACTATCTGCATGGGTGGAGAAGCAATGACCATGGATTGCATCGATACCTGGTCTGAGATCGTGCAGCTCATCAATGCGTACGGTCCTTGCGAAGGCAGTGTCTGTACCACTGCTAATATCAGTAGTGGTGGGTTCAAGACAGATTCTATTGGTCATGGAGCCAACACTCTCGTCTGGATCGTCGATCCAGGCAATCATGACATCCTGGCACCAATCGGCACTGTTGGTGAGCTTTTGATCGAAGGGCCCAGTATTGCTCGTGGATATCTCGGCGATCCAGACAAGACAGCCAAGGCGTTCATCACGAATCCGGCTTGGGTCACCCAATTCGAGACTGGCATTACTGTCAGAAGACTGTACAAGACAGGCGACCTCGGAATGCTGAATTTCGATGGTTCGATATCTTATTTCGGACGGAAAGACACACAAATAAAACTGCGCGGACAAAGAGTTGAGCCCGGAGAAGTGGAACATCAACTCACACAGCTGTTGTCGCCGGGCTCCATTGTAGCTGTTGACGCCCTCGTACTCTCTGGGTCTTCAAGCAAGTCGCTTGTAGCTTTCATTCAGCTAGAAAACAATGGTTTCGGCTTTGCGGAGAAGAGAGACATCATCGAGGGCATTTCTGGTCGCTTGACGCAACAACTGGCTTCTGTGCTTCCCGCCTACATGGTTCCCTCGCACTTGATCCCAGTCGAGGTCATTCCTTTCACACCGACTGGGAAGCTCGATCGGCGCACATTGAAAGAATATGCTTCGAATTTGTGCATTGCAGAAAATCCAGAACGCGGCATGGTGGAGGAAGATACCGACATGCTAGCGGCGAGCGAGCACATTGCTCTGAATATCAGCAACAAGCTTGCCGAGCTTCTATCGGTTGGCGATTCTCAGAGAGCAGGAACCTTGCGTGGTCACAACTTCAACCCTTACTACGCTGGGATGGACTCTATTCAGGTCATTTCACTGTCAACATTCATTCGGAAAAACTATAATGTCAGCATCCCGATTCAAAAGTATATGAACAGCGCGGCGACCATCAGGGAGATTGCACAATTGGTCTTTGAAGATCAGCAAGGGTCGCATGATGACAGCACCATCGACTTGATGCATAAGATTGAAGTTCATGATCGACCACTCGCAGCCTCGCCGTTGCTGAAATCATATGCAGAGATTGAGACATTACATACCCCCAGGATCATCCTCTTAACAGGAGCCACCGGATTTCTCGGAAACCAATTGCTGGCTCAGATCTTGCAACGGCCGCAGACTCAGAAGGTCTTGGTGTTAGTCAGAGGCCAAGACTCAGTCCACGCCACTGAGCGACTTTTGTCTCTTGCTCGTGGCAGCAGTTGGTGGCAAGAAGAGTATGTCAATCGCATCGAAGTCTGGCATGGCGATTTATCTCTCCCACATTTCGGTCTTCCAGTCGCGCTTTGGTCTCGACTCGATGGCACGAGCGTCAGTGGTGACTTGATCGATGCGGTCGTCCACAACGGGGCAGTTGTCAACTGGATGGCCGACTTTCAGGCGCTGACACCAGCCAATATCCTTTCGACGGTCAACATTCTCACGGCTTTGACAAAAGCGATAGCATCTCGCCCAGTTCGCCTGACTTACGTATCAGGCGGTCACTTGTCCACTTCTCCAGACGATGTCGGGGAAATCGCTGCGGAACTGAAATCGTATCCAGCCTACAGTCAGACCAAATTCGTCGCCGAGATCCTGGTCGCGCGATACGCCGAACGACTGATCGACGCTGGCTTCGGCTGTTTGGCCACGATTGTCAAACCTGGCTTGATCATGGGCAGCTCCTCCGACGGCATCTCAAACACGGACGATTTCCTTTGGCGGTTGACAGCTAGTGCATTGGACATTGGGATGTTCAATGATAGCGAACGCGACCTGTGGCTCGCCGCTGCAGGCGTTGATCTCGTAGCCAAGGCCATTCTTGACAGTTGTTTCTACCCTGAAATCAACGGAAGTCATCATGTTGTTAAGAAGGTCTTGAATGGTCTCACCATGGGAGAGTACTGGGATATAGTCAAACAGGAAACAGGCCATGCAATGGAGCCGATGGACTCCAAACGGTGGTTGAGGAGCTTGCACGAAGAGGTCAACGCAAAAGGGCCAAGCCACAGGTTGTGGCCGGTTCTCCATTTTATTGAAGATACTGACGGCAAACTCGGTCAGCCCCAAGGGACGATGACGCTTGATGACCAGCTGAAAGATCAGGATTTGGTCAAATTGTCACTCAGGAAGAGCTTGGGATACCTACTCGCCATCGGATACATGCAGACAAGTAGGACAAGCAGTGTGGATGGAGATAGCTCAAGTGAGCCTACATTGTCAGTTCCTAGGCCAATGGTGTTCTCGAGAACGCCGACAACGCCAGTATGGAACCAAACATCGACCTATCAGAAGCGCTTAGGATACGGTGAGGAGGGGTTGAAGTTGGCGGGATCCATGGTGGTCACGCCGTTGAGGACACCTAGTCCCTCATCAGATGTCGTGCCGATCGAGTAGAATTGTCATTTGGACTTGTAAATTGAAAGACGAGGATTTCAATGTTATCTTTCCGTTTCTGGGGCTGTATTTACAATTTGCTCTTCTCCGAGATCAGTCCATAAGACTTGGGCAAAGACTCTAACAAGTTCTTGTCAATATCCTCCACCTTTTGGATCCCCGCCACATTCATCAAGATATCCAAATCCGCCAACAGCCCCCTCAGCACATGCCTCACCCCATGCTCTCCCATGATGCTCAACCCCCAAATCCACAACCTCCCAATGAAAACAAACTTGGCACCGAGCGCGAGTGCCTTCACCACGTCCGCCGCACCCCTAATACCGCTGTCAAACGTGACAACAGTCCTATCTCCAACCTTCTCCGCAATATTCTCCAGCGCATCCAAGCTCGCAATCGCCCCGTCAACCTGCCTTCCAGCGTGGTTGCTCACTACGATACCCTCGAACCCTAAATCCGCCGCCTTCTCCGCGTCATCCACCCTTTGAATGCCCTTGATTAAGAACGGCTTCCCACCGCTGATCTTTTGCCACTGCTCCCTTGCCCACACGGCCTTATCCCAGGACCACGCGCGGCCGTGCCAGATGCTGTCGATCCACATCGCGGCAGCCTTCTCCGGCTCCTTCTGGGAATCGATACCCTTGGCCGCGAGGCGTTTCCGGAACACGGGATCGGTCAGGCCTAAGTCGGCACCGATGCCGCGGTAAAAGGCGTAATTTGACGTTGCGATATCGTCGTGTCGCCATCCAAGCTGCCATGTATCTGTCGTGAGAATGCATGCCGTGAAGCCAGACTCGTGGGCCCTCGTCAACAAGGAGAGGGTAAGCTCGTCGTCGTGGGGCATGTAAAGCTGGAAGAAACGAGGGCCCTCTGGGATCTTGGACTTGTCTGCGGACTGAGCTCTGATGGCCGAAGCGCGCCCAGCATCGTTGGCTCGAGCGACGTCCTCAATCGGACATGATCCGGCTGTTGAAAGGCTGTAAGGGATGCCCAGCTCCCCCGCTACTTTGGCCACGGGCAGTTCGCCTTGCGGGTGGTAAATCTTGTTGATGCCAATCGGAGCAATTCCGAAGGGGGCAGAAACCTCGTGACCGAATATGGTGGTTCGGGTGGAACGCTCGTTGGTGTCGACTAGTTGGCGAGGGACGATTTTGTGCCGGAAGAATGCCTGCCGGTTGGCGAGATGTGTGTGCGAAAGGCCAGCGTTCGAAGATGCATAGTACCTGTATCTGTATTAGAAAATGAGAAATGAGTTTGCTTGGCGAGCCCATACCATCCATTTTGAGTCAACTTCTGCTTCGCAAGCTCCTCGAGTTTGTCGGGGTCTGGTATTACTGATCAATTTCGATCCAGGGTGAGCATTGCGTTTCTGCCACGGGGACTCACGAGTGTTAAATTGGGGAACTTCGCCTTCATTTAGCTTCCAAAAGTTCTCCCGCTGATACAAGCCCCAAGATGGAGTATCGCGCGATTTGATGTGGGGAGAGTTGGGGTCTGACATTGCGTTGTCTACTGTTGAGCTTGATAATGGATGATGGGAACAAGCTTCTTGCGAATCAACTTAAGGATGCCAAGTAATCTCTTGGCAGATGTCTTTAATATAACATGTCAACTACCCTTTTAAGGTCAATTAGCATGTTTTCAATACCGTGAAGATGAGATCAGGACAGGTCCAGTCATGACGTAACTGGTAGCTCATCAGCCAAACTACGCAATAGTTTCCACTCACCCGGCCGTCCGTGCCAGTCTTCGCCAGCGTGCGTAGACTCACACTAAAGATGAGATGACAGATTAGATCTACGTTGTAGTAGTAGATGCAGACACCCGTCCACCGGTGCCATGCGAGCTAAGATAGACCCGTCTCAAAAACTTCCGAAGTGATACAAATCATTGCCGACATCCGACCGTAGTACAGACTATGCTACTAAACCTTGTGATAACCGCACTCATTGAATGGAGAACTTTGGTTCTTGGTACTCATTGGGCACATCGAGGCATATTTGACAGTATTGAAATTGGCTATCGACAAACTACAAATAACACAAAGCTATACAGTTCGCAAGGTATTGTGGTCTCGTACATACATCCACTTTTGTGGAGGTAGGGGCAAACAAAGGCAGTGCCATCCAATTAGAGACGATGTTGGAGAACAAACTCGCCGGGCGCGTGATACGTGGGCACCTTCATCTCGAGGGCCTCGCCAGAGTATCCCAAATCCTCGGCAACAAGCATGGCGGCCTTCTCTCCGATGAGAAGAGCGGTGGAATATCTGGAGGTAATTATCAGCCTTGTGAACCTCTAGTAAAGGTGGAGAGGAACTAAAGACGTACGTGTTGCAACCGACGTTGTCGGGGCAGATGGAAAGATCGGCAACCTTGAGGCCCTTGACGCCGTGGACGTTCAGGCGCTCGTCCAAGACACCGTGCTTGACAATGCTGTTGCCCTCCTTGGGAGCCATGGAGCAGGTCTAAATCATAGTCAGTAAGTATTCGTACATCTTGGAAAGACCCGAGGGACTTACTCCGAGACTGTGCCAGGTGGTCTCAACGTGGCGCTTAACCCACTCCTCAACAGCCTTAATATCCTCATCGGAGTACTTGAGCTCATCACGAGCATCAACGCGATGAGCCGACAGAGTCTTGATCTTGTCGGCCTTGCTCTCCGCCTCGTTAAGCGGCTGAGTCCAGCTACCGTGCTGGATACCCGCACTGAGATTACCGGGAAGGGCGTACTTGTTAGTGGTCTCGAGGTCCATGTCCCTAGCGCGCGCCTCCGAGTCGTACGAGAAGAAGGGATGCATGTTGGCGACCTCTCCGGCGTAGGCGTCCATGCGGCGGGCCGTCTCGCGAGACTTGATGTAACCCCAAACCATGGGGACCATGTCTCGCTCGTCGTTCATGAAGCCCGCGTCAAAGTCGGGCGCGTCGTAGGGGTTGGGCGACTTGATGTGGGTGGATCCACGAGAGAAGGGGTACTCGAGGAAGTGGAACATGGTAAAGAAGTTTCCTGGGGGCATCACCATGTGGTCGCCGAACCAGCCAGCAATGACTGAGTAGTGCATGACTGGCTTGTCGGGCTTGTTCTCGAAGTACGACTTCCAGCCGTCCTTGAAGTGTGGAGTGGGCCATTTCTCAAACTCGGCGAGTTCCTCGGGAGTAGGGCGAATCTTGACACCAGCCTCGATACCGTTGGTGGCGAGGGGGCCGGTGCCCTTAATGTTCCACTCATCAAATACGCCTGAGTATCATGTCAGTCTAGCAATTATATAATATTCGGGGCGGGGTAGCATACGCTTCTGGGTCTCGGGGTCTCCGCGGACGAAGTCGTCAAAGCTCTCGGTGCCGGGCTTTGCGCGGTAGGTCGAGAATGTGAGGTAGTGGTCCTGGAAGTTGAGACCAACGCCGGGAAGGTCGACAATGGGCTCTACGCCAGCGCGGCGAAGCTTCTCGGGGTCACCAACACCAGAGCGCTGGAGAATGAGAGGCGAAGAAAGAGTGCCGCCGGAGATGACGATCTGCTTGCGAGCTCTGAACGTGCGTCCCTTAAGCTCATTGGGGCGGAGTGGCTTGCTCGGGCTAACATTCCAAATCAGATTTGAAGCAGGGAGTCGTGTTGGCGGGCATCACTTACATGGTGTGAACGCCCACAGCCCGGCCGTTCTCAATAATGACCTTGTCAACTTTGGTGTTGCAGGCAAGGTACAGGTTGGAGTGCTTGGCCCGGGTTGCGTGGATGTATGCGTGAGCGCTGTCACTACGGCGGCCAGTCTGATCATGATAGTTAGCAAACAAAACATAACTTCAAAAGTCTTGGTGGTAGTGAATGAGCTCACGTCTCGGTTGATCCACTTCAGCCAGTGCTCAGCTCCATGGCCAGTTGACAGATCCTGGAGATCGTCGACGACAGGGATACCCTGAGACGAAGCAGCACGAAGGAAGTCGTCCTTGATGGGGTACGTGCTGTGTAACGACGGTTAGTTTCGGATCCTTCCATTACGGTTCGACTCTGCGGGGAGCTGAACTTACTAGTTGCCGAAGGAAACCTTAATAGGCCCGTCGAATCCGTGAGTGTCCCTAGCACATGGCATGTCAGCCAAAGTTTCGATTGCCGTCATGGTAACTTACCTATTGTGGGAAGCTCGCTGATATGTCTCGTGCTTCTTCATCAGAGGCAGGAGCTCCTTGGTGGACCAGCCCTTTGCCTGGAAGTCATCATAGTCGGAAGCCGATGCACGGGTGTACATCTGTCACAAAAGTCAGTGGGCGTTCTTCCTTCAGCGATGGTATCATACTGACCATGAAGTTAATCGAAGAACCTCCACCGAGAATGTTGGCGCAAGGGACAATGGCCGAGCGTCCAGAGAGATGCTTAGACGGTCTGGACTCGTAGAACGTAGCCGTCTTTGAGTCAAGCTTCATGTTCCGTGGGTAGATACCCGGCCGGAACACCCATGGGTTGTTCAGGTTGCTCTCGCCATTCTCAATAAGAAGCACCTTGAGATTGTGGTCCAAGTTGGCAAGTCTGTGTTCGATTTTAGTATTCTGCTAGAAACACCACTGACATACTGTCAGTCTGAATAGATGAGACAAACCGTCCAGCAACGACACAACCACAGCTGCCGCCACCACAGACAATAATGTCAAACTCGTCCGGAATAGCTCCGCTCATATTTCCGGTGGGATATCAAAGGTAGTTTTGAGGCACTTGGTTCCGTAGAAGAGGTCGAGCAGCAGTTGTCAAAGCGGCGTGAACACCGTGCCAGGTCAACTGCAACACTGCTAATGCGTTCGAATGATTGAAGGATGTTCTAGACGAATTCCAACCCGTCGGGGCGGTCGTTAAATAGATATGAAGAGATGGGAGGAAGCAATGCATAAGTCATCTGTGCTTCTTCCTGCTCGCTGCTACCCCCCTCGTCGTCCTGGTAGGAGGGTTCTCGACCCCGACTTTACTCCAGACCCTCCAGGATCTCAAACCAAAGATCCGGCAGGGAGGGTGAGGATGAGGGGAAGCCATGGACTATCCCTCCAGGATATCCGTGGCCCTCGCGATGTGATTTGGTCCAAAGCATGCAGAGTCCGTGTCATCCGGTGTCGTTTGTTGGCTCGCGACCTATCACCGACGCGCGTCTGTGAAAGTGTATCACCCAAAGCCAATGCATGGCAGCATGGCTATGCTCTCCGATCAACATGCCCTCCCAGCTTTCCCCGCACTCACCGACACCAAAGGCGCAGGACCATCAGCTTCATGCGGTGCCATTGATACGCCGTTGCCAATTGTTGGGCAGATCAACGGTGGAGGACAACTCACTGCCGATGTTCCCTCCGGAACGAAAGTGAGCACCCAGACATCCGCATGCCCGATGACAGTCTCTCTCTCTTGCCCAACGCGGCCGCCACGGGAGCAGGCAATTGGCGGGATATGCGGAGTAGTGCAAGCCCGGCTTGCCAAGAGAGTCTGAGAAATCCCAATGCCTGGTCTCCCTTACAAGTTGAGCCGCACTCCAAACCTTGGGCCCCGAATCAGTGCAGTATATCCCGTTTTGGGAGCTTCCAGTTTTGTCTCACTCTTTGAGAGAGAGCTCCAAGCAGACGTGGTAAGTATAGCTTGGGGCCGGAGCTCACTCCTGGTCCCCCGTATAGTAGCATCGGACACACAATCAGACCCGATATTCCCGGGTCCAAGTGGTCCTGGCTTTGGACTGGTCATTATCCGGACCAAGGGTCGACTGCCGCGCCCCCCGCGTTTCTGCACCCCGCAATTCAAAGTCTGGGGGTGAGATGGGGGGAAGTCTAGCCCGTTGGTCATATTCCTCCAAAACCTCTCGACGCAGGCCAAGTCCCTACACCCAGGCTTTGCAGATGAGGAGAAAGGCAGCTTCAGGAATAGCAAGAACGAGTCAGGAGATCTTGACGTCAAGCTCATTCACCGAAATATCCCCGAATTATCGTCGCAGACCTGAAGTCTAAGCTTGCTGTGCCTTCTCTTGGCTAGATCGAGACTCACGATTGGAGGCTTTTGCAGCTCTGCCTAGCCGGTTTCTCCACCCCTCTCCAACATTCCCGGGGACATTGTTTGCATGTCAGACAGTTTGAAGCAATCAAAATAGCTGCGGGCGGCCACAAAGTGTTGCAGGACAGCGAATCGCCTCTGCAGCGTGTCGCCGTTTCCTCTTAAGGGCCACCAACCATGCGTTGCTGCAGGACGGTGGATGGTGTATGCCAGGCGCATGCAGGAGAGCTGAGTTGGTGTTGTCGTTTCCCCTCGAGGTTATCCGTTGTGGAGACTTGGAGAATGCCGCTCGGAAGATGTTCCCGGCGGTGCTTGAGACTACAGTCTACATGCACTCTGGTGGTACTCCCTACTGCGCGTTTCGAGGATCCGGCCCACGTTGCATCGGTTCCCCGGGCATCCGTCGACCTCTCCTGCGTACATTGCCGCCCCCAATTGGGTCTTCCTATCAAGCATCAGCTTCCCCCGCTGAACTCTTGCTTCTCCAAGTTTTGCGTGTAGCTCCATGAGGTGTTCACGGCGTCTGAACCTTCCAATCCCAAGGGTAGGTCCGTCCCAAAGCTTGGCCAATATTCGTGTCCCAGTGGTGTACGGGCATTGAGACGTTCCAACGTCGGAGTAATTTCAATACCCCTTCATGTCACGGGCCCGTTTAAGGTTTCGATCCCACATGAGTGTCAGGGAGACGAGAACGGCGACGCTAAAGTAGAGCATGGTACGGAGCTGTTTGTTGTAACCCTCGCTGAACACGGATCGGACGGCAGTCCGTGTGGGGGCTGGCAGACCATCTATGAATTGAACCGAGTCGGAAATGGATTGCATCTCTGAGGGGGTGAGGTGGTTCGGGAGACTGGATGCGAGGTGATTATTGAGAATGGTCGCCCTGCATAGGTAGGCGAATCAGCAACTTGCAACAATGTGAGACGACATGTTTGATGGAGAAGAGACACTCACCCCACGGCCAAGCCAATGGTGCCCCCCAATGTCCGAAACTGTGTTACGGCTCCCATTGAAACGGCTGTGTTTATTCGTCAGGAAAATGCATGACAGCTGCAAGGTGATGCTTACCAAGGTCCCGCCGGTCAACCAGGAAAGGGACATAGATGAGAACCGTTACAAGTGTCATACCAAAGCCGAAGCCCATGATCGCCTCGAACCCCAACAAGTCTCTCAATCTATCGGGAGTTATCGAGCTGGCGAGGCCCACGCCCAGAATCTGCATGCACGTTCCAAATAGCAACAGATAGAAAGGCGGCACGTCCATCTTGGTGGTCAACGGGCCAGACACTGCGGCGGCAAGTGGGGAGCTGAGGAGGAGAGGGAGCGTGTGGACGCCCGCAGCAAAGGGGGACAATCCGTGGACGGCTTGGAAGCGCTGCGGGAGGTTGATCAAGGCGGTCATGAACGGCAGGCCGGTAAAGAAGGCGGTTCTGACACGACTGGTGAGCTACGCCTCGGCGCTGCAGCAAAGTTGGAGAAGACTCACAGAAACAGGCCAACAAAGTGTCGATCCTTCAACAGCCGCAGAGGGAATACGGGCTCTTGTGGATACTTTGGCTTGCCAACCACGTACTCACATGCAATGAAGGCCAAAAAGAGACTGCCTCCGCAAACAATCGTAGAAATGACGATGGCGCTGTTCCACGGATATCTTGAGCCGGCCTCCTCGAAGCCAAAGACGAGAAGGATCGATGCTGCGAGGAGCACGGCGGCTCCTACAAAGTCTAGCCTGGCGATTGCGGCTCCGCTGAACTTGTCCCGCATGCTTGGCTGATTTACCCCGCGGCCCTGATGTGGAAAATTGGACGGCAAAAGGAACGCGAGGAGAGCGGTTGCAAAAGCGCCCGTCGGCGCACTACCATGGACGATAAGTGCGAATCCTACGATATGTCCAATTGAGGGGAAGAGGGAGGGAAAACACACTTGAGTAAGAAGACCCATCGCCAGCTCGAGTGGTCGTTGATTACGCCTCCTAGGACCGGGCCCAACACGGAGCTGAAGACGAGAACAAGTGAGGTGCCAGCGACAATGTTGCCCCATTTGTCGGACGGAACTAATTCAGGGTTGATCACGTTGACCATGGCATATATGCCAGACGCTCCGACTCCCTGAAAGGCACGGAAGATGATGCTGCCCTCACAGGTCAGTTTCGAAAGCAGACGACGACGAACGACTCGGGCTCTCTTACAGCTGTACCATGGACGATATTACACCGCACACGATAGAAAAGATCGTGAAGATGGCCAAAGACAGGAGGACGACAAATTTTCTGCCCAGAACGTCACTGAACTTGGCGAATATGATGAGAAATCCTGGCCAGTGTCAGACAGCGGCAACACGATGAAGAAGGAGAAGGCTTGAAGTGCAGGATTACCAGTGTAAGTAAGCAGGTACGAGGTGACGATCCAGTCCCGCTGCTCAAACCCGTGTAAAGCGTTGGTAATGGAGACCAGTGACGTGCTGACGATGGTGGTCTCAAGCGTGGACAAGAAGAGTGACATGCACAATCTGGAGGTTCACGTATTAGCCATGGCGGCTGGCAAAACGGAACCGGCGTTGCATACCCGGATATGATGGCGTAGAGCCTCCATCCTGTGATATATACGGGAGGTATCGACTCCGGTGCTGTGTGAGGAGCGGCATCAGAGGGTTCGTCATTCAGTTGGAGTGGCTGGATTGCTGGCGGGACTATATGCTCTTCGGCCTTTGCGACAGCATCTGCGTCGGCCTTTGGATGTTCGACAACGGCACTTTTAAGGGCCGAAGGTTGGGCCGCTGCGACGTCGGCGGGGACAGAATTATCCTTTGATGTTGCCGTTGACATTGTGTGGTGCTTTTCTATGCACTGCATAGATGGAGTGAAATGACACTTGTCGTAGACACTGAGTTGATATATGTGTAGATCTTCGCCATGGCCATCGCCAATGGTCTTCGATACGACGACAGCGGAATGATTAGGGACAACATGGCATGATGGCCTGAGAGATGTCGGGCTAGCTGGTGCTTTGTGCCAGAGGCGTCGAGGACAGCCTGGCGTGCCTGGCTAGGGGCTGAATCCTTCCTGGCTAGTTACCTTAGCTGCTGATACGCCGATACGAGTTGGCGACAATGTCTTGATCGGCAAGCGTTGTCATTGATATCGACTTGCGCTATTGAGGTGATTTGCTCACTTGAGGCTCAACAGCATCATAAACAAGAAGTTCACCGAACTCAGACGTGTTCGGTGAAGCGTCAGAAGCCATGCTTCAGGCCCCCATTTTCGCCGCTTCCACCCCAAGCCTGGAAGGAATGGAGACCTCCAGGGTTATGGCCGGCTTCATGCCATTTCGGGACAGACAATGAGTTATGTAAGCAGTCCTATCGAGATCACGTGGTATGTCCAGTGATCTTCACATCCCGCGGTTTCGGGAGTCTAGTGCATTAGCACTTGCACGTGACATGCAAAGTGCTCATAAGTTTCACATCCCACCGGTGGCATCGTTCCCCTCAAACCCCGTGCTTGCGAGCGACGAGACTCGACATATCATGCGCCAGCTTTATATGGCATAATTTTGCAGCAGCATGGGTCGATCGGCGCGGAAGAGAAGGAACCAGGCTGACGAAACGTCCACAACGCCGAACCGGAATCGATAACAGGCAACTACCTACCTATTTTTGAGTGCGAGCTGGGAAGAGATGGTCCATCTAACACTCGGATAATGCAAGCTATCTTCAAGTGAGGAAGTGAGGAACGTAGGTAAGTATCTCAGCTGCCCAGTGGCCCCTGAGATAGCCCTTCTGATACTGTGTAACTTGTAAGTCAGCTTTGATTCGACAATGGTCCGCAAACACAGTGCAGGTCCTTCCCGTGGATGGGGTCCCCCGGCTCACGTGCGCGGCGCTGTAACGGATCGACGCAGGGCTCCCGCCTTTAGTGCACCTATTGCAACGGGCTCTCCAAACTTGTCAATTGTTAGTCTTAGTCTTGGGCTCTGGCGGGATGGGGCTACGGGCTGCAGATGGCAGGTGCTTTTACGCAGACATATTACCTATACACAAGGGGCACTTGAGGGACTATCGAGCCGCTTAACCCTGGATCCGCCGATGAACAGATGAAGTGCATGGCAATCAGAGACGTAGTACGTAGCTCTGTGTGATGCCTTCATCTGTATGGAGGTTGTGTACGGATACTCTTGATGAATAGGTACTATGTCCATATGCACAACATACAAGTATGGAATGTCATACTGTTTCTCAATTCGGCACCTCCTGGCAGACATTGTCCATGATCCAGCTATGCGCAACGTCTAATTTTCTTATGCAGGCCTGAGCTCAGTAAATAATACCATAAAATTTGGACAAGCTATGTCGAATACTCAAGCCATGACCTCGGAGGCAGCCCAAGGTTGGCGCAGATGGCAAATGCTAATGCAAATAGGCCGTCCTTGATACCGATGCCCGATGCCCAATTTCCATGCAGGCGCAATGTCAAGTTGGATTGACTTTCGCTTAGTTGACAGTTGATTGAGGTTGGACGTCAAACCATCAGCCCGGTTGCCCAGTTGCCCAGGTTCAGCAATAGGCAGCCGGGGTTTTGAGAGACGTGGTTGGCTGATGGTATAGAGAGGCAATTTGGTGGTCAAATTGGGGGGTAACGAGCTAAGTTGCTCAGGTAGGCACGGGACGGGTTGTTGCTGTGCAGCTTTGGTCAGCATCTCGAATCTTTGGTAATCACAGTCCTTGAGTGAAAGGACACTGTACTTGTCTCGTACCCCTTCTCCCGTGTCCACCGCCCCTCTCTGCCATGTGGGCTTTTACTGTGTGAAGAGCATGTCCCTGACCCCCTGTGCCTTTGTCGACATGTCTCGCCTTTTTGCCGGGTACTTGTATCGCTCTCCCCGTACCGTGTGAGTGTCAGAGCAGGCTTGGTCCTAGACTTTCCCAGGCGTGGATTCGAGGGATTTCATCAGTTTCCCCCTCGTCAACCCCTAGACTCAGGTTCCTCCTGCCTTCCAAGTTCCCCAGGGCCCAAAGTGCACCGCCTCCTGAGTCCCGAGTCCTGAGTCCTGATGCACCTCCTATTCCCATCCCTCCTGTGCCTCCTGAATCCTGTCCCAACTTGGCTACTGCTTGTAAATCTGGACATGAGTCCGTATTTGGAGTGCACTACGAATACTTACTTTTGTAGTATTAGAGGTTAGGGCAATTTGTCTTTCTTTGAAGTGAAGCCCCTGAATCCCATATCAAAAATCACAAGGGGAGTAAAGACGCAATTGTGGCAGTAGCTACCCACCTCAGCTTGTAGGTACTCCGTTTCTACCTTTCTCGGCTCCTACCCGTAACTTGTAAGGAAGGCACCTCCTGCCACCTGTGCCTCCCTCTCCTTTTCTGCCCTGGGCTCCATCCTCCCTTTTTCAGCAACGTCTACGCCATAGGTACCTTACTCCGTACCCAACTTCGTACCCAGTACTGCTCAGCTCTCAGCTCAGCCCGTATCATCTCCCCAGCTGAGAATAGCATCCAAACCAAGGTAAGTTACCTATTCGGAATCCCTTCTTTTTTTTTCCTTTCTCTTCTGCTTCGTCTTCTTCTCTCCTCCACACCTCGCATTTCGCAGTATCCTCTTCCCACCTTGGCCACTACCCTGCGGGTTTGCTTCTTCTTCCTGCAGATACCCTCCTCACCCTCACCCCGCCATCCACCCACAGTGCCACTAGATTTCACTTGGAACTTGGAATATTGCACCACGGTGCCACCCCGTCACCCCGTTTTTGTCAGCAACATCCCCCAGCACTTCCAAGCACCAGGTAGTGCAGCAGCAAGCAGCGACCAGCTAACCAACCAAACCTCCCCAGCCCGGCGGCGCCAGATTGTCTCACCACACACGTACCGTCCGTCCACCCCCAAAAAAGAAGTCAAAGGCCTACGCAGTAAGAGAGGGGGCGGAATTTGCGGGGTTCCTCCAGCACAACGATCCAACGAGCGTCTTTGTACGCCAACCTTGAACCTCCACCAACAAATCACGACCCCAGAGCGACCTCTCCTCTCTCGCACTCACACACACACTCTCTCTCTCTCTTTGAGTCCTCTCCTTCCTGTACCCGTGCTCGTACCGTACCGTACTCTTTGTACCGTACCTACCTGTGCATTATCTACCGCACCCCCAAAATCACCAAACAACAATCTTTATTCCTCGCCCCGCCTCGACTCGCTTCGCCTCACCTAGCAGGCTCACCTAAACCTCACCTCACCACCTCGCATTCCCTCGACGGTACCCTCCTCACCTTCGATCTCACGCATCATCAATCACCCCGACTTCGACTCCTCAACATCCGTTTCCATCACATCTGATCCGATTCGCCATCAGCGCATTCGGCAATAAAACACCCCTCCTTCGTACCTTCTTCCTGCCAAAATGTCGTGGAAGCTGACGAAGAAGCTCAAGGAGACCCATTTGGGTCCCTTGGCCAACACCTTCTCTCGATCCCCCTCCACATCTACTATTACCGACAGCAGCGAAAAGGCTCAGGCCAATATCGCAGGCTCGGCAACTCCCACGAACGAGAACACTATCGGTACGTCTTCCCGCCCACGAACCTCCAATATCCGCATACCAACCCATTACTCCTTTCTTCTTCATACTAACCCACTGCTACAGCTGCCTCTGAGGCCATGGCGCAAGTACCAGTCGTCAATCCTCCCAAGCCCGGCATTCTCGTCGTCACCCTCCACGAGGGCCACGGATTCTCCCTCCCCGAACAACACAGAGCGGCATTTGCCTCGTCACACCAAGGTTCGCTGTCCACAGGCGGTGCTCTCAGCGTCGCCGGCTCTGTGCGTCCCTCTTCTTCACAACGAGGAGCTGTCGGCTCCTTCATCAATGGCGCGGCTCGGCCACAGACATCTGGCGGTGGCTTCACTGGAATCCCTACCAACCATGGTCGCATTTCCGGCAAGTACATGCCCTACGCCCTGCTGGATTTCGACAAGATGCAGGTCTTTGTCAACTCGGTCGAGGGAACACCAGAGAACCCCCTCTGGGCCGGAGGAAATACCCAGTACAAGTTCGATGTGTCTCGCGTGACGGAACTCGTCATTCACTTGTATATGCGCAACCCCCTCGCCACTCCCGGATCTGGTCGTAGCCAGGACATCTTCCTCGGTGTGGCCCGCATCAATCCTCGCTTTGAGGAGAAGCACCAGTTCGTCGAGGATCCCAAGCTTAGCAAAAAGGATCGCGAGAAGGCTGCGGCTGACTTTGCCGCCCGTGAGCGCGCCCTCGGCCATAGCGGAGTCGAGTGGGTGGACGTGCAGTACGGAACCGGAAAGGTCAAGATCGGTGTCGAGTACGTCGAGAATCGCGCCGGCAAGCTCAAGATTGAGGATTTTGAGCTGCTCAAGGTGGTGGGCAAGGGCAGCTTCGGCAAGGTCATGCAGGTGCGCAAGAAGGACACGAACCGAATCTACGCCCTCAAGACGATTCGCAAAGCACACATCATCTCCAGATCCGAGGTCGCCCATACCCTTGCCGAGCGCTCGGTATTGGCGCAGATTAACAACCCCTTCATCGTTCCTCTCAAGTTCACCTTCCAGTCCCCTGAGAAGCTTTACTTCGTCTTGGCCTTTGTCAACGGAGGCGAGCTTTTCCACCACCTGCAAAAGGAGCAAAGATTCGACGTCAACCGCTCGCGCTTCTACACCGCCGAACTCCTGTGCGCCCTCGAGTGCCTCCACGGCTTCAACGTCATCTACCGCGATCTCAAGCCCGAGAACATTCTCCTCGACTACCAGGGACACATTGCCCTCTGCGATTTCGGCCTCTGCAAGCTGGACATGAAGGACGAGGACAGAACCAACACTTTCTGCGGTACGCCCGAGTACCTGGCGCCTGAGCTGCTTATGGGTCAGGGCTACAACAAGACGGTGGACTGGTGGACCCTTGGTGTTCTCCTGTACGAGATGTTGACGGGACTGCCGCCCTTCTACGATGAGAACACAAACGAGATGTATCGCAAGATCCTCTCGGAGCCTCTCCACTTCCCCGGTCATGACGTCGTGCCTCCTGCGGCCAAGGATCTCTTGACCAGGCTACTCAACCGCGACCCTAAGGAGCGTCTCGGTGCCAATGGATCGGCCGAGATTAAGGCCCATCCCTTCTTCCACGCCATTGACTGGCGCAAGCTTCTGCAGCGCAAGTACGAGCCTGCGTTCAAGCCCAATGTGGTAAGTAATAATGAGGACAATGCCAAAAACAAGTGCGATTCGCTCCCATGGCAGTATTCCGCTAACACGTATTTTTCTTTCAGGTGGACGCCCTCGACACAGCCAACTTCGACCCCGAGTTCACGTCAGAAGCACCTCAGGATTCGTACGTGGAGGGCCCGATGCTCTCGCAGACGATGCAGAACCAATTCCAGGGCTTCAGCTATAACCGACCTATTGCGGGCCTGGGCGATGCCGGAGGCAGCGTCAAGGACCCTTCCTTTGTGGGCAGCATCCAGGACAACCGATAGGCTGCTGAGCACGACGAGTCAGTGGACGAGTTGAGCACGGTTGAAGAATAGATTTGGAGAGGCTGAAGGCTCAACAAAGGGCCAGAGCAGGGCAGGGCTAGAAAGAAAGCGAAGCATGACATTGTGTGGAGTGGACTTGGTGATTCAAGGGTTTAGCTCAAGCTAAGCTTATAGCAAAGCGACTCGACAGGGAATTGTCGGGGCACGTTGAGTGCGCACGCGCACTCGACAACAAACAGCTTTGCATCTTCGTCTTTGTACGGCGTTCTGGAATGGGCATGATGACGCCTTTTGGGGAAAAGGAAATGTAGATAGGCACAGATCATTGAGCAGACAGACAGACGAATCCGCTCTCAGCATCATCATCATTCATAGGTATCTCTGCTTGCATGGTCCAGCTTGGCATTATAATGATGCACTCTCTCCTCGTCATGGTTTCAGTAATGCGTATGCCTCTAGGCTAGGGTATCGAGGTCCGTAAGGGTCTAAGGTATGTAAGTTGAGAATGGTATGTCAACGAACCCCCGCCTGGGGATCGAGGACGGAATCGGGCCGGGACGTCCATGGTGGTGTCTGACATGAGAGATCGGACGTCGGATCTACCGGGACGGGATGCAGCGGGAGTTAGTCAGCGCGGGGCCCACCATGTCGGAGTGACCGCTTCAAGAGCTGTCATCTCAAGGTTCACGATGTTCTGCGGCCTACTAGCCTCTATCCGGGGGAAGTAAATAGATTTGACATAGTTAGTGGCCGCAGAGGATCGGAGGCCGAGTTTACATGCTCCCGGGACAGCCTCAAGTATCCGCTCGGACGGAATTGCCCCGATGACAGAATATCTCAATGTCCCGGGGAGCAGGTACACTAAAGCTCCAGTTCAAGGGCCGAGAAAAAAAATGAATTTGTCCTCCGGACTTTGTTGGTGGGGGTTCGGATGGGGGGGTAAGCTTCAATGCACCTGCCATGAGTAATCGGCTGTCGGATATAGCAGATAAGAAAGAAGAGCGTCAATTGGTACGGTTGGCTAAGATTGTGGAGGGAAGATGGCGATAGGTGTTAGTGGATGGCTGGGAGACGGCCGAGACGAGGGAAGTGCGAGGTACGGAGCATGGCATCGTGTGTTTAGGTAAGCTTCGTTATGCTTCGGGGCTGTCCCAGCGACGCCGGCGGGGGAACGGCGGGGCAGGGGGTTATGACGGTGGACGATGACGGAGAAATTTGGACGAGGACCTCATCAATTCACTCAACAATAGCGACGAGACCCGGTTCCCAGCCCACTTCTCTTGAGGTACCTTACCGTAAGTTGCCGCAGCTCGTGAGAGATATCCGACGGTCTTGACAATATCCGGAAGTGAGGGTAAAGGTACGAGGTATCAATGTCTCTTGATCCATTTTCTTCCATTCTAAAGCGCAGCCCTCCCACGTTGCTTATCCTATTGCTCCTGTTCCTCTCCCTCTTTCCCCTCTCTCTCTCTCTCTCTCTCTCTCTCTCTGCCTTGCAATTTTCCTCTTTCTCAAACCAACATTGATACCCCCATCCATCTAGGTATCCATCCCCTGACCTTGCCTTCCTGAGCGTCCTCGTACTTCGTACCTAGCTCTGTTCACCTTGCAGAATCTCTGCTATTTGAGGTACATTAGCACGCTTAGGTAATTCACCTGGCGTCATTCCCCCAAAGGTCAGTGCTTTTGCTTCTCAGGTCCTCCACTGTCATTTGGTGCGAATACCTACAGCGTGCCATGCCCCGCGTTCCAGCAGTGTTTTTGTACGCAATTACCCCTCCACGCCAGACATGCCACCTCGAGTTGAGCCCTCTCATTGGCTGCTTTCGAGCTCTGCACGCCGCACCCATCCAATTCCATCCCACTTTCACTTGCACGGTTGCGAAGGTCCCAGTAGAACCGCCGCAACTCTCCCCGTCCTGCTCCTCCCACTGTCATAGTCAGTCCACGACAACACACACACACACCTTTTACCTAACCTGACTTCTTACATACCCCCTTTTTCTTGTTTTTAGCCTGATCTCTATATACCTTCTCTTGGTCAATTCGATACCCAAGAGGTACATTTCCATTACCATTCCTGCAAATATACCTTACCTATAGAACCCCATAGCTGACTTTCTCTTCTTCCAAAGATCACCGTCCTCCAATCTCTAGCTTCGACTACACTTCGTACCGCCCAAAATGCCTCAAGCATCCAGCCTTCCCGCTTGGGCCGAGCTCCAGGCTCACCGCGACAACGTCGGCAAGAACTTTGTCCTGAAGGAAGCCTTCGCATCCGACACGGATCGCTTCGCCAAGTTCAGCCGTACCTTCAAGAACTCGGCCTCGGGCACCGACATCCTATTTGACTTTTCAAAGAACTTCCTTACCGATGAGACCCTCCACCTCCTCGTCAAGCTCGCCGAGCAGGCCGACCTCGAGAAGAAGCGCGATGCCATGTTCGCCGGCGAGAAGATCAACTTCACCGAGAAGCGCGCCGTCTACCACTCCGCCCTCCGCAACGTCGGCGACTGGGACATGAAGGTCGACGGTGTCGACGTCATGGGCAACAAGGGCGGTGTCCGCGAGGTTCTCGAGCACATGAAGGAGTTCTCCGAGCAGGTCCGCAGCGGCGAGTGGAAGGGCTACACCGGCAAGAAGCTCACCACCATTGTCAACGTCGGTATCGGAGGTTCCGATCTGTGAGTCTTTTCTACTCTCCCTCCTACCTGCGAACGAGAAGTCTCCGGGATTCTGACTAACATCTCTCCCAGCGGCCCCGTCATGGTCACTGAGGCCCTCAAGCACTACGGTGCCAAGGACCAAACCCTCCACTTCGTCTCCAACATTGACGGCACCCACATGGCCGAGGCCCTCGCCAACTCGGATCCCGAGACCACCCTCTTCCTCATCGCTTCCAAGACCTTCACCACCGCAGAGACCACCACCAACGCCAACACGGCCAAGTCATGGTTCCTCGAGAAGACGGACGGCAAGGGCGAGATCGCCAAGCACTTTGTTGCTCTGTCCACCAACGAGGAGGAGGTCACCAAGTTCGGCATCGACGCCAAGAACATGTTCGGCTTCGAGAGCTGGGTTGGCGGTCGTTACTCCGTCTGGAGTGCCATTGGCCTCAGCGTCGCCATTTACGTCGGCTACGACAACTTCCACAAGTTCCTTGCTGGTGCCCACGAGATGGACAAGCACTTCCGCGAGACTCCCCTTGCGGAGAACATCCCCGTTCTGGGAGGTCTCCTGAGCGTCTGGTACTCTGACTTCTTCCAGGCCCAGACCCACCTGGTTGCTCCGTAAGTATTCCCTGCGCCCATCATGAAGAAGGCCGTTTGGTTCTAATCAGTCGTAAATAGATTCGACCAGTACCTGCACCGCTTCCCCGCCTACCTCCAGCAGCTTTCCATGGAGTCCAACGGCAAGACCATTACCTCTGACGGAACCCCCGCCAAGTACACCACCGGTAAGTACACACCTGGGAAACGAATGTGCTTCCAGACTAACAACCACAACTAGGACCCATCCTCTTCGGCGAGCCCTGCACCAACGCCCAGCACTCCTTCTTCCAGCTCGTCCACCAGGGCACCAAGCTGATCCCCGCCGACTTCATCTTGGCCGCCAAGAGCCACAACCCCATTGGCGACGGTGTCCACCAGAAGATGCTTGCCTCCAACTATTTTGCCCAGGCCGAGGCCCTGATGGTTGGCAAGACCGCTGACCAGGTCCGCGCCGAGGGTGCTCCCGAGGAGCTTGTCCCCCACAAGATCTTCCTCGGCAACCGTCCTACCACCAGCATCTTGGTCGGTGGCCACATCGGCCCTGCCGAGTTGGGTGCTCTGATTGTCTACTACGAGCACCTCACCTTCACCGAGGCCGCCATCTGGGACATCAACGCCTTTGACCAGTGGGGTGTCGAGCTGGGCAAGGTCTTGGCCAAGAAGATTCTCAAGGAGCTTGACGAGGCCGGCAACGGTGAGGGCCACGACGCCTCCACTGGTGGTCTGATTGGCGCCTTCAAGAAGTACTCCAACTTGTAATGAATAATGTTCCTCTGTCCTTTGGTAGTTTCATAAAATTGGAAAGAAAAGAGATGGCGTGAAGAGCGGTTTACGACCTGATCAAGCTAGTAGCATACAAAAATGAAGAATTATTGTCCACACCTAGTCTACTTTGTGCTACGTGACACTGCTTAGTGCTTGTAATACTGACCGAGCTTTTCTGTGCATAGAATGCACGATGGAGATAGACGTCTCAAAAGGTGTGAAGACATCTTTAGATTTGCGTTCTTTTTGGGGAGACAAGGAGCATTCGCCCAGGATATATATGCAGAATTTGCCCTGGGTATTGCTGTTATGAAGTTGATATGCACCTTTACTGGCTCTGAGGATCAATCTCGGAGGAATCCAGCTTTCGATAACCAGTATCTAAGACCTTGGTGATCCTAGGTGTATGATGCATGTCTCTGATCCTGAGCATATACATAGTAGTGGATGAGATATATGGAAGAGTTTCATTGCACTGATATCCTTTTGACATGGAATATTGTAACAGCATGGGGGCGCCTGGAAGCGTCATGAAGTGTGAGCAGCTCATATGCCTTCATTTTATCCGAAATATTAGAGAGGCTCATCTCTGCCTAGCTCCATATCGAATTTGACTACTTTGGGCTGGCCGTGAGATGACTGCGGGTCAACGAATGCCCATAAGATGATTTGGATACTGTGGGAAATGAGTGACATGAAGTTGTCGCAACTGTATTACGACTACGAAAGTCGAGCCTCTAAGGTTATGCTGAGTTTCCAACATGTAGTCCTGGTATTTGTAAGATCAGAAAGCGATGGGCACTAGAATGTAAAGGTTCATGTCTAACTCTTGCTCTAACTTTTGGGCATTGAGACGTTGAAGTCCTCGTTATTTCAAAGTGAGGTCTTCCATCCGGAGGTCTATCAAGTTCTGTGTTGGATTCTTTATGTTGGATCAATGCCTTTACGTGTGATTAGAATAAAATTCTTTCCAATGACTAGTCTATCATGGAAGCTCTATTCTTGTCCAAATATCCTCTCCAGATCATAAATGGCCTACATTTTGTCACTTATGTTCGTCTTTGAGTGCGGCGTTCTTTCATTACCTCTGAAATCAAATTATGTTCTGGTACTGAGTCGAAAAAGAATGAGAGAAACTCTGCAAATTGCTGAAGTGAATCAATTCCCTTGCCCATTTTCTGATAGCTTTGCGAACCAAGTAATCCAGGACAGAGTGTTTCATCAATGTCGGAAAAAAGAAAATCCACACTCAGCGCATCACTCTGGCCATGAGTTGCCCTCAAATCAGTATGTAATTGCCTCATGCAGAGCCTAAGCCCCTTACGCTCAGCATCAGGTCTACATCTTGACTCTTATAAGATCGGTAGAGCGATGAATGGCCACATGGTTAAAAAGCTTAGCCCATCCGCGTCTGGGTGCGCTGACATCTCGGCAGCAGACTAAAATGACGCGCTGTTAACGATTAGAGCATCAGTTCTTGTCCCTAGCCGCGTCGATATTCAGGCGAGCTTCGGCGTGGCGGACTGGGATATCAACAAGCTTGGAGACGACAGATCAGGCCTACGGGTGACTATTTAAGAGTCTGTCATAGACGTGTATGTCGAGGTTTACGCAGCAGTCGTGCATTGTCGGACTAAGACTCTGGAGGTGGTATCTCGAATTACCACACCTCGTCATGGTTCTGTGAGTAGTGAACAGTAAGAGATCTCGTCCTCGATTGGTAAAGCAGCGCTTTACAAGCTCTCAACATCGGCGATCCCAGGTTGTATCACTATCGAATATGAGGCCAGCGGGCCGCAACGAGAGATACAACGGTCTTTAAAAAGGCATCGCTCAGGAAAATCTACCCAGCCGCTATGATCTCGTCCACGAGTCTACACTGACGGACTTTCCAGTCCATGGCAGGTGTACTTGTAGGAAAGGATGATCGTCGCAGAGTACAAGAGAAACGACGGTCTCAGAATGCCAGATGGCGATGAGCTCCATATACTTATTGATTGCGGGTACTTATACTCGAGTTGGGAGGTGGGCATCTAGCCCGCAAGACATACTCTTGACGACGATGTCTAATGGCGCCATATGAGGAGTGGAAGGTGCAACCACGATGGAAACATACGCAATCGTCAACGGCGACGAGGGGTTTGTGGAAGCTCTTCGGGACATGGCTATGATGTTGATGGACTGAGTGTCATGCGAATACTGGAGACAAGCACATCAAACTCGTAAACCATGGCTCAATCTTGGACTACAATGCCACGATGATGACCTTCCTCGACTGGTCCTTGGATGTGTGGCAGACTGAAAGGTCAGAACAACAAAGAGGCTTGTCTTAGAAAAATGATCGATCGCGATTCGGAACTTCAGAGCACCGTGATCTGACGAGAACCCGGAATTCCCACGGGATCGTCAGGGAACTTGCCTCGATAAAGAAGGACATACCCCCCTCCACACCATTGGGCTGCGACTTCAATCACAATGGAGAAATAGGCCGCGATCGTCAGGTCTCGAACGTCTCGTCTCCTCTTTGAACCGCGCCCTCTTGTGGGCCATCCATGAGGGTGTTCACGATGTGGATGGACACCCATCGGGGTCTCATCTCGACTCTGGATTAACGTTCAATCCTGACGATTCGTAGCGGCTAAGGTAGCCGCTTCTTCGCCCGCTCACGCATCCGTAGCGGAAATCCACAACGGCGTGTGTTGTAGACGCTGGGGTTTTTCTAGCACGATACGAAACCCCGAGGATCCATAATTCTAGCTGCGAGCAGACGGGGTAAGGATGGATGATGGAGCAGGAACGGTGTTGACTCCACGGCAGATTCTCCACGAGAAGGAAAGGGTGTCTACGCAGCATCGGAGCCCGCAAAGATTTCGTCGACACACGTTCATCTCCCTGCTCCACGAACGCCTTCACTATCTTTGCGGGTACAGATAGCAGCCCCTCCCTCCCTCTCCTCAAAACCAAGAAGGCGTGCTCCGCTGGTTGGTCTGGGGAGCACCTTTCTGTACCGAATCTTCCCCGCAGGGGCGAATCCAGTGTGGAGATGTGCTTCATTCGACTTCAAGACGTGTCTTCGCATCTGCACCCGCCCAAACAGGCACGGGAGGGCGGTGTCGGTGCATGGCTCTGACTAGCGACTTGGCTGGGTCAACAGAAAAGGCACCGCGTCTGCTGCGTCTCGCCACTGGCGAATTGAACCGCTCAGTTCTCAGCTTTTTCTGAACTGCGTAGAGTCCTAGACTCCCGACGCGAATTGATCGACAGCGGGCTACGTTTTTGGTAGGTAGACCGCCGCCAACCGTATTCTTGACACATCGGGTCCCCAAGGATATCGTCTGCGGCTGTTTGCTGCAACTGAACTAGGAGCGAAGTCGAATGGACAGAACGCGAATGATCCAGTGGTAGGCCGATGGTGAAGACGGTGCCGAACATACTTCGGACTGGTTGTTCTCCGCCTCTTGTCCTACTACCGTGATGGTCCACGGATGCCGTCCCGCCAAGGGTGTCTTGTTGTGCCGCCTAGCCGACCGCCGCCGATGGCTGGCCGTAAACCACCCGTCTGCGGGATTGCACACCAACAGGTTGCTGATGTCAGCTCGCGTTGACTTTTTGCAAAAGGCGCTCTAGCCGCAGTTAAAAACTCCTAGCACTACCTTGACAAAAACTCAGTGCAGCGAAAGTAGTCATTTTGATGGCGGAGGACCCAGGCAGCCGGAGGCAGCCAGAGGCTGAAAGGTCTCACTCTCACAAGCCAAGTTCCATATGTTGTTTGTGCATCAATGGCCACAAGCTTGATAGCAAAGGTGTGTGCCGATACTTGTGGCATCAGAAAGCCTAGGTATGTCTCAAATTCCTCCTTGTCGGCCGAGGGCAAATAATGGAAAGCAGCTGAACGCATTCTGCGAGTGGCAGTTGGAATGGTCAAGTGAGAACCTCGAACAGAAACGCCAGTGTCGGTACTTCGTGTGGATCGGAGAAAATCGGCCCCACTTCGGGAACGTGATGCGGTGCTGCCCGGGCGACTTTTTCTGTCTACTTTGGTTAATGTGCATAATCGACCCCGTGGAGAACCTACCTATGTGACCTAAAGTACCGATGAACATCCGTAGCTTTTCACGGAGTAGGAGTGAGAAAGTAACCGAGTCAGTCCACGTCCATCTGGGTGGTAAGCGCTGAGGTGCAGTGGAATTTTCCGCCGGGTCAAAGGCAAGTGAGGCCGCCGACGATGGGAGCGTGGTGAGCTATTTCCAGATTGGAGTTGCCTGTGCCGGAAAATATCCCGCTGCCCAGAGAAGAGACAATAGCATTTGTTGTTGATATCGGGCCTTCCAAGCCAACCTTGCAGTGGATGGTTGCGTTTGGCAACGTAACGGACCTGCGCCCTGGGAAATAAAGTCGCCGGATAAAGTCCATCTCCATGAAATCTCATGTGCCTTTCCATGTACCTATCTGCATGAAGACTGAAGTTGAGATGATGTGCGCGGCAATGCTTTGAATGCCTGATCTGCTCCTGAAGGGTGGCAAGCCTCGGGACGATGTGAAGCAGACAAAACAAGTCGCAGTCTGGTAGAAACCAGCACGTGGACCTTTATGAATAGTGTCATCTTGTCATGGACTTCCAACGACAATGCGACGCGTGAGATAGGGGTCGATCCAGGTGCATGTGCCCAACCGCCGCAACCGTCCATGGTGGCCGCGCCATACGCGTAGTCCACACCAGTCTCATCTCGTGGATCGATAGATATCTTGTCATCCTCACGTGGAACCGACCATCCACAACGACCATCTGTTGATCCATCACCATCTTTGGGATCATCTGGGGTTGTCCACTAGCGGGACGTCGACGACTCAAGCATTGCTATGACCACCGTTTATCTTGTGGGATAGACGCTGTAGCCGAGAGATGTACGGATGTAGCGATGGGACCCGAGATCCAGAGAGGCAGTCGGTCCTGAATATCTCTTCCAAGGCTGGACGATCGATTTGCTGAAACTTGAACGTCTTTTTGTGTCAATTTGCGGGATATGATGAGCAGCTGTTGCAAAGCATGGTGAAATTACGACTCAAGCCCAAGGAGAGAAGCCCGGCTATCGAGTCGAAACTCAATAAGACCCACGAA